GTTTAGCTATTATAAATGCGATATCTAGTTTCGTAAATATAGCCGCGAATAATAATAATTTAACTTTTTTTTAATATTTTTATATTTTATAAGGAAACGCTATAATTAATCGAGGTATAAATTTTTCGTAGCTTATTAGCGTTATATAGATTTTTTTTTATTTATAAGTTTAACGATTTTTTTAAAATAAGCCTTTTAGGAAAGCCAGATTATTTTAAATATACGATTTCTAATTATTTTTATCCTAAGGAACCATTATATTAGCTCGTTATTATTAATTTTATATTTTTTTATAAAATGCTATATTAAATAATTAACAGCCTTTTTATTTTTATTTTTATATACGATAATTATATCGTTAACGTAAAAAAAAATTAGCACTTTTTTTTTAATAAATACGTAAGGCTTATATAGTATCTAGGTATAACCGATTTCGGCCAAGGTCTTTATAAACTTTCTTTGCTATAGCAGCGGTAATATCCGTAATTTATAAAATGCTTTATTTAATAATAATATAGCGTTTTTTTTTTAATATTTATCCGGCATTTTTATAAATATATTTTAATTAATAAAAGCATATATAAACGCGTTTATTACGTTATATTATATTAATTTAAAATCGAATTTCGCTATAATCGCGATTAAGGTATAAAATAATTTTTTAACTAATATAGCCGTATAAATTTCTTAATTTTAGGACTTCGCCTATTAATTACCGCGAACGACGAATTTTACTTTATATTTTTAGAATTTTCCGTATTTATCGAATTTATATATATATATTTATATATAATTAAAAATTTATTTACCTTTTATTCGTAAATTTTTTTTATTAATTTCGGTTTAAAATCGTATATTTTTATAATTTTATAAATAATTAGCTTTTGCTTAAAAGAATAATTTATTAAACGGATAATAATATAATTTATAATATTATTTAAAAGGAGCTAGGATTTCCGCTTTATAAATTTTTACCTTTTAATTAAAAAAGCGTTTTAGCTTCGCCTTATTATTTTAATTATTGCCTTATTTTATTTTAAAAACGGCTTTATAACTAGCTAAAAAAGCTGCTTATTATAAAACTATTTTAGGTTTTTTTTTTAATAACGCCGTATTTTTAATCGTAATCGCCTTTATATTATATATTAATAAAACTAATAAAAATATTTATAATAGAATCTAAAAAGCAAATTTCGCAGTAATAAAAGGGTATTATTTATTTTTTTTATTTAGCGCTATTTTTTTATTTTTTTAGTTATTATTTTTTTCCTAATTATTTTAATTATCGCCTAATAAAATATCTTTTACAGCGGTTTTTTTATTTTTTGGTTTTTATAAAATTTTATTTTTAAATATTACGTAATTAATTACGAAATCGGCGATAAGCTAAATATTAGCATTTAAAAATTTATTTTTAAATATATTTTATTCTCCGTCGCATAATTTTTTTTTGTTTATAATTATATTTTTTATATTAATTAATTTATTCCGATTAAAAATTTAAATTTTATAAATATTAAATAATTTATATCCGATTAAATATTTTATTTATGCCTTAAATATTAATCGCTATAAACGGCCGAATTTTTATTATACCGTTAGCGTTATTACGTACGCTTTATATCCGAATATTTTAAAATAAATTTAATTAGGTTTATAATTCGGATTTAAAACTCTTTTTATTTTCGCAATTACTTTATAAAATTTTATATATAATATACGCTATCGGGAATTATAATTTAGCGTGCGATTATATAAATATACCGCGGTTTTGCCAATTTTAGGCTAAAGTTAATAAAGGAATTTTGCGCTAATACGCATTACTTATTCCTTTTTTTTAATTATACCCCTTAAGCGTTTAATAGCTTTATTTTAAGCTTATATATATAATGCTAAAGGCTCGAATTTAATATATTTATTTTCGAGGTATTTTCTTATTACCTATTTAATTTTTATAATTTCGTTATCGCATTCGATAATTTTAATTTTAATATTATATTAGGTTTTTATTATACCTAAAAACGATCGGAAAGCGTTAATTAATATAACCGTAATTTTTTCCGTAAAATAATAGTCCTATATATATCCTATTTACCGATAAATAATTAATATTTAAAATATATAATCTTCGATTTTTTTAATATAATTATAAAAATTTATAATTAATCGTTCGCTATAATTTTCGTTAATTAGCCGTAATACTCGCCGTAATTAACGCGTAATTTTTATAAATGCGTAAGCTTTATATTTTATTATAATTAGTTTTTTAATTTTTACCCTTTAAAATAAATAAATAAAGTATTCGAAAGCTGCCGGGCCTAAATATCCTATTTTATAATATTATCGTATAGCTTCCCTAATTAATAATAGCCTTTTTATCTATATTATATATTTTTTCCGGTAAATAGCAAATAACGCTAAAAATAATTCGTAAAATTTATATTCGAAAACGTATTATCCGCATCGGTTTTAAAATATATTAATTAAAAATTTATCTTTTTTACGTAATATTATAAAATCGTTTTTATTATCCTAATAATATTTTTATCCTTATAATTAACGGAGTAATATTAATATAATTAATAGCCTAAAATAATAGGCTATATTATTTAATAATAATATTTTAAATCCGAGCTATATAATTATTATACCGTACCCGTAAATAGGTAATTTCCGGTCGCCTAATTAAATAAAATCGTAATTAAAAGCTTATTTATAATTAATAAGCCTTATTTTTATATTTATAATTAAAATTATTATCGCTAAATCTAAAATAACTAAATAACGTAAAAAGTAATTTTTTATAAATACTATAAAATTACTTTATATATTTGCTATTAATCGTCCGTCTTATTAATCCGTATTAATCGGGAATAACTTTTTTTTAATTATTCGTAATATGCTAATTCGGCTAATTCTAATTTTTTTTATATTATAAACCTATTTTTATAAATTAAAATCTTTTTTAAAGGCTTTATTTATTCGTGCTTATATTTTATTTTTAAGGATAAAACCTAAATAAGCTTTTTTTAAAAATACGTAAAAATATAAATTAAAAGCATAAAAAAAATAATAAATAAGGCATTTAATATTTTTTACCTTTTATTATAAGTAATTCGTTTACCTTTTCTTTTATATAAATTAGCCGCATTTAATCGGGGAGGCATTTAATTTTTAATAAAATAAACGTTTTTATTTTATCCGTTTTAAGGCTATTTATTAGCTTTATTAGCGTAAATTGCGAAAGCGCCTTTCCTAATTTTTAGCCTAATCGGCTATTAGATATTTAAGCTTTTACGAAAATCGTTATTTATTACCCGATATTTTAAATTTTTATTTAAAATATTTTATTTTTTATAAATTTAATAAAAGGCGGCTTATTATAATATAATTAAAATAACGGCATTTAGGAAATCTATAGCCTAAGCCGAATTATCCTATGCTTTAATTATTTGCTTTATTTAGGCTTTTATTATAATTATTTTTTATTTATTAACCTAATTTATAATTTTTTTTAATATTTTCGGAAATTTAAAAACTTTTAAATATTATTTTTTTATTTTTTTTTATTATTTATAGCTAATTTGCTATAGCAAGCCCTTAAATTCTCGTATTATTTATATAAAGGCTTATTAATTAAATAGCACGTAAAAAAAAAATTTAAAAAAATCGTAATAATTATCTATTTCGTGATTTTTTTAATTACCGTATATTATTTAGCGTATATAGCCTCTTTTATTTTATAATAGTTATAATTAAGGTTAAACGATTTTTAACCTTTTTTAATAAAATCCGTTATCGTTTATTCCCCGTTTTTTTTATTTTAAATACTCGGATCGTCGCTTTTATTTATAGCTTCGAAAGTCGCTACCGCGGTTTTTATATATTTGGTTTTTTTTATATCCGGTTCGATTAGGGTTCTAATTAAAATCGTTTTATTTTTAAGGTAATTAATTAATCCGGTAATTTATACCTAAATCTAAAACGTATATTTTTAATTATTCTAATTAGAGGTTATTTTTAACGATGCCGTTAGACCGATTCCGGCTTTTTTTATAATTATTATTTTCGTAGCTTCGGCGGAGGCATTAAAACTTTTAATTATTAATTAAAGTGGTGCTTTCTTATTAGAGTTTAAATTAGTTTAATATAGGTATTAATTATATAATATATTAATTTATATTTTGCGCCTTTTAGTTTTAATAAAGTATACGCTTATTTAGGTGGCCCCGGCTAATCCCCGGGAGGTCCCGTATATTTATCTGGATATTATAGTATTGATCCGTGTGCTTAAGCACACGCCAGTGTATAGGAACCATAATCCACCATTTGATACTTATATTACGGTTATTTTTTAAAATAGCATTAAGCTTAATATTACTTATATTATTAAATTTATTTTTAATAAGCGTGCTTTTTTTAGCCTCGCTTTTTTGGCTTTATTTTTAATTAAAATAAACGGTAATAATATCGGTTTTTATAATCCTTTTATCGTTATAAATCGTCGCTGGCACGGTAGCAATTATATAATAATCCTTATTAAACCGCGAATAGCTATTTCTACTTTCCAAATTACGGTTTCGAATACCGCTTATAATATTTATTATATATTCCGTTTCTTTAAAATTAAAATAAAAATTTTTAATAAAAGTGCTATCGGCGGCGGAGCGATAATATAGATTAATAACTCCGCTATTACCCGGATTTATTATAATTATTTTACGCAAATATACCCGCAATATAAAAATCGAAAACGCTATAATAATTATCGCTATTTCGGCTACTATTTATATAGCTAAATCGCCGGTATAATAAGTAAAATCTTCCGAATTAACTAAAAGGATCTTAATATAATATATTATAAAAGTTATGCCGGCCCTATATTAATACGGATTAATACGCGACGTCGGTAGGCTACGCCCTTATTAAACCAATTAAGGCATTAAAAAAAAAAAAAAGGATACCGCTATAAGGTGCAGGAAAGGTATAGAATTTGATATTTACACCAATCCTAGGCTTATGCAGACTGCAACACCAATCCTCTCATTTATTCTCATATTCAACTTCATAATAATCGCCCATGGAACCAGCGCAAGTAGCCAGTCTATGGCTGCCGAGTAGGCTGCACCAAAGATGCTAAAGCGGATAGTGATGAGAATATCGAAACACGTCCCCGGAACCATTGGGTTCCACGCCGCTTCACTCGGAATGCATCGCAGAAAGGGCAGGATGGCATTGACAAGAAGCGTCAGGTTCAATGTGATGATGATGGCCCATACCGCTTTTTTCAGCCACCCGTCGGTAAGTCGCAAGAGGGTGAGGGCAAACGATGTCTTGGAAAACGCCGCAGCAACGAGCGTCAGAACACTCGTGACGCTCACGAGCTTGACCAGGGTATAAAGGTTTTCCTCGGGGACCTCGACAGAGTGCTTGCCAAAGCCCAGCGTCACTGCGTACGATGACAGGCTCACGTGCGTAATTAACAATAACTTTTTCCCAGGTCAGACTCGCGCAATCCACTTATACAAGATGCAATAGAATACTTGCCCATGATATCGTTAGAAAATGGTCGTCCCACCACAGCCTACTCTGCGTCAGCCTAACGTAGAGCCTCGTCCCCAGTAACACGGTCGCGGTAGCTGTCAACGCCCAGCAGATGCCATCTATTCTTGGTCCGATGGACATGATCGTTCAAAAGGGTCGAGCAGGACAAAGCAAGATTGTCAAATCAAAGACTGGCCCTTTGATGGCAGAACCATCGCCGCGAGCAGCTGAAGGGAGAAAAGGTGAAAACGGATTGCGAAACACCGAGTATCATATCTTCTTTGCCACCCTTCCCTCTTCCAGGGGATGATATCTTAAAAAGAACATGAGAAGAGAGATATGACCCCTGTAGGTTTTGGTAATAACAGTGGGCCAAAGCCTCTTTCGCCAGGGCCTCTGCCTCCTCTTCTCGGCACTTGGGGCCAGGGAGTCCATTCCATCGGGACGGTAGCCGATGGGGGGAGAAAATGGCAACTATACCTGCACCAATGCACTCTTTGACGATGGGGACATACCGCATTGGAGACGGACTCTACATGGCCATGATTGCGCCGCCCGCAAATAAGACTACACTACTACGACATCCAGTTCTGTGATGTTCGCTTCAACAATGAGAATCATGGGTAAGTTTGGGGTAGTCAGACTGTTTGGTGCTGGCCATAATAAATAGTCTACCTACTCAGCGCCTGGGCAGCTGAATTATTTTATCATCCAGCCGCTAAGAGGAACGATCGCAATCTTCCAAGCTGAACCCCAGTCTTATATCCGAATCTATCGTCTCCCCGAGCGCAGTGGCGGCCGCAAGTGGCACGGATGATCATGCCCAAGAGAGCCGTAGTAGATATAATAACTAGGTAGCACCCCCTTGACATTGGAATTTTTACACTCGTCACCAAAATGGTCGTTTTTCAATACCACAGAACATCAGCAAATTAACCGATTTTGAAGCAGGAAAAAAAGGAATATCAAATTATAGTAGCACGTCAAGGTCAAACTTTTCGAATCATCTTTTTTCAATTTTTTTGGGCAGACTGTCAGCCGTGTGAAGTTGGAGTGTATATTCACGAATGTAAAAATTCCCATGTCTAGCTCCTGGTAGGTAGGTAGCTAATACCTAGCTCTATTACTCTTTCCCCCCGGAGATCTCGGCTGCTGGATATGATTAGTTGGTAGCTTGAGATTACGATAAGCCTATAGAGGTTTAGCAGCCGGGCCCATTGTCCAATACAATAACACTTTCACATTGAATGGCGAGAGAAAGGGGACTACGCGCGTACAAGGCTGAACTGATGCCAGTGAGATTGAGGCGTACCTGACAAGACCATTCCATCTGTAAGCGAGAGGCTGCACTCGAGGTTAGCGAGCCAAGATGGTTGCAGTTTGCGTATAGTCTCCAGGTAAGATAAGCGAAAAACGTGGATACTAGGCTCATGCATACAGAGCACATGCTTTGTCGCAGTTTCTGGCGTAGCGACAGAGAGAGAATAACGACACAATGAGAAGAGCGGCCTGTGCCCTCACCCCTCTCTGACCATGAAACAGATTAGCGAAGACGGGTGAGAAAGTTGCGTCGGTGCTTTGAATCCAGCCGCTCGGGTACATTATCTTGCGCGTGCCAAGACATGTCAAAGTGTTTTAGCATGTGGACAGCCGATCGTGGGGAAAATCTTTGGTCTTCTTCACTGATTTTCCTACGAGGCGAGGAGGACACCTTGTCTCAAATCCCGTTCAGAAAAAGAGGGCATGAAATGGTCCATTCTGGGCCCAGATATTATCCCTACGTGGGTAGAAAGCCGGCAGCCGTTGGCTAAGAGTGGGATGTGAAGCCGATCGCAGCTCTGAGCTATCCCGCTTTTGAGGATAGAAGGTGGCAGCTGCGAAAGGGCATTGGCACGAGATATTTCCCCTGGTTTCTGACGGATTTGCGATATCGGGTTGTCTTCTCATTTCAAGCGCACAAGATCAAACTTCAACTTGACTCTGCATCTTTGATGCCTTTTCTTTCTCAATGTGACAGGCGTCGTTTACATACTCAGCACGCCTATTGCTGCAAGTGTTGAGAGGCGACACCCTCCCGTACCCGAAGTCGTATCATGGTTCTGGTCGCAAGGCTTTGAATCCACAGCACAGGAGGTGACATATAAACAGAAGAAGAAGAAGAAAGCCACTAAGCCCTGAACTCAGCATATAACATAATCATTTTCTTCTATGACGGCATCGCATATAGGCGCAGTGTAGTAAGTCAAATAGTAAGCGAGATCTAAGCGAAATATACTCGTACGTTATTGTTACACTACCAACTTGGCCAGTAGCAATTGGTTAGGGAGTAGGTATCTAACCTACCTAACCTGCCTACCAGCTACCTCAGGTTAGATGTCGAGTCGCATTTTGTGCAAAACACCCCACCACCTACCTAATTTACCCCGCCATCCCACTTCCATTGGCCGTGCATGCACATTCGCCGCGAGGGCCAGATCATCAATTGCAGTGTCAACCAGAGCCAGAATCCCACCTACATTAGCACTTGGTCGCAACCAACCAACCCAACACTATACCCCTCGATAGCTGCGCCGACAGCATCCCGATATCATGGCCGAGGAATCAAAAGTCATCGACCCCCAGCTCGCCGAGCCCGCTGAGGAAGACCCCAAGGGCAAGGGCAAGGCCGCTGCCGTGGACTCAGACGACGAAGCCGACGAAGAGCCAGCCGCCGATGCCAGCGCACCTGCCGCAAAGAAGAAGAAGTCCAAGAAGAAGAAGCTCAAGGATGCCCTCTCTGGAAAGTCCTCGTCCAAGGATGAACAAGAGTCCAAGCTGCACAAGGCCATTGACAACCTCACCCCCGACCAAGTATCCCAGCTCCTCGATCTCAACCCGGCGCTGGCCAGCGAAATCGCCAAATCGACCGGCAGCAATGATCTGAGCTCGGCCACTGAGGCCTTGAAGAGGCTTAAGCTCCAGGAAATCATGACGGGCTTGGCTGCCAGTGGAAAGAACGCAAAAGACATGGGCGCATACAAGTTCTGGTCAACACAACCTGTCCCCAACTTTGGCGAGGAGTCCAAGTTTGAGGATGGTCCCATCAAGGTCCAGACTCTGGAATCGGTTCCAAAGGAACCGGCGCCGCTCATTTCGGGCTTTGAGTGGTGCGACATGGACATCTCGAATCCCCAAGAGAATGAAGAGGTTCGTGAGCTTCTTCAGGGACACTACGTTGAGGATGACGAGGCTCTGTTCCGGTTCAACTACTCGTACAGTATTCTCAAGTGGTGAGTGTTGGATCTGTCTTGGCTATCGATTATTAGGCGCTAACATACAGAATCATAGGGCAATGATGCCTCCCAACTGGAAGAAGCAGTGGCATGTCGGTGTGCGCGCATCGGCTTCCAAGAAGCTCGTTGCCTTCATCTCTGCTGTGCCCTTGGAGATCCGAGTCCGCAAGAACATCGTCCACGCGTCCGAGGTCAACTTCCTTTGCATTCACAAGAAGCTGCGATCCAAGCGACTCGCTCCGGTTCTGATCAAGGAGGTTACACGCCGCTGCAACCTGGAGGAGGTCTGGCAAGCTATCTACACTGGCGGTATTGTGTTGCCCACTCCAGTCAGCACTTGCCGTTATTACCACCGTGCCATTGACTGGCAGAAGCTGTACGAGACAGGCTTCAGCCCCCTTCCTGCTGGTTCCAAGCCTCAGTACCAAGTCCGCAAGTACCATGTACCCGAGAACACCAAGCTGAAGGGCCTGAGAGAAATGCAAGAAAAGGATGTCGATGCTGTTCACGATCTCCTGATCCGGTACCTCCAAAGATACGACCTTGCTCCTGACTGGAACAAGGAGGACGTTCGCCACTGGCTTCTGCATAAGAAGGCCAAGGACCAGCTCGAGGAGCAGGTCATCTGGACTTACGTGGTTGAAGACGAGAACAAGAAAATTACGGATTTCTTCTCGTTCTACTGCCTCGAGTCGTCTGTCCTGCGCGAGTCGAAACACAAGGTTGTTCGTGCCGCCTATCTCTTCTACTACGCAACAGAGACTGGCCTTGGCGACAACGTCGACCGGGAAGCCTTCAAGACCAGATTGAATGCACTCATGTCAGATGCTCTCGTTCTCTGCAAGAGAAATAAGTTTGACGTATTCAATGCCCTCTCACTCATGGACAATGGTCTGTTCTTGGAGGAGCAAAAGTTTGGTGCTGGTGACGGCCAGCTTCACTACTATTTGTTCAACTACAGGGCCAATGCTATTGCAGGAGGTGTCGACAAGCGGAATCGTCTGGATGACCAAGCGCTTAGCGGCGTTGGCTTCGTCATGCTATAGAATCTTCCTCCAAGAAGCAGATGCATTACGGGGCAGCTTTGTCGAAAATAGCTCCGCAGGGTCCTCCGGTCCAGCAAGAGGTGTGCACTATTTTCAGTTTTTTGGACACGTAGGGTTCTCAAGACTGAGACACTTGTAGTAAATATCACCACTAAAAGTCAAATGATGTCGAATCTCTCATGAGAAACTTGCTCCATTCCTTCTCTCCCTCGATCCTGTGATAAATCTTCATGAATCCGCTGTTGTCCATGTGTTCCATTTCTGCAGCTCCAAATCCAATGGTTTCGGTATAATGGCTCCCGCGTACAATGATTCATGCTACCTAGGTATGCTTCGATCCGTTACAACTCCAAATCTCCCTGTTGTACTCCACCAGCTTATGCTTAGTTGCACTGGCCTTGAAAACGGTTCTAGAATTCAGGAGCTTGGCGATCAGCCGAGCTCCAAGTCGTGTGAACCCGTTTTCCTATCTCTAAAGGCCCTAGTAATTAAAGCCCGGTAGACGCTAAAAAATACCCCAGGCTTTGCTTCTCCGCACGCTTGAAGTCCAAAAGATTCCGCAAATCGGCTCACTTCTTGATAACAATGGCGGATATGATCTCGAAATGCGGAGAGGAACACAGCCGACATGGACGCTAAAGGTGATATTCTGCGATAAGAGCCAGCTATAACTAAGTAGCGGAGGTAACCACTTGCTATACTCTGATTATACCTGCATTCAACTTTTCTCTTTCTTCACTTTCTGACAAGTTCTTCTACGCAAGCGTTTGTTTCTTCCAAAATCATCAAGATGGCTGAAAACTCCATGTTTACCGAAGGGCAGTTCCTGCTCGGCACGTTTGCCAGCAACTGCAGTAGCGGCATGTCCGTGACCAAGATCCCTGAGCGATGGGTGAATTCGTGGGAAAACAATCTCAAATTGGCCAAGCTGTTGGATGAAGCCGGAATCGACTTTATGCTTCCTATAGCCCGGGTGGGTGACTATCTTGATCTGTCGAATTGCCTACCTTGGTAGCAATCAGAGACTGCATTTCAAGGGCTGCGAGTGCCAGCATCTGCTGCCTTTTTGTTTACCGACCTTTGCTAAACAGACTGCTGATATTTTGATGACTTAGTGGATCGGTTACGGAGGAGAGACCAACTTTCACAAAGACGTGCTGGAAACCGTCACATGGGCTACTGGTCTACTGGCGCACACCAAGGACATCAACGTGATTGCTACTGTCCACACAGTTGCAAACCACCCAGCCGTCGTAGCAAAGCAAATTGCTACCATTGACAAGATTAGCAACGGGCGTGTAGGCCTCAATATCGTCGCTGGCTGGAACCAGCCCGAGTATGAAGCGCTGGGGCTGCAACTGCCCGCCACGCACGAGGAGCGCTACGGGTACGCACAGGACTGGTTCGACGTGATCAAGGCGTTGTGGACCAAGACGGAGTCGTTTGACCACGACGGAAAATTCTTCAAGCTCAAGAACATCCTGGGCCTCCCGCAGCCGTCGCGGCGGGCGCCCATTCTCAACGCCGCGGGCTCGGGGCAGGGCCGCGAGTTCGCCATCAACAATGCCGACTTCTTGTTCACGCCGGCGATTGACCTGGAGCGGAGCAAGGGCGAGGTGGCGGCGCTCAAGGCGCAGGCGCGCGACGCGGGCAAGACGGTCGGCGTGCTGACGCTGGCTCACGTCGTCTGCCGCCCAACGGAGCAGGAGGCCAAGGACTTTTACGCCTACTTCTGCGAGCAGAACACGGACGAGGGCGCCGTGGACAACCTCGTGGCGCTGCAGTTTGCCCACGCCCAGTCGTTTCCACACGACCTGCTCGCCCTCATCCGCAACCGCATGGCTGCCGGCCACGGTGGATATCCCCTCATCGGCACGCCGCAGCAGGTGGCTGATGGGCTCTTGGCTCTGCACGCTGCTGGTTTCAACGGCACGACGATTTCGTTTGTTGATTACGTTGAGGAGTTTCCTTACTTTAGGGATAACGTCCTGCCCATCCTGGAAAAGGCAGGCATTAGACGTCCGGCACGCAGTGCCTGATATTGTTCACCGAGAGCAAGGTTGACAAGAATAGATGAAACAATGATCAATGAAACAAAATGATTTTAAATATCTGTGCTAGAAGCCTCACAAACTAAAAGATACGGGTCCAGTGCATCGCAACGGTTGGGGTGAGATGTGAATGTCTGTCCAAATTCAAAGTGTTGAGATGGATAAATAAAGTCTTGGCTCGGCGTTTTCAACCTAGCATAAACCCAGAATTTAAGTTTGGGCAAATGACCACATCTCCCGAAGTAGATATGGATGCAACGATTGATTGGCTCATCAGGACCGTACATGTCAATTGTTTCCCCCAAGAACAAAAAGCACATGAAAGGAAGACGGAACAAGTATTACTTGCAATTACCGTGCTACATATGCAGGTGCCTGTTGGAATAGAATGAGCTTATCGAAAAGTTTCATAAATCGCGGCAGGATCCAGGGCAAGTATGCAGGTAGCGAAAAGCAATATCGTACTATCAGAGTCGCACTGGAGGGTGTCTGTCTACTTTAGCAACCAGCAGCGTTGTGCCTCGGTCCCTAATAATCCAGCTTATCTGGGGCTGTCTCGGGGCGGCTTGAACGGCACCACGAAGACCGATCGTCATTACTCGCGATTCCACATTCCCATAATTTCGTCACTTTCCAAATGTTGGTTGTGCATGCATGCGACTTTTTGAGTAATTGCTGTAATTCAATTTCTTCAGTTTGCATCTAGACGCGAATTTGGATTTACCTGTTGTCCACTTTCATTCAAGAGCCGCGACGCAGACTTGTTCCTCCTACACGATCCAGCCTTAACGGTGAGCACGTGCACCCGATAGAACCGAGTCAATAGAGGCGACGTCACAACTTTCAAATCTCACCATGTGAGTAGCGCACAACTTTAACGATGAATCGCAGATATACTAAACCAAGGATAGGGCAACCACAAAACCTCAACGGTCCTTGGCCGAAGATATCAAGAAGCACCCAGCATTTCCGACGGCAGTATGGCAACTCGTGCCAGACCGCCAGGGCCTGTTGCCTGTAGCGGCTGACCGTGGAGGCCCCGTTGATATCTCCTGGGAAATCCATGGCGAAGGGCCCATCAAGATGCTTGTAAGCTTGCGTCTTTCAAACCCACTTCCCTCCAGTACATGAGGACTGTAAAAGTGAGAGCAAATATAATGCTAACCACAATGTCAGTGGATCTGCGGCCTTGGATTCATCAAAAGCTCTTACCAGCGCCAAACAATGCATTGGGGTCACTACCACGCAGACAAGTACTCGGTCCTGATCGTTGATAACCGTGGTATGGGCGGATCGGGTAAGCCGCTTTCGCGGTATTCGACCTCTGAGATGGCAAAGGACATTATCGAAGTCCTCGACCACGTCGGGTGGATCTCGTCGCGACAGGTGCACATCTGTGGCCTGTCCATGGGTGGCATGATTGCGCAAGAGCTGGGCATGCTGATCCCTGACCGTATCGCCTCGCTCAACCTGCTCTGCACCGCCGCCGCCATTGAGAACACCACCTCGTTTACTGAAAACATGATGAACCGCATCACCATGTTGCTGCCAAAGTCCCTGGACCGCACCATTGAGTATGCTGCGGGCAACATCTTTGCCAAGGCCTTTCTGGACGAGCCCGACGCCGCCAAGCCGCCCACGGCCTCAACCCCCAAGGTCAAGATGCCCCCGAATGGCGAATATCTCATGTTCGAGACCAACTTTGACCGCTTCGCAGCCCAGGAGATCACCAAGCAAATGGACAAGGAGGGCTTCACCAAGCAAGGCTTCCTGTGCCAGCTCATTGCGGCGGGGTGGCACCACAAGAGCCCGGCCCAGCTCAAGGACATGGCGGACAAGGTCGGCCGCGAGCGTATCCTGGTGCTGCACGGCACCGAGGACAACATGATTTCCATCCCGCACGGCAGAAAACTGGTCGAATACATCCAGCCTGGAGCGGGCGTCATCGTGGAAGGCATGGGCCATGCTCCAGTCATGGAGCGAACAGAGTGGCTTGCAGACTTACTAAGCGAGCGCATGGCGGTTGGCGAGAAGCTTAGCGGAAGGGCATGATCCTGAATGAATACGTGAATTCTTACTTTCTTCCATATATAGATTATTCGTACGCGTAAGATTTAGAGTATGAAGGCAAACATTCAGCAAATGAAACTGTAAGGACTGATTTCAAGATTATTTGAATAGAGGGTTAAGTGACTCTGTTAGTGCATGCCAGTTCCAGATGGGCTGCACGATCACAAAATACTGCGACTGATGAGATCCTCTGTGATTCGTTCAAGGCCGGGCTAGTTCATACATTCGCACAGTCTACAAGCCACAAACAGAAGTAAATCATTTCGGTATATCCTAAACCAACTCCGCCTCTATAACACTCTCGAGGGCTCTCGGGTGTCTAGAAATGGACACCACTTGGAAACCCATACCTCCCAGCAGCTTCCTCCAGTGCTCCTCGGTCCTCTCCAGACCAGAAGTACAAGCCATGAGCTGCAGATCCATGGTCGTCATCATGCTGCTCGCACCCTGCGCCGGCAGCACAATCTCATAGATAATGAGCTTGGAGTAGCCCTTGGTCATGGCCGCCTTGACGTTTTCAAAGATGCGCACGCAGTCGGCGTCGGGCCAGTCGTGAGGCACGGCGTGGAAGAAGTAGGCCCTCGCGCCCCGGACCGGCTGCGGCGTGAAAAAGTCATACGGCATGCGCGTGATGCGCTCGTCGAGTTCTTGCCGGATGTGCTTTTCAATCACGTCCGGCAGGTCCTGGAGGACCACGGCGCCCGCCGGCAGCTCTGGGTGCTTGGCGAGGAACCGGGCCGAGTCGAGACCGTGGGCACCGCCAACATCAACGAGCAGCGGGGCGGGGTTGCCCTTGTTGCTGTCGTCTTGCAGATTGGCGCCCTCGGTGAGCCTCGTCGTGTCGTAGACTTGTGTCCAGTCCATCTTGTGGTTCCGGAGCGCCGCCATTAGACCAATGAAGCTGCCACCGGCCCCGGTGTGCTTTTGGCAGTAGGTGAAAAAGTCGTCACCAGACATATCTCTGTAGTTGTCAAATTCGGCAATGTCAAGAGGCTCTTTGTAATCATATTTGGGCAGAAACTTGGCCAGGTTCATCCCGCAAGGAACTGTATGATCCATGCTGTGGTTTTAGGTCAGCTCCCTGGAGTATAATGGCATCAACTCTCAAAACAGAGTGTGTGACTTTACCCGCATTGAACTGTCTGATCTAGATAGGACACTGGGTCACCCATTGCCCGAGAGAATGGCGTCGACTTCCAGGTATCGGGACCAACCTCTTCCAAGATGTGAACAGCGGCAATGTGTCTGACAAACCGGCCTGGCGGAATATGAGCACACATTCAATGGCCTGGCTTCGCATGCGTCCAATACTCACGAAGAAGATTTGGCTCTACCGGTCTCGTCGCCATAGCCAGCAGATTTTCGAGCGTCTTTGGGCCGCCCGGGTGGGCCGTTTCTTCCTCAAGCCACTTGGCCCAGATTCCCAGGTCCTGGCATACCTGCAGCCCAGATAACAACACTGGTGTCTCGAACCCGAGCTCCCAAGCTCTCTCAAAGGGAGTCTCTAGCCTGGCGAGTAGTCTTCGGGCGGCCTCTTTGGCCGCGTATCGCCCCGCGTCGCTGCTAAAGGCTTCCACCTGTATCGAGTCCAGCAGAGAGATGGTTTCTGCGTCGTCTAGAGCCGGTGCCATTGTGGAACGGGTTCAATACCAAGGGGATGATACAGGGCGAGCTGAGTATGAATTGGAAAGGGGTGTGAAAGAGGGCTCGCCTCCGATTTTAAGCAAGGAAAAGCTCATCCCATATTGACATCCGCAGGAGAACCCGGGTGCCTTGAATGGGCAATCAAGAACCATGTACCTCGGCCGAATCAACTCATGTGTGGATATGAGACGTAAGCGTCAAGGATTCGAGGACAGCCTTATGCATCTCCCGTGGCAATCTCCACATGGGTTTTCTTTCTTGCAACTATTCTCAAGTGTCCCTGTTCTCGAAACATGACTATCTTTCCACTTCGCTTATTGCTAATGCTTGAAATTTATAGACAGTTATATGTTCAGATTACGCTCTGGTACTTTTCCTCTGGGGAATTTCAATATATATGAATTTGCCGTTCTTCGATTCGGATCAGCTCCAATCTGCAGTGTACTTTGTCGCTGCACCAGGGTCTATACCCATGGTGGATCCCCAACATTAGTAGTTGGCGAATCCAAACGCATTACCAAGAGCGTCGCCTCCTGCCCGGCGTAATCTCCGTCGCGAACTACTGCCCATTTGTAGATGCATCTTGCTTGACTTACAAGGCTACCAATCTTGGTCGGCAGCCAGGACCACGTGTTTTTGAGCAGTGGCAGTCTTGATCCCAAGACTCCTCATGTGTTCTTGAGTAAACCGCAACAGAATACTTTGAAGGGCCTAATTGAGTATTATCAATACCCATTACTCGTTATAACATGCCCGCCAAGGATGCGCGGCCTGCTAAAAAGTTCTGTTGCATTCATCTTGTGGCCATATACCACGAAGACATGTCCGTGCACAATCTGCTTCTTGTCGAATTCATATCGTGCACTTACAAAAAAAAAGGCCTTACGTTCCGATGGGAAAGTGAGATCCCTATTATTTCGAAGTCGTATACAAAGGGCCATAGCTCAGTGTCTTCCAACATCGACTTTTTGGTAGACGCACCCCATTAACTATCCGCGGATCAACAGGTAATACCCACAAATATATACTTGTCATTACATTCTAGACCACCTATTGCGCTGCACCTATCACACTACTCCTTGCCATATGATTAAACTGGCCGCAGCCGGCGAGCTTTTTTTTTGGTTGGTGTGGGGGTGGGGGTCCGATTCTTAAAAAAGACAAAACATGATCAACTTGAGTTGGATTTATTAAGTTTGTTTTTCTTTAAGAAGAAAAACAGTGCAGTGCCATAAGTGCAGCCAGATAAACGGTCCAGAGTAGTGGGATTGCTGCGGTGGGATCAAGTGGGTTAGGTGGGAGCAGTGTGGGAGGAGTTGATTTTTGGTATACTTGCTTATATAACCTGGCTCTGTTCTACCGCTGTCTACCTAATAGGTTTAGTTTAATCTAGGCAGGTATAATGAATAATGGATGGCCCTTTGACTCCCTTTGCGATGGTTGGTCACAACTATTAGTAGACGGATTTACGGAATTAAGGAAAACAGGCGGGAGTCGCTCTGGTAATTATATTGCCCGTAGCTGACAAATTGAGGTTTAACAACGAATGCTATAGGCATATCACTCTGTCCTTGCCGACGACATGACTCGTGAAGAACATTCTACGCTGTATATAATAGCATCCGATCTAACACCAATAATTCATCTGCCATGCATACTATATTTTTGAAACCTTGTCGTCTCAATCTCGTAAACGATCATGTACAACCGCATCGCAGTGTACGGCCACCGAGGCTGGGTTAGTTCCGCCATTGTTGATAACCTTGCAATCTCCGGAGCATCAGTCACTGTGCTTTACCGTCCTGGGTCCGATGTTTCGGGACTTGCAGGTGCCACAAAGAAGATTGAACTCGACTTGGAAGACGAAGAAGCACTGGTTGCTGCACTTCAGGACATAGATATTGTGATGTAAGTCAAAGTCTGATGCGCGATGAGTGTTTAGTTGATGACTGACGCCAGTCTTTCCTGTCCGCCAGTTCTCTCGTTGGACACGAAGGTGTATCAAGACAGCACGCATTCATCAAGGCCATCCCCAAGACGAATGTGAAGCTTTTCGTTCCATCTGATTTGGCTGCTCGTTATGAGGAGCAAGGACTTCGAATCGGCGTCAATGCCGCCAAGGAAGCCATCGAGTTGGCAGCCAAACGGGCATCCATTCCAATGACGATAGTCCTCCCTGGCAATTTTGCGGAATTCGCCCTAGGAACCTTGTAAGACAGACTTTCCGGGAAAAGACATTTTGTCAGATAATGTGAAGTGTATATACTAAGAGTTGTCGGCACAGGGCCATGGGTGTGGATTACAAGGGGAACAGGCTTATTTACACGGGCGAAAGCGCTGACAAACCGTTGAACCTCTGGTGAGTGGACATCAAGCAAAGGCCCGGGACTCTAATGACCAGATGCATCACTGACTCTTTATTGGCAACCAGTACGCGGCACCATGTTGCGGCCGCTTATGCATCCATATTTGCAACTACACCCATCGAAAAGCTGCAAAACAGAGTTATTGCGCTGTCCGAATTACGACCTACAGGTAAAGCCGTCGCTTTGGCACTCGAGAAGCGGCACGGAAAAGCACCAAAGATAGTTGCACAGAGTCTGGAAAAGATCAATGATCAAGTAGAAGAAGCTCTTCGGGTTGGAAGTCCTTTCGCCCTGGCATGGTATTGCCGCAAGATTTGGGGCACAGGGCAGCAGGCAGAGATGATTGGAAACGATATCTGGGAGGTCCCAGGATATTCACCAGCATCTCTCGAAGACCTGGTGGTGGAGGGTAAGCTAGAACCATATCGCGGCATGCCGCCACAGGTTGTGGAATTCTTCTCAAAGACATTTGAATAAAGTTGGCATGCGCCGAAAAGAAAATACCAAATGATTAAAATATCTGAAGCCATGACCATTGGGCAAGTTCTGATTAATCAACTGTGTTACAGTAGGCAAGGGTCACATGAAGTTTGGTACTGGTCGGCTACCCAGGCCCACGGGTCAAAGGTGCCTGTGTTAGTGGAGTTTAGGACCCAAGAAATTGGTTATCAGAAGAGGTGGCGCTAGCTCGCGGGCCCCAAGTCTTTCTCGTCCCTCCCACTTTTGACCACAAACAATCGCCACTTACACACTATTCTTACTCAGGCCATTCAGAGGCCCATAAATGAATTGATATGATAAGTGAGCCGTTTATCCATATCGTTTAGCAGCCTCTCTCCGCAACCGACTTCCGCCCGATCAAAGAGCACGCGACCTTGTGCCTCAATAGGAAGGTGGAAGTGCGATCATCGTCGGTTGTCCGGCCGCCCCTTGAAGGTGCTAAATGGTGAACCCGCCCCGAACGCCCTAGCCCATGCAGCTAAACACCATGTCACGAATCCTCCAGCAGGGCCCCGACGGCAAGGGCCCGAATACAAAAGCCTACGACCGTCCGCGTCGTCATGGCCGTAATGATTGGCGAAGACTCATGTTCCTGGGCTTGGCAGTCTTCATCATGATGGCCGGATCGTGGAAAAGGGCCCTCTGGCTGGTGCCGTCGCTAGCAGTGCCTGTGCTGTCGGGTGCATCCTGCAAGTTTGACCTGTACAAGCACTTGGGAAACTTGTCGCCGTATTTTGTGCCAGACAATACTCCGGCCTCTTTAAAGTCTGGCGCGCCGCCGGGCTGTACAGTCGACAAGGGCTTCCTTGTGCACCGACACGGCAGCCGTAATCCTCTGTCGGACGAGGTTGGCGTTATACAAAACCTGTCATACTATATCAACAACAACTCGGCCCTCTTCTCGACTCCACAGACGGAGCTGCCGGCCGAGTACGCCTTTTTGACGGCGGGCTGGAACAGCACCTTTACCATCAATGACCTGTCTGCCCCCGGCCGACAGCAGCTCTTTGACCATGGCGTGGCCATGAAGCTCAAGTACCCTGATCTGTTCACCGACGTTGTGCTTGCCGGCGACCAGGATCGCGTGGTGGAGTCGGCCGTCTGGTTCATGGACGGCTACTATGGCCGTTATGTCAACTCGACAGCGACTCTGAACCGCATTGCCGAGGATGATGTCACTGTGAGCTGGATCACCCCAGTCGATACTTGCGATGGCTGGGAGTACAGCCTGGGAGGCAGCCTGGTCACTGAATGGGGTGCCGTCTACCTGCCTCCCATTGCAAAGCGGATCAACAGCTTACTGGCTGAAGCCTATCCGACTGTGAATTTCACAGCCGCCCATGTCCACGGCATGTTGTACGCCTGTGCATATGGCACTGCTGTGTATGGCATCGACTCATCTCCGTGGTGTCCCATCTTTCTCCCAGAAGAGATTCTCAACCACGAATACGAGTATGATCTCCTGATGCGAGGTGCCTTTGGCTACGGCTTGCCAGACGACATGGGCACCGTTGTAGGCAGCCTCCTCGTGTCAAACGTGACCGCGTTCCTTCAGGACAACTCGGGGCCCAACCTGTCGTTGAACTTTGGCCACGACACCACGATTGACCTCGGACTGACGGCGCTCGGTCTCGCCGCGGACCCGGCATACCCTCCAGAGGGACCTGTCAATGCCACACGTGCTTGGCGGACGGCGAACCAGGTGCCCTTTGCTGCACAAATGTTTTGGAGGAGTCTGTCGTGCGGCGAGGACACCAGGATCCAGCTGCTGCTCAATGAGGCCAACTTTGACCTGAGCCCGACTGGTTGTAAGAGCGATGAATATGGGACATGCAGCTTTGGGGACTTTATTGCTGCTGACACTGTCCAGGCCGCGCTCAATGTGACGCACGGCGATGCGAGATGGTCGGCTGCATGTGCTGCAAGTCAATAAAGGAGGAAACAGATGAGCCTATCCGATTTATAATAATAGTAGCAGAAGTAATCAAGAAAGTTGTTTTCAACATAACGAGACATTTTCCGCCTTGGTGAGGTTCGGAGATATGCCGGAGACATATCGGAGACGTATTTGTCCGATGTCTCATGCCGGGGAAATACAAGTTCAACATTGATGGCTCAGCTGCTGAATCCTGCGATGATGGCAGGTCTTGAATGACATAGGAGTGCTGTCCCCACTATTCGAACCTCGACTGGGACAATCGGAGTTTGACATGTCAGCTCGTTATGATTATTCAAGATGCACTCTTTACTTGTCCTTATATTGAGGCTGAGGCTGATGCTTCCTGATTTCTTTTATTAGTAGAATGGAATCTAGGAGTCACTTATGACTTGTTAGTGAGAAAGTTTTGGTATTGGGGTATATGAGCAGTCATGATAGAAAGAGAGGACAATCAGCACGTGCGGATAGAATGCAGGAATATATGCGTGGCGTCGGCACAGGACGCCACGCCCGCAAGCAGAGCACTTTGGATCAATTCGGTGCGGGTTGCACGTTGGTGAGAGGCCGGGTGGTGTGGGGGGGTTATATGAGAAGTTATAGTAGAAGATGGAAGGAAAGAAACAACATCATCAACCTAGTTTTTTATCCTAGTCAGCATCGTCTCAACCACGATAATAAGAGCGAGACGCGATGAAGCCATGACACGGATTCGAAGTCCCTTCACGGGCATCCTACGCAAGGCATGGGGTGTTCAAGCTGGCAGCAGTGGTGGCACATGCGGATAGTACTCAAGGTATGTAGGCCGGGATGTTTAGGTGGCGGACGCCTGTAAGCAGAGAATTGTCATAGAAGGAAAGAACAACATCATTGGCCTGGTTTCAGCCCGTCTTCTTGTCAAGCATAAATACTTTAAGTTAACAACGAGTTTCTATTTCATCATATCGTTGGGCGGTCTTTCAATAGTAAGACAAATATCGACTTGTGTATTCAATTCCCGTTCAATAATATACAGTCAAAACCATGTCTCTGTCCGCTCAACCGTCAATCCACGCGCAAGACCTTTTTGGAGTCAATGGCCTGGTCGCAGTAGTGACGGGTGGTGCCGCAGGTGTGTGCCTATAAGCCCCCGCATCACAGAAGCATGTCGCTGACCATTATATAAACAGGCATCGGGCTAATGATGACCAAGGCCCTGGAGGCCAATGGCGCTACCGTCTTTATTATTGATCTTCGTCAAAATAAACTTGATGAAGCCCAAAAACAAGCGGTAGGTTTTTACCCGTCGTGTTTTCACTTACCACTTTTTCACTCTAGTATTCCCTCGTTTCTCCCAAAACCAAGAATGCGGCTGAGATTATTTCTATCCTTGTAGAAACATGGGAAAATCATTCCCATTCAGGGCGACGTGACGTCCAAGACAGAGCTGGCAAGGATCGTGTCCACGATTGCGTCGCACCCCCTCAGCGGCGGCGTCGTCAACCTCGTGGTCGCCAACGTCGGCATCAAGGGTCCCGAGCCACCCGTATCCCTGGACCCCGGCGGCCCAACCGCGAAACCCTCGTTGCAAGAGGCCTACGAGTTTCTCTGGGCCCCCGAGACGGCCGACTTCAACGCCGTCTTTGCCACAAACGTCTCGGCCACCTATTATACCGCCGTGGCCTTTTTGCCGCTGCTCGACGCCGGTAATGCTGCGGGCAATGTATCCCAGAGCAGCCAAATCGTCATCACGGGCAGCGCGGCCTCGTACTCGCGCGTCGCGTCCAGCATGTTTGCCTATGGCGCGAGCAAAGCTGCGACGAATGACTTGACTAGGCGGCTCTCCACGACTTTGGTGCCATATCACATTCGAGTCAACTCCATCATTCCGGGAAGTAAGTGAATGCAATATTCGTTTTTCTCAGAACTATCTAGACTCCCTATGTCAAGCAGATGTCAAGGAACGTCCGCGAACCGCAGGCTGACACGAATAGCGTTCCCATCCGAGAACACTGAAGACCTCGTCAAGTTCTTTGACGCTAACCCAGAAGTCTTGAAGGAAATCTTTCCTGTTGGCCGTTTGGGAAATACAGAGGATATTTCTGGACTGATTCTTTGGCTCAGCTCGCGTGCAGGGTCATATGTCTCCGGCAGTATTGTTCTCGTGGACGGAGGCGCATTGAGCGTGCGTCCCGCATCTTACTGACGTGACATACAAGCGATACCACAGGATTCGTCAGTGAAACCATCGAAATACGAGTGGCATCCTCATATCTGAGTGTCGATTGGTCGCAAACTAGTTGGACAAGCAAGTTCATTACCTCTTCGCTTGTACATCGTCATCTTCACCATGCCTCCTCGCCGCCGCCCTCCTACTGCCTATGTGGGCGCAGAGCCTTTGCCGCTCGAGGAGTCTTGCCTCAGCCAGCTGAATCAATTGATGAGACTTCTGGCTGTTGCCTCTTACTACAATCAATGTGGTCACTGAAAATCACTTGTTGAAATCATAAATATCGTAAACAGTTGTTATTAATTGTGATTGAATGTGATTGATTTTTTGGAAAGAATTTTCAGTTTGAAAAAGGTGAAAAAGAAAGGGAAAGAAATTTGTACAAATATAGCCTCAATGTGCTACCAGGCAGCTCACAATCCATCCTAAAATGCAGAATCCCTGTTTTATCAAAAGCTCAGCCACATCAAATCCGTAGTTGGTGTTGTTAATGTGGGGGATGCCGAGTGAATTGGGGTAGCTCAAGTCACTGAAAAAGACGGCGGACTCATTTGATCTTGTTGTTTGTTGTTGCCATGACATTGCTGCATATGGTCTTGGTTGCGGTTTGCCAAGGCCGCAAAGTCCTCGAAGCCGCCGTCTAATACGGGGATAGTTAATCTTGCTGCATCGGTAGTCCGGATGAGTATGAGGTTGAATTCAACTTACCGGTCTCCTCCTCGGCGAAGCATTTTATCTATGCCTAGGCGAGCCTCTCCAGGCGCGATGGGATCAGGAACTCATCGCATGATACCTGTCTCACCCTCTCATAATCATAACACACGAGGTCGCGGTTAGGATCGGGAACGACATTTCTGACGCTCTTGTCCCAAATGGTGAGCATGTAGTCTTCATGGACATACGCGGGTTGACCGTTCTGTTTGTGCCTTTGGACAATTATGGAAGTTGCTGTTCCGGGCGAAATACTGGGTGCATTCAAAGAAAACTCAGATTGGCGTTGTTCTTCCGGCCAGTGAGTTATGCTCATCCAAGCCACAAGTTTGGTCTCTCTTGGAGAATTCGAAATCGGTGGGAGGCAAGGTCCGCTGGCGATTAGGCGCACACCCTTTATCACGACAGGAAAAACATCTCGTATATCTCATTCTGCTCATCTATCGCATCCATGAGGGCTTCAAGTTCAGCTTCGTCAAGGGGCTCGCTGCTCCATTTCAGCATGTCCTTGGCTTCTTCGACAAAAATTTCTGGATCTTGGAGAATCGGCGCTATGCTTTCCCGGGAACATTTGCTTGACTAGGGGCAGGTGTGTAAAGTGGTTAAGGCAAAGAGATGAGATGACTTAATGAGTTGGTATGCCGTATCATGAAGGCTTGAAGCGAGTTTGTGAGTTGGTAGGTTTTTATGATGTGGGAAAGGAGAGGAAAGTTTCGGGTTTAAGTACTCGGGGGAAAACAAAACAATGGTACGTCTCTGGACGGGCACGCCTTCTGCATCACATTGCGCGCGTCGTGGCTGCATGGCCTTGGTTGACAAGAAGGAACAACGCATGCGCCTGCTTTACCGTAATGAAGCCAAGTCAAGTGGTATCTTCCTCTATCGTCGCGATCTTGTGACGCTGTGGTGCTGGTGCTGCTGGACGACTGGTTGTTGCCCGGCGATTGTGCTGTCAAGATCACCAAAGCCCAGAGCTGTTCTGCGCTTCGGGCACACTATGATCACACCTCTTATTTTCAATCTGTTTTATCAAGGGAATCCTGAACTCTTTCATCGAGGACGCTCTATCAAAGGCTCACATATACTGCTCAAAGTTCAATCCGAACAAGAAATAAATGCCACAGCAAGGCCCCGAAGACCATGAAGAACCCGAGGGGTCGAGATGATTGAATCGGTCTCCCCGTTGGCAGTCAAGGTAGCAGCGACCTCCAATGAAACCCAGAGTTCCTAATCCAAATCTACCTTCCCAGAGGCTTGCAAGGCAGTCTCCGGGGTAAGGCAACAGGGCACCATTGCCTGATCAACTTGCAACTTCCACCCGCTCGGTATACAAGAGTGGCTTGTCACTTTCGTATTGATCAACCTGTCAATCTTTCCCGTTGCTAGAACAGCACACGAAGCACACTTTCCCACATAAACATAAAGTAAACTATCTAGACTTCCCTAGTGTAGTATGTTAATTGGTCTCACTTCTTGACTTGGTCGCAGAGTTACCTGCAGAGTGAGGATGGACTCCTTTGCTAATTCATGACAGCCAAGCTTCCCAGTCTGGAGGCCCTATGTGATTGCCGCTGTTCTCTACAAGTTACATTCATCAAGATACTTTCTACACTGATCAATTAAATGGTGAGCAGAGATGAGACGTTCTACTCCCAGGGATGGATAAGCCAGTCATTATTCCATCGTCAAAAGTGTTGCGGCACGGGTATCATTTGTGAGGTCCGCGATAGTGCTTATATTACAAAAGAAGATACATGCCCCTGGGCAAGTCTAACCACGGTCCGTCTTCACATCTTCTTCGTGGCCCCTCCAGAGGGGCGGACATGTGGACATTTCCTCGTCATCGACAAGTCACCTAGGCAGGTGCCGGCACGGTGACAAAGATCGTCGTAGTGCTACTACCCGCAGCAGCAGCATCGGTAGCAGCCGGAGCGGCGGGAGGTATGGTCAAGGTAATGGCACTCGCCGCCGGGGGCGCAGCAGCAGCCGCCGAAGTAGCGGCAGGGTCAGCGGCAGGCGCAGCAGCGGGGGCTTCTGCAGCAGGAGGAGCAGCGGCCTGAGCAGGAGCCGGCGTAAAGGCGGCTAGGTCGAGGGGGATCTGGGCGACGGTGCCGCCCACGACGTTGGTGCCGTCGCCGCTTTGGCTCGAGGCCTGGGAGATTTTGGCGTAGTCGACGACTTGCTGAACGTTGGCGCTGAGGATAAAAGGTTAGTATTTTTTTCTTTCTTTTTTTTTCTTCTTGGCAGCTTCGACGGTATAATGGCTTACGGGTTGATGACGATTACTTGACCTTCTTGGCAATGAGGGCCTGTCGCACAGTACAGGAACATTGGGTCGGTGCTCGTAACGGGCATGCTGAATGTCCCTACAGTGGTCTGGCCGTCGACGAACGGAATGTGGCCCGAGTGGATGGCCGTGGCAACGGATGCCTAGTGTTGATGCAATGTCAGTATAGATGATCTTAAAGTCATCATGCCATAAGAGCCTCTAAAGCAAATCTGACCAAACCTCTAAAAGAAAACGTCTCTTTCATAAATGATAAGATGCGTGCTTACCTGGAGTGGCTGACAACCAACATCCTGTGCGGATTGTGTGACAGTATGGTTGCCATTGCTGAACTGGAACTGGACGACATCACCCACGGCGGCGGTGACTACGTTTGGGACAAAGGTATCCTGCGGGCCGCCCACAACAACGGGGATGATTTGGTTTGCTCGAACTGTTTTGCTCAGCATTAGCTTTCGGCAGTACTAGGTTTTTTTTTTNTTTTTTTTTTTTTTTCACTCAGAGAAATACATACCAGAAAACCCGCTCGGCATGAATGCCCTCAGTGCTTGCGCGGCAGCCTCTTCAGGTGTCATGACAGCCGCTGGATCGGTAGCGGAAGCAACATCTTGCGGAAAAGGCTGCGGCAAGGCGCTCACGGCGACAGCGGCCAAGAAAACGGACTTTAGTATGCTCTGCATTATATCTAGTTGAAGGTGATCCGGGCGGTCTTCGTTCAAAGAATGAAAAACAAAAATGACGTAACTCGTGAATTATAAATGAATGTAATACCGGTCAACGGACTGTCTCTTTCTCCACTGGAGAAGTGAGATTGATCGAAAAGAAAAACGGACGAGTCACACAAAAAGAGCGATATGGGAAGTTCAAGGAAGGGGAGAAGAGAAAATTAAGCTTGAATTAAAGTGGTGGCATGTACCGGGACGCGGTATATATCACTCTCTGCACCATTGCAACGACTCGACCTAGGAACCATCTCCCAATAAACCTCGTAGCCAAGCAGTCTGTATCCACATCTCGGCGTCAACTTGGCGACATGCCTTTTGGGGGGTGAGGCTGTGTATTTTCCAAGATAGTCCAAGGCCTGAATAACCTTCCTTGCCCCCGATATCCACGTTGTTGACACGCTGATGTCTGGGCGCTGGATGTAAGGGAGGGCAGCGACGACGACACGAGTGTGTCGAGCGTCGTGTTCTCGGATATTCCGCTCTTGGCTTATAGAATAACGCCGAGCCCAGAGCATTAACTGAACAAACCCCAATGCCCAAGGCCGAGCCTTGTCATCCGAATCTGGCACTGGATTTAGCACGTAAACACCACGAGTCAAAAAGATGGGTGACGACCAAGACAACAAGTCCGAACAGAAGAAAAGACGAAATGGTTTGAAGTTATTCCCAATGCAGCACGATGAGGCTCTGCCAAGAGACCCTGGCGACAGCGTGGATCCGGCAGAAGCGGCCGGGCGATCTACGTTACTATGATCAACTGTGATCATTGGATCTGCACCCATCACGAAGATCCAAGTTGCATTGCGTAAGACGGCGTTTCCTCGCGGTTTGGAAATCTGGAAGCCAAGAACTAGGGGGCGCCAGGGTTCAGAGATCGTACGTTAAGATGAAAAAAGAGAGAAGAGACTGAACATTGCGGGCATGGAAAATGGACGATAATGGGTTGGCAGGTGGAGCCTTTGGCACCCTGTTTCGGATCGACTTCAGATGGCCCCTTGGACGCCATTGAGACGTTTGGCGGCGCTTGCGTTCGGTTGTTCGGTATACGGCTCGGGCATAAAAATCTCCCATGGAATGGGTTATATGGTATAGAATCTCGGCAATTTTTTGTCATTAATAATCGAGCCAACCTTCCTTTAAGATAAAGCATAACTTTGACCTTATTCAGCGGAACTACTGATTGCAGAGGAGACGTCGGGTGCTGTTCTACAGAACACACATTTGCTACCTATCCCTGCCACTCCAAGAATCCGTGCGCAGCGCAAAACTTGTCATTCAACATGATGCACCTGAATTTCATTGCGATTTTTTCGTGAGTTGTATTATTGAATTACCAAGTAAGAGGTAAGGTCGTTATAATTTGAAGAGCATTGCAGTATTGCACACTGCCATTGCTTACATCTGAAAAGCGCGCAAATCATTGCACTGAAACGGGCGGCATTGTCGACAGTCTTGTCAGCATTGATGCACTTTTGGCTCCAGTGCAGACAGAGCCACTGAGCTTCCAGGCTGTGCTTATTATCTATGCATAACCTTTGCTGAAGAATTCATTCTCGTTCGCGACCGAGATGAAGATATCATTGTGGCCAAAGGATTGGGCAAAACCCGCTGACCGAAATAATCCTTTACCCCTTAACAAATATTAGCTTCGGCCGCCAATTAAGGTGGCTGAAGCTTGGGCTTTGCCTTAGCAAAACTAATTGGGTTGGCCGAAATTGCTTATAGGGCTGACAGTGCACTATATACATTCCAACCAGCTCTTCGCCGGTCCTAATCCGGCATCGCGTCTATCCCAACGAGCCAATGACCATCGCGCCGGGTGAGTCGAACGGAAGGCATAGGATTCATTATCATCATCTAGACGATCATTGCATATAGCCTCGATGAGAACCCCTTGTGATAGACTCCTGTTCAGATGTATAAAGTCATGGACTTGGCAGCCATGAAGCACGACACCAAACACAGCTTCAAGGACAGTATCGTTCTACGCGACCTTTTCTGCGATCCGGGCTAGAAGAATCACAATTCCTGTACTGAGTTATACCAAGACTTGATGCACTTCTCTTCTATCTGGCGCTTCCTCGCCTATACTACAATCACCTCGATGCCAACCCAGGCATCCGTCTCTCCCATTGCTGGGACCAACGGCTCAGTCAGCAGCAAAACCATCCATCAATTCGCCAACCTGCTCGACTGGGCCGAAAACATTGCCGTTCGCCCCAATGGTAACCTCTTGGTGACGCTGCTGGGTCTGAAGCCCCAGCTCTGGCAAATCGCCGAGCCATGGACGGATACCCCCGCCGCGACACTCGTCCACACCTTTCCCAGCGAGTTGTACGGCCTCGTCGGCATTGCCGAGACGAGTCCCGACGTCTTTGTCACGGCCGGTATCAACACGACGACGCCCAGTCTGTCTTCGGTCTGGGAGGTGACGTTTGGTACCGACGATAATGATGGATCCGAGTCCGTCGCCACCCGCAAGATTGCCGACATGCACAACGCCATTGTGCTCAATGGCGTAGCGGCGGTGCCGGGTTGCGGCGACGAACCCTCCTCCTCCTCGGCCGTCTTGATTGCCGATTCCATGGCTGGCGTCGTCTTTCGCGTAGACACCCAGACGGGCAACGTCACCACGGCCGCCCAGGTGCCCGAAATGGCGCCGCTCGGCAACATGACGTCGACGCAGAATATTGGTATCAATGGTATCAAGATCCGCGACGGCTACCTCTACTTTGACAATAGCTACGCGGCGACCTTGTACCGCGTCAAGATTGACGAGACCGGCTTCGTGGCCGCGGACGCCGTTGCTGAAAATGTTGCCGTCATTAGCGATGAGACCTTTCTCGATGACTTTGTGTTTGACACGCGCGGCAATATCTACATTGCCTCAAATCACGGAAGCACGGTGCGCCGGGTTGATATGGCGACGGGTGACAATGTTGTACTGGCTGGAGCTGCAGGTCAACAGACTGTCCTCGGGGATACGGCTGCAGCTTTTGGAAGAACGGATATGGATCGCGAAGTCCTATACGTGACAACGAGTGGCTTCGATGTCAAGACGGCCGTCGAGCCAGGCAAGGTTGTTGCTATCAACGTTGCTGGATTGAAGTAGTAGAGTGTCGGACTGAGCAATTTTGCACTGTCAGAGATGTGTACACGTGATAAATAGAAAATTTGAAACGTTTCATGGTGACATTAATTTTTGATTCATTTATCTTCTTGTATCATGTGGCTCCAGGCTGTGAAGCTCTCTAGGTATGATGTGCCTCGTGAGGCATGCCATCACGGCTTGAATGAGCCGTGTCAATCTTGGTTTTAGCGATCGGATGAGGATCTGTCTCGTGAAGAAGTCGTCTACTCTGTATCGTCCATGCTCCTTGTGGACTCTAATTACCCAACGTTTGTTTTCCCTTCCTAATTTCCATTCCTACTTGGTAGCTCTTATACTAGACGGAAATAAAAATATCAACGCTTGCAAGTGGCGGATATCAAAACGAGAACGAAATAGAAAGTCTATATGCAATGCTTCGCTGAGACCACTACGTCGGCAGGTTTATCGCTTGGCGCGCTCTGCGGCGGCGGCGCTGACGCTGCCCACAGCCTTTTCGGCTGCGCTGGTCATGGTAAGCCCAACAGGCGTCATGGCACCAGTAGGGGCAGGTGTAGTGCTGCGGGTAGGCGGTGCGGACCGGTTGTGTGCCATGTGAGCTCTGACGAGGTGACCGGCTGCAAGAGCCGAGCAAAGCGACAGTTCTCCAGCCAGGACTGCGGCACCAATGATGCGAGCCAGACGTCGAGAGTTTTCACCAGGCGTGGTCGGGTGAGGGCCACGAACGCCGAGCATGTCCAGCATGGCACTCTGAGGTTCGAGGATCGTTCCTCCACCCAGAGTACCAACCTCGATGGAAGGCATGGAGACAGAGATTTGCAGAGAGCCACGGAGGCTGTAAAAATTAGCGCGTGATCCGTTAAATTTGAATGGCAGTATTGAACTTACTTCTTCATGATTGTGATACAGTTGGCACTCTCGACAACTTGTGCGGGATCTTGACCAGTGGCGAGGAAAACAGCAGCAACAATGTTGGCAGCATGAGCGTTGAAACCTCCAACGGATGCAGCCATGGCCGAACCGATCAGGTTCTTCGAGATGTTGAGCTCAACGAGGCTGTCGACGTCACTCTTCAGGACTGACTTGACGACATCACCAGGAATGATGGCTTCAGCGACGATACCCTTGCCACGGCCATCAATCCAGTTGAGAGCAGCAGGCTTCTTGTCAATACAGTAGTTGCCGGACACGGAGATGATGGACATATCCTCGAAGCCACCCTCTGTAGCCATGACGTTGAGAGCGTGCTCGACACCCTTGGAAATCATGTTCATACCCATAGCGTCACCGGTAGTTGTCTTGAAACGGACGTAGAGGTTGGTTCCAGCCAGAGCAGTCTTCATGGTCTGCAGACGTGCGAATCGACTTGTGGAGTCAAAAGCCTTCTTCATCAAGGCCTGACCAGCTTCGGAATCAATCCATGCCTTGGCAGCGCCAGCACGCTCAAGAGTCTCAAAGCTCAGGGCAGGGCCACGGGTCATACCGTCACCAGTGATGACTGTAACGGCACCGCCACCCGCGTTGATAGCCTTGCAGCCACGACTGGCACTGGCGACCAGGACACCTTCAGTTGTAGCCATGGGGATGAAGTAGCTTTGGCCATCAATGACAAGAGGACCAGCAACACCAACAGGCAGAGGCATGTAACCAATAACGTTCTCACAGCAAGCACCAAGAACAAGATCCCAGTTGTACTTCTCGAATGGCAGCTTGGAAGACTCCAGAGAGCCCGTCACATCGGAAGTAGCCTTGGTTCTGGAGATGATGGAACGACGGATCTTGACGGCTCTGGTGGTGTTCTTAAGACTCTTCTCAAGAGCGTAGCCAGGAATCTTGCCCTTCAGGGAGAGTGCAACAACTTCATCGTCAGTCATATCATAGATGCGCTTTTCTGCGAGCAGCTTGTCGAGATCGGCCTGGCTGCGGGATACGAGAGGAGCTCTGGGGGTTGGGATGGATGTGGCGGTTGATCTGGACTTCATGAGTAGCTGGTCTGCTTCATCGTCCGTAGAAGCCGGCGTTGCAGGCTTTTGGCGCGGCGGCGCCTTGTGCAACTGGCCAATCGATGGGGTGGAGGCTGATGTTTCGTTGAACCTCTCAGCAGCTGCCAGATCCTTGGGGTCGACTGGGTGCGTAGGAACGTTGGGGTCCTTGATGCCAGACCGTGCGACATTGAAGAGATATCCATTAAGAGCAACACTCATGGCCAAAGCAATGACGATCCACTTGGACAGGATAGGATCTTCCAGACTTTCAAGCAGACCGCCAACCATACGTCCTCCGACAGAGATGCCAACAAGCTGAGAAAAGTCATCCTCTCCCTGCGAGTCCTTGGAAGGTACGGCGTAGTGGATCGAGGGGAATTCTAGCTCATACTTGATCGGGGTCAAGACGGTGACAACAGTGGTTTGACCATGGCCACGAGCCAGGAAAAGAACTTCATCGAGTCCATTCGACGCAACCTTGAAGGGGTCGACAGGAGGCGTAGTAACAACACCTCCCAGACCACCGGCCCAAGAAGAGATGCTCGAATCGGAGCCGGGGGTTCTGAACGGGATGGTGCACAGGTTGACAATGTTGATAGCAAAGAAGCCAGCAATCATCCAGAACTTGAACTTGGGAACGCTGCTGCTCTTGAAATCTTGTCCGAAAAGTGGCACGTTCTTGCCATTGCCGCCCTCGTTGTTGGTAGCAACGTTCTCGGCAACGCGGCGGCTGAGACCATCATCCTCCAACGCCTTTCGCAGCTCAACGTGACGCTTGATGCGGTTGATCTCGAGCTTGATGCAGAGAATGGCAGTGTAGAAAGTGAAGAGAAGCAGGCAGTCAAAGAACAGGATCCAGGCGGCCAGGAAGCAGAATTGTTGGAGTCCACCCTGCACACCAAAGTTGGCACCGACAATGAGCAGCAAGATCTCGAGGACATAGTCGCGAACGATCTCAAAGCCAGTGTCCTTGAGAGCCTTGTGTACGGCATATTGAATCAAACTCTCGGAAGGGCTATGCGATCTCTTGTTGCCGCTCTTGTCCTCCGGACGGCGGTGGTCCAGGGCGTGGGAGAGGACAGCCTTGGTAAGAACAATGTTCTTCTCGAAGCCAATAGTCACAACCAGGAATGGCAGACCTTCGGAGAGCAAGACAACGGAAATCGGAACACCAAGTCTCGTGGTCACATTGAGACCAAACAGGAAAGCAAAGGTCGAGGAAAACAGAACACTGACGGCCAGCCAGACATTGGAACCCAGCTTTCTCATGCTCAAGAACAGAGAAACAAAAGTCAAGTGCATGGACAGGTATCCAAGAACCATGATGATGATATCGAGGGTGTCTGCGTTCTTGAGCAAGTCCAGAAAGTCTGTCCAGGCATTCTTAGCCCAGCGAGCCAGGCTGGTACCTGTCTGGCCACGGGCAGCCTTGATAATCCACATTTTCTTCTCACTCCTGCCATCCTCAATCTCGCGAGATTCTTGGCCGGGCACATCGTTGGGAATCTCTTGGGCAGCAGCAATGAATTCGGCGGCTTGACTGTACTTGACGGCAAAAGCGAGGGCGCTGTCCTGCGCGTATGTGGTCAAGGTGTTCGAGGTCGAGGGCAAATGCGCGACGGAAAGGTTGTTGGGAAGAGGGACAATATGCGCCGACGGAGCGGTCTGGGGGGCCTCGGGAGAGGATTCGGGGAAGACGAGCGTAATCAGAGCCAGATGGTCAGCATCCTTGGGGACTTTGGCGTCCGAGTCAAAGTTCTGCCACTTCCACGATGTTTCTGGGCCTGCAATCAAGCTGCGGCTACCTTCGACCAGAGAATCCCATTCCGCCCTTCTGACACTCTGGGTCACGTCGACCAGGCTCTCCTTGACGACTCCGACATAGGTTGTGCTCGCCAAGATGGCAACTACGCAGATGGTATAGATCGGGTGGAGGCAGGCAATCTTGGTCACGAATTGCAAGATGGGCGTAACTCTCTTGTTGATTGCAGACGGCGGAGCGGGCTGGGCGTTCGGGCGCTCACCGCGAAAGCGGGAGGGCAAGAAAAAGAAGCGATCATGTTGAATTTATCTCATATGCATTGGCTATAACATGAGGAGAATCTAGAGAAGGAGAAAAAACAAAGTAAGCGAGAGCTGGCATAAGAGAGTGGTGTAGGCGAGAAATGTGTGAAACGCTGTTATGCAGTCATCTCACGCAGCGAGACAACCAGCATACAGACTGACTGCGCCTCGATATGAATAGGTAGCAGGCTATTCCGTAGAATGGCTCAACAATGGGGGCCGCGAAAGTGGTTGCAATGTAGCAATTGCAACTGCCTTCGCATGCCGCCGCAATGGTTATACCCGATTCGCGCACAGCCACAGCCCCGGGGAATTGTATGGGATAGTATTATACGCACATGGAGTTGAGCCGGAATATTTTTTTCTGGTATCGGAGTCCGAGTATCGGGATCCGGTCGTGGGAGTGTTGAAGGCTGACAACGTGCGCTGAGCTACGACCAATGGCAACGCGGGGGACGCGCGACGAGAAGAAAAAAAAGTACGTGACAGCAACTCAAAGGGACGAGCCGAGCTGCTGGGAAGAAGAGTGTTCGCGAACAGGCAATTGAATACCTTTTTCACGAGCACGCACGCACCAATGGAGTGGGTTGAGGAGGAAGAGAGCACAAGAGAAGGCTGAGCAGGAGAGAAGTTGAAAAGGTTCCCGTGTGCCATCAATCAATCAATCGCAACCCATGGCATGGGAGCAAGCAATCTCGAGCAAGACCAATCTAAGGGGGGGGGCCGCCAGCTAGCTACCAACTACTACACTAGCCAACCATAGCCAACCAGCCAATGTGAGGTGGGCATCGGTGAAGAGAGAAATTTCCCATGTCACTCGAATGGAGAAATGTTATCCAGGATACCCCCCTCCAACTATCCGGGCTACCGTAAATACTGAATTTCATGCCGTAGTCTTTTCTTGCCTTTCGGTTAATTAAAGAAAGAAATATATCTTTTTCATCGTCACAAACAGCTATATCTAGAAACATTTCCAAATCGAAGGTTCAATATTGGTGTATTGTGCAATACGAGTATTGTATAAAGTATACGCACTGGAAGCGTGATATATACCTACGCTTTGTTATATCGTAGGCAAGTACACCGCCCCAAAGCAACTTCGTCCTCAGATGTCTAGCCGACGATATACACAGTACTGGCCAAACATGATATATAATAAAAGAGACTACAAGTTATTACATGTCAACCTTTTATTTAATGCACCAAGCCATGGAAAAGTCATGGTAAGAAGTACTTTATTTGTGGTAGCTCGGATAGCCGAGGGGTGTAGCCCGGATAACCATTCTCCTGAAATGATTGCCAGGCGCTAACCACAAATTACCCATTCCCACTAAAATTCACGTTGGCACTGCAGTCTGCAGGTTTTAGCTTGCTAACTGCCAGCTAACTGCCAGGAAGTCAATTGAAAAGAAGCCTGAAAGAGGACCCTAGAAGCCATTCAAGCACCTGGAGGCGGCAGGCGGTGACACATTAGTACCCGTGCCTCTCCCCAAAATAAAGGAGCACAGAGCAGTTGCTGGACTGATTGTTGATCAACCCCACGAACCAACAAGTTTGTTTGGGCAATGTCGCGATTTTCTGTGTCTGAGATTTCCAGGCGAGCCAGGGTTCTCTGCCATTGAGTTTGGGACCTTGGGTTAGGTATCAAAACCCCAAGGGTTCAAAAAATCCTCTTTCTGTCCAAAGCCGTTCTGTCTCTCCCCGGCCCGCGTCGACCTGGGGGAGTCTCCCTGGCCAGTGGCAGCAATTCCGCCGAGCAAGACCCTGGATGCTTGCCCAACGCTCCCCTTGCCCAGCATTTACTGCCGTGGCCCGTTGCTTTACCTAGCGCGTACAAACAAGTCACTTTTTTTACGTCAACCATTGCTCGAGACCGGAGGAGGACTGCGGAGGTCTCCCCAACATTGCGAGTCTGGCATCTCTACTGTGTAACAAGTTGAACAACTTGATCCAATAGTATATTCATTGGCGTCACCACTTGGCCATCTCTCCAACTCGTTTGCCAATGTCCCTGTGTACATCAAAACCTTCATTTCAGTCGTGACGCCAAAAACAATTGATGGCTGCTGATCAGCCGCTTGGAGGGTCATGATATGTAGCCCATTGTGCGCAAGCGTTATGACTAGGTACCAATAGCAGGGTCAAGGGTCGGGGATGCACAGAGGAAATGAAGCTTGCAGCTGGAACTTTGAAGCTTCCACGATTGTTCTGATAAGAAGCCGGCCCACACTCCCACCGTTCTGGTATCGCCGCCTCTTGTGTACTTCGGACGATTAGTGTAGCTGGTAATCTTATCGTAGCTACTACATTTACTATGCAAATGGCTAATTTCCACTAGTATGGGGCATCTCCGTTGCGTTATGTCAATGATGTCGTGTCTCATGTTTAAAATCTCAACGGCAGAATTTACATCAACGACGCCGAGTGCGGAGGAGAATCAGTGTAGAAAATTCTCTAAATACCGCAGAACCCTTGCTCGCCATCTGCCCAAGGCCTCGGCGGTGCTGTGGCCCACAGAGCAGCAAACCACCCGGCCCGAAACATCTCGGCGATGTTTCCGACTTCGCCTGTGAGGCCCTCAATAACATACTCGATTACCGGGTAGAGCCCACAAAAAAAGGTAGCAAACATGCAGCATCTGGGTTCGTAAATACGATAAAGCCTTGCCACAAAACACGACCCATCAGATTCCAGCATTAGAAAGCCGTCATGAGTCTCTGTACCTTGTCACTCTCCATGCTCACGATCTTGGCGCCCAAGTCCTCCAGCTCTTTTCGTTTCTGTGGCCAGTTGTCCGGATCAACCGCCTTCGTGGCTTGTTCCACGACAAAGGTTCTGAAGCCTTCTTTGGCAGAGTCCTTGGCACAGTTGAACACGCAGTAGTCAGCGGCCAGCCCAACCACATACACATCGGTGACATTGTAGCTTCTCAATAAATCAGCCAGCCCGCTGTCACAACCCCTCGGGCTCTCAAACGGATCGTAGAACGGGCTGTACATCTCGACCCTATCGTCCTGCCCCTTCTCCATGATCTTGTCTATCTTGCCAATGGCCAGCTCCGGTATCAGTTCCGCGCCGGGCGTGCCCTGAACACAGTGAACCGGCCATAGGCGGGACTCATATGTCTCCTCGGAGTTGGCGGGGTTGATTATGGTAATGGTGTCTGTAAATGGCTGCTTATCCTTGTGATTTGATGCAAACGATATATGTGACGGTGGGTGCCAGTCCTTGGTCGCGACCTTGAGCACAAAGGGAAGATCAAGGAGCTTGTTGATTGTAGCAGCGATGTCTCTACCACCTGCTACGGCGAGAGATCCGTTCTGTTCGAGCGTCAGTGTGAATCCAGGCGGTGCGCGGCACGAGGCTTACCGGAGGACAGAAGTCCTCCTGGAAATCTATGACCAAAAGTGCTGGCCGGAAAGGCGCCATTCCGATTGTTCTGCTTGAGTCTTGATTGGATTCTTTGTGGCCGACCTGTTGTTTTGCACCACGCTTGTGGTATCAGGCTTCCGGAAGAATGGTATCAATCTACGTTATCTTGTCTGAAGCTGAAGCTCTCAGCAGCTTTGACATCACCGTAGTGGGGTCACCTAAACACTATTTCAGGTGTGCACCTGAACATGCACGATCGTTAGAATACTATCAAATCATTAACAAAGCGTTTATGTAACAAAGAATTCCAATAACTTTTGCCCCAAAATAAACTTTTTCTGCATTTTGCGCGATCTATCACTCTTCAAATTTGAATAAATTTCACAAGTCTGCAGTGTCAATTGCATGCAAGCTAGGTACGTGTTGGCATGCCCGGATGTAATCGCCTGTGCGTTTTAGAGGTGGGGTTACCGCTTATAACTTCAAGGTTGCATGCAGCTTTACGGGCTGCCTATGACCAGTAAGTACCTTGCCTCACTTTCCAATGCAAGGCAATTATATGAGTTATAAATACCTCTATCACGTTTGATTCGTGGAGAAAACAGAGAGACAAGCGAATGCTACTTTAAATGGCTTTCCCATATTTCATCGAAGCAATCTCAAGGCTTCGACGTTTGTTTCATTCCCCAAAACTGCGTGAGCTGCTAGTAAGACCAAATCTTACATGCTTGCCAGGCATCAAGATAAAATCAGGCAGCCTTTAATCACAAGCTACCTACTTCCTTATCTCCAAGGTACAGTTCACAATTTGGTTTCTGCGGTGTTGCCTGATTTATACTCAACATTTATTCTGATACATTTATCCCAATGAAACACTGTTGAATTGTGTAAAAAGAAAGAAATGACCGATTGAGTAAATATCTAACAGAATCACGTAGGAAATGCCAAAAGAAAGCACTAAAATTACACTGATTGCCAAATCACCTGACAAACATTCCCCCCCTTCGAGAATCTATCCTGCAAGCCTCGATTGTCTCTCTTACCCCAAGCCTCTGGTCCTGTACCTTCCGTAATTTCCGTGATGGCTTACGATGGTTCACAATGAACCACGTTTGTGACTGATTAGGCTACCAACTTGAACAAAGGCTGCGACCAAACAAGTGTTCCCAGCAACAGTATACGCGCCGGGCCGAGCCAAGACATGTTCGAAATGGGCAGCATGTACGCCGAGTAGATCGAGGCAACAAAACCGCAGCAGAATCTCCCGGCATACAGAGCCGCGGCATGGAGTCGAAGATGATCGGCCCAAAAGGGACTCTGGCCGCCCACCCAGAATCTTGCTGCTAGTAAAACAACCAGGTAGATTTCCGGGAGGACGGAGCCGGCCAGGGCTGACCACGACTTGTAGCCGCCGTGTCCCTTTACGAAGAGCGCCATGGTCAGCGCGGTGTCGGCGAGTAGCGCCCAGACCTCGGGGGCTACGATACATTGTTAGCGAGGGCGGGCCTCTTCTTGGGATGAAACAGACGAACCAGGAATTTCTGGGGAGTTTGAAAGGTCTGGTACAAGTTCATAGTCGTTGGTTATGACGCTTTGTTGAGTGTGTAGTAGAACAGCCAACGAAATGAGGCATGACGCCGGCAGTATAATGCTGATGATGTTGATCCATGCCATAATATACTTGGATGATGATCCTACTGTGTACGCTTGTTCATACATGAGTTAGTATGCGTCTAGAAGTCAAATAATCAAGGTAAAGTGTATTATATATTCAACCGTTAAGTTGATGCCTAACAGGCATCTCTTCATTGGAATCACAACGCACCGGACAAATGCTTTGATAGTACCTAATAGCATAGGTCCTCACCTCTGATGTAACAGAGCTGCAAAGTTGTTGAAGCATACTGCATACCATATCCAAGATTGTGCTGCGCTCTACTTTAGAAACTCTAAGTCTACAATACAGGAACGACATGGCTCCAGATCGGAGACTGTTCTAAAGTGCTGATATCTGGCGCTGAACGGAATGTCATGGAAATCAGAATGGCTCTCAGAATGTAGATCTCGGCTACCATTTCCTCCGCAGTCAATTCTTGGTCGTCATTGGCTCCTTGGTACATACTCTTGCACTGATCCACAACTTTTCGAAGCCGTTCCCAGTGTCCAAGCCCAAGCAGGCCAGAATTTTCCTTCATCGCATCATGGTATCCATCCCTATAGTCTTTACCCAAAAAGAGATCCAAGGATGTCAATAGGGACAAATTATTTCGGATCAACGATGTAATAGGCGCTTGGGTGTTGTCCATATCCCAATCAGATGAGGCTTCCTGTGAAGGTCTTGTGGATTCATTGTTGCCTTCCTTTTGGAAGGCAAGCAGCATCAATGTCGTCTTATATAGCGTCGTTGGTAGGCAGCGTGAACGTGTTAATCTGTTCCGCACAGAGTCCAATAAATCATCCAAGGCCCTAAGGACAAATAGAACGGAATACCTTTGCCCCCGGTTCATCAACGGGACTTTGCCATCGCCATGGATGAAGTCCACGCAGATAGGGAATAAGATCGAGAGATCCAAACTTTCTGTAAGATCTGCCACATATTTTTTGATTCTCGTGACTTAGCAACCCTTCCCAAGGCTGGATGTTGTCGGAATTCAATCGCAAAAGTAGGAGCGATGAGCAACGGATAGGAGGATCCAATCTCGGGCTCGAACGATTTTACTCCACCAACGGCTGCCAACACGACAATAGTGCGGATATCGGCGTAAGCAGGAACGGCTTTCAAGTCGTCTGGAAGATAGTCCGCAGCCGTGATGGCCGTATCATTGGTATCTAAAGGCAGATTTGCGAGCTCAAATTGATGCAGGAGTTGAAGCCAACCTGCTTCGGCGGAAGGCATACTTGATGTTTGAAGTACTGTTGCAAGAGCTGACAGTATCTTTGAGCATAGCGGAAGTCGTCGGGCCAATGATTGAAATTCACCAAGCCAATTCGCGATAATTCGACCGTTGTTGTCATTATCACCCGCGGTTTTAAGGAGGCCATCTCCAACTTGGTCAACAGCAGTCGTAGCGCCAATGTTACCAATTTTTGCTTGATACTCCATTTCCAACAAATTCAAAAGACGATCAGAAATCAATCGTGGTGTCGATGCCTGTGTGTAAGTCCGGAGTTCCCGCAGACTGACACGGGTCACCGTTTGCTCCGCCCATTTGCCAATGACTTGGTGGCTAGACTTCCGACGCCCGGGGCTGGCAGCGAAGATGCCCTGAATGATCGCGACCAGTGCCAATAAGGTCGCGAGAATGCCAAAGATACCGACAGGCACCGTGAAGGCAAAAGTAATGGGATCCCAGTCCGTCTTTCCATCATCGGCCGCAAACTTCTCACTGACAATGTTGATCAGGCGATCGAGAAGACAGTCGGTGGTGTTAGCTGCTGTGGAACACGAGCTGGTATCGCCCGTCGACTCCATGGTTGGGGGACTTTTAAGTTAATTTCAAGGTTGCTGACGACCTTTATAAAGAGATCCGTCCTTTTATTTGACAGTGGAAGCGCGAGACATTGGGCAGCTGAGGGGGCCATCACGTTAAACAACCCCGCAAGGCCATGGAGAAGGCCTGCATATTCGTCACGTGGACTGCAAAAGTCGCACAAGAGGTATTGTCACGTATTGGTCAATTGGCCAGCCTGATGTTCACGAGTTTTCCAATCGGCGTGGAGATTGATCTGCGCTGCAGCAGTACTCCGCGATTGCCAGGGGTTGATTCTTCGGTGCGGGAAAGAAGTAATAGAAAAAGTAGCACTGTGCGACTCCGAACTTTCATTCATGTTTGGTTTAGAATTCCATTACTTCGATTGAAGTCGTATCAGAGTATATGGTCCTCTTCGGGGTCCTCCCCATGCAGGTGGTTGGGATTCTTCTCCCCAAACAATTCATAGTAATGGTCCGGCGCTGGCAACTCCGTAACCCCCTCCGGCTTGTTCATAGTCACCCTATATCTATCCATGTCGAGTGACACTTGTTTTCTAAAATCAGTCAGGCGGTCAAAGTCGATGCACTGGCGATTGATGCTCATGTCGGGCCAGGGCCGCTCCTGCGTCTCGACCCAGTGCAGCGTCATGAGGTTGACGTTGCCGCTGCACGTGAGCGCTTGGAACAGGATATCGGCGCAGTGGTTAATGTGAATCTCGCGCAGCTTGAGCTTGTCGGCGCGGCCCATTGACTCGTTGTAGTAGCTGCCGTAGGCGATTTTGCGCAGGCTGTTGAGGCAGTGCAGTTGGTGGTAGACGTCAAAGACGACACCATAGGCGTCGTCACCGAGACCCCACATGTTGTTGTCGAGTTTTACAGCTGTCTCTGGGTTCTTCCCCAGTCTGATGATGGTTTTCCTAGGGACGGGTATGACGCGGAGAAGTTCGTACTCGGCCCACTTGTCGTCGGCGTCCGAGTTTGGGAGTTGGCGTGCGATGGAAGGATCTTTTGGTGGGAAGAGTGTGCCATTGATCATTGCGATTCGTGGTTGCAAATCAATCATGTCGTGAATAGGTGCTGTGATAGCTCAATGTTAGAAAGGCCAATACTCGATGCTTCGGTATGACTTACACCAGGAGGAAGTACGTCTCAGGTCAGCGTTGAGTACCTTTGGTTGATGGTGGTAGCTGATAGACACTCCGAGACAAACGGCGGAAATGATAAACACAATCATGTTGATAACTTGAACCAACAAACACGCGCGGCGAGACGGAAATTTAGTCTTTTCTGGGTGGTTGGCCATAAGAGAATCGTCTTCCGTCTCATCGATTGAGTCCGATTCGACGGATGATCTGATAGGGCTGTAACCGGATCTCGATATTTCATCCATCTTGAATACACAGACAAGAATTCTCGGAACTCTCGATTGAGAAAGATAAAGGATGTTCTTTGTATTGACGAGGTATTGTTTGGTGCTCCGAGGCAAGATGGTTGGAAGTGAGAATGTAAGAATTGGCAGGTATACAGATTGGCTATGGCTACGGACCTTTTCTTCCCCTCAGTAGATACTTTTGTCCCAAACTGGCTACTCAGATAATTATAGAGGCTCTTGAACCAAGAACTTCACTTGTTTGGTCTGGCTTGATGTTGGCTCGGACATCATATGAGGTTTCCAATTCGAGAATCGAGCTCACTTGAACAGATCATGGCTTGGCAACAATTAGCTGTGGCACAAGTAACATAACAGTATAGCATAACATTGTTGTCGCAAAGTCCCAGCCCATCATGAGAGAAGGTACTGAGTCGCTCATTCTAACTTCGAAACAGAAATACTTTGCATTAGAACTATATTAGGATATATGTATTTACCCACATATCTACCCATGACCTCGATAGCTACTTGGGATCCATAACGAGATGACCTATCAGGTTCACTTGTTAGCGTGACTGTGTTACTCTAAATATCCCTTGTCTTTTGCCCTCAACTCGGGATTGGTGGTTTTGGAGCCTCACAAAGGTATCGGCCCGTGGATCTTGACCCAGACTGTCGGCATTCGACCACAAATGATCGTGCGATCTCAAAGCGGCCTTATCGCCGGGAACACTTCCAACAGCACCATTTCATCCAATGATACTCCAAGCCACCCTGTGCTCTTTTGAAATCCTTGGTGGTATACTCTGCAAAAGTCTGCTTCTAGACATTGGCTGCATCGAAGCGGATACCCATTGTGCGTCGTGATGTCTTTGCGAGCCACGATTGGTGCTTTGGCCGAGAGCGTCTCAATCAACTGCGCAAACATCAAGAAATCGCTTCTACCTACACCACATCCTTCTTAGTTTACCTGAAAGAGACTCAGCCGCATGCTGACAAGACCCACTTACCGCCCTATCGCGTGATGTTATTTGCTTTCCACCTTCTCGCGAACCTGTCCCAGATCTCAGATTCCGAGTAGCTGGGAACGATGGCTTGCAGCGATCTCTGTCATTGATGCAGGGAACTCAGTTGACAAATCAAGAATTACCCATCCCTTTTGTTATGTCTCAGAGTAAAATGTTTGAACAGGATGGTGATGACCCATAATTCTTTTTCAAGGGCTGTTGCTTTTCAGAGATCGCCCTGGGCTGTGACTAGCACTCGACATGGTCAGCTTGTGTCCACCTGCACCAGTAGCACGGATAATTTATTTGTATTTGGGCAAACTCAAGACAGCCTGTATTACTTCCACTAGCATGGGAAAATGGCTATAACACATCCGGGAATTGCTCCGGCTATAACGGCTGGTCTACTGCTACTTGGATCCTAGGAAGCTAACATGCAATAACAGAATCGTCGATGACCACAGCGGTAGACATCCCCATTCAGGATTTGCAGATGATACACTCAATAATTGTTCCTCTTGTGGTTAGAATCATCGAATGTTGTGGTACTGTGAATTTTCGGTCTTGCTTGTTGTTCGTTTCCCTCTTACTCGGTATCCATGACTGTTTATTCCATGTACATGACGCCAGGGGGTAATTGTCTAGGATCGCCGGGTATGGAGTCGGAAAACTGTGTGGAACGTGCGTAGATCTATCTTGCCTTGCTCAACATATCACGATTGACCAATTGCGGCTCGATACCAAATTGCTGGTAGATCTGATAGTACATATGCATGGTAGTTTTGCAAGTTCGACCACCAAGAGAAGAAAAAGAGCTGTTGGCTAATTGGTGTTTGTGGCACAAGATTGTTTGTGGCGTTTGATTAGATAGCTGACGATAATCGGGATGCATGCTTGCACTTCAACTATCATGACTGACTCACCGCACTTGCCTTGATCGAGTGGGACTTGAGCAATCTGAGACTCGCGAAGCCCCTTTACTTAGTCCTGGAGAGCTAATCGGGGCACGAAGTTGTGGATTACAAGCTGCTGGCAGCTGCGTTATATGACTGGAAAATAACGGGACCCTTTCGCGTCTGATGATTGTACATAGGCTCGTTCTCACGTGAACCAGTCTGAATAGTGGCACAGCAACAAAATGACCAGGAGCCCGCCTTTCAGAAAGGCAGCGTCTGGCCTTCGTATAGTATAAAACCTGCCCATTGTCGCCGTCTTCTTTGCTCTCGATCCGAACTCATTCTCAAAAGTTTCCATTCTACACGCTTTCCACAGCACACAAAGTCAAAATCACTTTCTACTATAGGCAGCTTCCCTTACACACACAACATTACAATCTTATCATCATGCTCGCCAAGTCGACCATTACTATCATTCTGAGCTTCTGCTCTGCCCTTGGAGTCGCTACTCCCCTCCCCGTAAGTGATGATGCCCTGCTCCTTCCTACGCGGTTTCCCTTTCACTAACTCACTTTCATTTTAGATTAGCGCTGAGAACTCGGCTGCTCCTGCTGAAGTCAAGCCGCGAGCTGTCCCTCTCTACTGGGCAAACGCTCTGCTTCGCTCCGCCGAGGCCGACCAGGCCGACGAAAAGGAGAAGCGTGCCACTCCTCTCTACTGGACGGACGCACTTTATCGCAGCGCCGAAGCTGATGAGGCCAGTGAACAGGAGAAGCGCGCTACCCGCCTCTCCTGAACTGATCTCGTGATGTGTTGTCCCGATGACGAGACCAATGCAAAGCAACACAAATAACCAGAATCTTACTGTTTAGACTCGTGTTGAGTTAAAGGATGTGTTCACAATGGGGGTTTGGTGGGGAAAATACGATGAGAAGAGATCCAAGGTCACGGTGGATTGGGTGTCCAATGGACTTGCAAAGGGCAAGAAGACGGGTTCCTTGGAGGATGGAAAAATGCAGTATACGTCGATAATCATGATCTCCAAACTAAACATAATGCGAAATTAATTACAGTGATTCAGTCTCTTGCATCAGTGAACCTTTTTTTTTTTTTTTTTTTTTGGCAAGATCAAGGGATTGGCGTTGTTCACAGCGCTTGTATGACGCTAGCCGGGGCTTCGAGTAGAAGGCTAGCGACTTCAGTACTAACGATGCTTCGTCGAATGTACAAGATACTGAAACTATATGATCCGTGAAGCTAGTAAGAGTCTCTCCATGTCTCCTAAGCCCTATTGGAAGCGCCGAACACATTGATGTCACTTGTGCATCTATGGCCGTGTTGATGCTGGGTAGGCAGTTGCGAACCGCCAAGGTCCATCATGGCCAACCCCCCAACTCTTCCTTTTCTTCACTTAACACAATGTCGCTAGACCCTGTGTGCTAACTCTATTTTTCGGATGAAAGATGGCTCATGGCATTCACAGAAAGCATGGAGTACATTAACAATAGCACATTTCTCATTCGACGGACCGAAATGATCGTCTTAAGTTTATCTTCGCCGATGGTAGGGTAGGACAACGAGCAAAGGGTAAAACCCAAATCTCCATTGAATGCTCTCCGTATGCAGTCTACTGTATCCTATCTGCCCGAAATATTTGGATCTACGGTTTGATCATGAATACCCTACACTGTAGATCTAGCACACGTCTTGCGGTGCCAAATTGAGTGTTACAGGTACTGCTACGGCTATGTATGTCGGTATGTAGTTTCCATGAACGAACAGTTCCAGGTTGTTCAGGGCGCACACCATATTGTAATTTTCTTAAACCCTACTCTCGCCCTTTCCTTCTTTCACCCGCAGGCTTCAAGTCGCTCTCTTTCCACCCTTTCCTCATCTTTTCTCCCTGCCCCTAACAACAACCAACAACATCATGATAATCACCCTTAGCACCATCCAACTCATCGGCCGAGCGTGTGAATCACACAACTATCTAATATCTCTTCGTGTTAGCTTTTGGCGCTATTGCTGAGACTCCCCTCGACATTTCTTTTCCCAGAACTTCCGCCAACGTGAGGCCTGTGGTCTGCAAAATGCCTCATTCTTGGCGTACAGTCGCTCTGAGAGCTCTCGGTTTTGCCAACCTTTCCCTTGAGTTCTTGCACCGTCTCATAGAGCAACACATCTATCCGCGAATCATACTCCTGTCCCGGATAAATGCAGGGATCAAAAGATTCTTCTTGTTCTCAACAGTAATCATGGAGACAAGCCCGGGAAATGTTCAAACCCAACCAAACTCGGACTCTCTCCGCTCAAGTACTTCAGCCTCGGGCTCTGAATCCCATGATTCTGAATCCACAAGCACTTCAGCCTCGAGCTCCGGATCCCGCAGTTCTGAATCGACAAACTCTCCGCCAGCCCAAACAGATGATACCCCCACGAGCGGCGCTGAAGGACCCGCGGTGCAAGATCCGGCCGAGATGAAAATACTCTTTGGCTCTTCATCCGATTACAGTAAGAGTCTCGACGGTGAAGATAGCGAGGAGGAAAGGCCGGAGTGGGATAAAGAGGACTATCTTACACCTGGATCCGCTCAGGAGCGTGAGATGGAGGTAAGCAACTTACGATGTCATTTCTCTCCTTCTCTGGGTTGTCTCATGAGCAAGCACTGCCCAATTTGGTGCTCCAAGAGAGGAGGCACAGACACATTACTTGAAAGAGCTGTTCCAAACTCATTTATCTACCCTAATAGGCAATTTCTAACACATGTTGTTGTAGTGGTGGGAGACACACGAACACCTCAAGAGGCAGTGGAGGAAAGAACGTGCTACCAACCCCAAGTTCCGTGGACTGGCCAGGGGGCAATAGGGTGGCTCACAATGGGGACCTCGCGTTCCACGGATCAAACACAACAGCTAGACAAATGATCGCCTGCGCCCGCTGTGATGAGTTGGTGGATTAGTAAAGTGTAGCTTTTTCCTTTATCTTCAACATTTGGTTACATGAGCGATGGTTTGTAATTTAGATATCTTTACAGTTATAATATTATGTTGTGGTGAGTGAGAAGCCTATTAAATTGCGAATCAGACGCACGAAGTTTAGGGTCATTTCTACTGTACCGATTAAAAGTAAACACTCATGAATCTCTAACCAAATATGTTATTGTGCACGAGTGACACGTTGTGCAATACACGTTGTTTAATTCCAAGCCACGTGAACCACTCAATGCCATATGTGTTCGACCCCAATAAGTTTGCGCTGATATATCTTAGATCCTACTCTGTCTATTCATGTGGATCTGGGTGTGGTCTAGCGAGGGCATCTACTCACCCAGCACAGCCAGCATTCCTAAGAACGCCTCGGCTTGTCAAGCAGGTTATCAATGGGTGAGAGCACAACGGTGTCGCGGGACTCTTTGGCAAGTCGCGCAGTCAGCTGATCGCAAATTACGGCGTACCGCCGCTGCCCAGCGAAGTGGGCGCCCCATTCGGTCTACAGATTGCGGCGCGGAGATGATGGTGGGGGAAGGAAGTCAAAGTTAGGTGCATCTCTCCATCGTCGGGCGAAGAATGAGGAGTTTCGGGACCGGTTTCCGCCAATCTCCTCATCTATCCACCTGTCTAAGCGATCTCTGATATGTATCTGGGCCTTGGAAATCAAGAATGAGCGGTTCTCAGATTGTTTTCGGCTTGTCCCTTATTGGTCTGTATGGGCAGTGAGTAATCAAGACCAGCAGCACAGCCTCTCTGCCTCCACGAAGTGAGCGATAAAGTTGCAAGCTTTCGGCGCTGTCATTCTAGTGGCGCCGGCCGGTAGGTTCGGGGCCCCGCGAACCCATGCCCGAGGAACAGAGTTGCAGTGCCACTTGGCGATTGCTTGTCTGCCTTGCCTCGCATCTTTGGTGCATTTTTGTTACTGGCTGATCGTGGTCATAGCCCAGGCACGAAGGAATGGATGGACATGCTCTAGGGGAGGCGAAAATGCATGGAAGCAATCAAGCAACTCCACAGCCCTTCGATCAACCTTCTACAAAGACAGCGGGAGGGCATGTGATGTCTTAGCTGTGTCCTCCTAGCGCGCTTCTGTGCATATTCTGCCCGTTTTGGCGACTTCAGGGTCCACGAGAGTGGCCCTAAAAACCCCCTGTCAAGCTTCTGTAGCGATCCTCTAGCCTCTCGGTGGCCCAAAACAGTGGTCTCAGTTCCCCGCAAATCCCAAATAAGGTCAAGGCACTCAAGGCACACACTCTTGCATCGTCCAGCACCCAGTCACCACTGTGTCCAGCTGCCTGCTCCGCCACAATATACGGAGCACACAGCTGGAGGAATGATGTAGTAGCTAGCCCTTGTACACCAGCTGTCTCGTACATGCACGCCATCTTTTGGCCATTCACTTGGCTGTGCCGCTGACCTGCCTTTATTCTGCACAACTGTGTCGCTTACATGACAGTGACGACAATGTCTTTGCACAGAGCCACAATCATCATCATCTCACGTCGATTTGGTGGAGGATAAGGAACAAGCCCACAGCGCCCCAATAATGAGGATGGTAGTGGCACTTATCTACTACATACCTTCAGCCGCAGATAAAGAATACCTAAATTCCAACGCTCCTTCTCCAAGATATAATTCCATGTTTCGTCGACATCTAAGATTTTTGTTTCTTTAGCGACTCCAAGGAACACACTGAGGATATTGTCATAAACCTGTGTACCAATTATTCTTTTCTTCTCTTCAAACCTTTTACCTTTTATGTTGGTCTTAGGACCTGTCTCCCATCGCAACCATGACTGTCAAAGCCAATAGCGCAGACCCTACAGCAGCAGCCACCACCTCGGCTAATGGCGAAGCACCACCAGCATACACTCCCGTCGCTGGTGCACCACCACCCACGGGACCTCCAAGGCAGTTATCTGAGAAGGAGTTGGCTGCTCTAAACTCTGCCTTTTCGTCACTGAATTTACCGACCGTCGCCACCAAGGTGGATGAGGACACTTGTCTCGCCCATCTCAAGCTTCTATCGGCTTTCTATACACTGAAGGAAGATGTCGGCTATACCGACGGCCTATGGGCCATCTATGACTCTCGCGCCAACCCCAAGACCGACGCTGGTCCAGAACTCGGTGCCGAGCTCGCCAAACTGCGTGAGAAGCGATGGGCATTGTATGTCGCCAGAGCCGTCAACCGTTACGAGGCATGGTGGTACACATTTGCATCGGACCCGTTGACGCTCGCCGACATGACGCCAGACTCGGTCAAATATGCCGAATTCACCAGCTCAGATGCAGGAATGAACTGGGAGCCGCCGCGCCCGCTTCCACCATTGGGTCCGTCCATCTCGGTATCTGTTCATTAGATGTACCTGCTAACCTTGCTTCACTAGATGTCCTCATGGTCTGGCACGCACACATGCTCAACCCTCGCGACTACCTCGAAGACTGTATCCGCGCAGGTAGACGAGAATTTTGGACTGCCGGGTTACCCTGGAAGCACATCAATGAAGCCATTGATACGAATTTCAACTACAAAGTATCCGACGCTTGTATCGCAGCCTGGAAGACGGCCACTGGGCGTGAATGGGATAACATGGAGGACTCAATGACAAAGCAGATCAAGTGTCCAGCCTGCTCGGAGCGACTCTTGATTCCCTGGACGACGTGCGGCCATGCTGAAGATGACAAAGGATCGCGACCAAGCCTCGTTGGAAACGGCTACGGCGACGGCGAGTTCAAGTCTACGTGCACCAGATGCGGTACGGCCATTACTAGAGAATTTCTCGAGGCAGCCAGATTCGTCAGCGATGCTAAATTTCTCTTGGCTAAGAACCATCCCATGCCTGGTACGATTCTCTCTTATCGCACAGGAATGCCAGAGAAACTGCTGCTTCGATTCAGCAATGTCTCGACTTTGGAGCTGGGCTTTCCCAACCGTTTGATCCAGAACCACCTTCGTAGTCAACTTCTGGAGCTGATGAAGCCCGGACAGCACTTGTCTCCTGTCAATATGGACACGGTGCGGACCATGATCGAGGACGCACTCGCAGACCAGACGGTCCTCAAACGAGTTGAGAACGTCACAGGTGTTGCCGCGTTGAACCGCTATCGGCTCAGCAGAAGCTCGAGGATATATGTTCGCAAGATGATGTCGCGGTATTGGGGAAATTCTTCTCCCTTTGCCCTTGAGCTGGGCGGTGCCGTTTTGCGACAAGGCATCTTCACGGACAAGATGTACAAGGTCAGTCCAACTACTGACACATGCCCGATTGGGGCTTTGTGCTAACGTGATGACAGATTGATTGGATTCACAGTCCCGCTGCTCGCGATACCATGAAGAGACTCGTTGTCAAGTACCAGCGATTTATTCAAATCATGGCCGCCAACCCACTCAAAGTTGCAGTTCCCACGCTTGATGTAGACTTGGCTTGGCATACCCACCAGCTTAGCCCGGCCGCTTATTTGGACTTTACTTTTGCCAAGTCACAAAAGTTCATTGACCATGACGACAAAATCAACGAGGTCAAGCTTGCGTCAGCGTTCGAGTGGACCAGCAAGACTTACCAGGAAATGTTTGGTGAGGTATACAGCGAATGCACTTGCTGGTACTGCGAGACGGTCAGATCATCGCACGTGAGCTCTGTTGGAAGAGCGCTTGGCGTTTCAAAGAATGACAAGAGTAAGTCACTTCTTCACAGTATGGTCATTGTGAAATGCGATTCTGACGAGTACAGTTGTCAATGAGTTCCATGAATCTGGACGAGCAGATCTCTGTCCTCCCGACGCCTCAGCTCATATCTCTGCCCACAATGCTGTCAAGTATTACGACGAGGATCCCAAACGAGGTGACATATACAAGGCAATGCACGATGCTCAGGTGGCCAAGATGGAAGAGAACTATAGAAAGGCACAAAAAAGAGCAGAGAAAAAGGGCCGTAAGATTCCGCCTCGCGATGAGTACTACTACTATTGGGGATATCCATACATGATGTACGGACCCTGGGTGTACCCTATCTACTGGAGTCCCGGATTCTACTACTGTGACCCTGGGGTTGCAGCTGCCGGTACGGGTCATGCAGGTGCTTGTGCTGCAGGTGAGTCTTCCTAAGGAACTTTCCTAGTAGTCTTTTCAGATGCTCCATGCTTTGAGCTGAGAGATCCCTTGTCTCTTGTCAATGATGCTGATACTAGAATTACAGGTACCTGCGGTGGTGGTGCTGCTGCGGGTGCTTGTGCTGGCGCTACAGCAGGTGGGTGCGGTGCGCCAGGTGGATGCGGCGCTGGCGGTGGTGTAAGTCAAGAGAGAAAACAACCCAACTGCTTACTTGTTTGCTAATGTTTCTGAAGTGTGCAGGTGGTGGTGCAAGCGCTGGGGGAGGATGTGGTGGCGGAGGAGGAGGATGCGGAGGTGGTGGTGGTGGATGTGGCGGTGGAGGAGGCGGCGGCGTAAGTTACTACCAAACTACCCAAGTGGATTGACCTTTTACTAACAAATTCCAGTGTGGTGGTGGTGGATGCTAAGAGTTTTGAAGAGATACCCGGCCTGGTTTCGATTGGCAAGATGATTCCTTGGCGTACATCCCTTGTTCTGTCTTTCTTGCATTATACGGCTCTCTGTAGCTCAATGACTTATGAATACGTTTCAAGAATTCCTATCACGATTGTCTTCTCATATATATAACATTGCATGTCTCTTGGATGATGTTGTCGATAATCTGTCATGCTGACCTCCCTAAAACAGACGAACTGAAACATCAAACGAAGGATTAAGAAGTAAGAGAGAGAAAATGGACCCAAAAAAGGGAACGAACGGAAATCGAACACAGAAAGACTGGGAGGACGAACCCAACCACAGAGAGAGTTAGAGGTACAAGATTTCTGGGAGAGGAGTGAGAAACATTACATCACTGTCGCCTGTGGTCCGTGGGTCATCGAAAGCAAACAGTTTATTTGGAATTAGCAACCTTTGCTTCGAAGACTGATTTCCATGTGTTCATATTGCCGAAAAGTTGGGAGAATATTGTATAAGCTTTTTTACTAAAACGCCAAGAACTGGGCGCTTGCATTGGTCTTGAGCCTATTTTTTGCACCCCGACGATCCAGGAACGCGCCGGTCTATGACGCACATCATACGCATGGGGCACGAGTAAGCGGTTGATAAAGCTGAAATCATCCCCCAACCTCCCCTCGGTGTGTCTGTCTGTACATGGTAGAGACCCTCTGATTATATGAAGTTGCTCAAACCAGTTATTTACCAAAAGCATACGCTAAATCACTAGTCGCGACTTTTATCTTTATCCCTACCAATTCAATAACTACTTTGTCCAATCACTCGTCACGTGGACAGTAAAGGACTCGTAATCATGGCTGGAACAGACGAGACTGAGAAGAAGACCAAGGCTGCCGACAAGAAGCAGCAGGCGGAAGAGGAACTGCCCGCAGACGACGAGGAATACGTCGAGGGTCAGGATGATGATGCGGCTGCGGATGATGATGATGTCGAGAAAGTCACAGAGGACAAGGGCGCGGATGTTGAAGATATAGAGGAGCAGAATGGAGAGGACGCGAAGGAGGGCGAGGACAAGGCTGGTGCCGAAGAGGAGGAGCAAGAAGAGGAAAAAGAAGCAGAGGTCATTTCCGATGAAGACGAAGAGGAGGAAGAAAAGGACGAGGAAGAAGGAGACGAGGATGATAAAGGCACTAAGCGCAAGCCCTCGTCCAAATCCCAACCAGGCTCGTCCAAGAAGCAAAAGACAGCCACTTCCACCGCCACCAACGGCGGTGGCTCGTCGGCCAAGGTCGACACGTCCAAGCCCAACGCGGCCGCGGAATCGGGCACCGTGGGCTCCAAGCACGACGCGCCGCGCGACCCGGCGACGCAAGGGTCGGCGGACCGGCTGCCGCGTACCGGACAGACGGTCCACTGGAAGGCGCTGCCGGGCTATGTCGAGGGCGAGGTGGTGGAGATTTTGACCGGTGACAAGGAGGTCGAGGGCAAGTCGGTCAAGGCCACGGCCGAGGAACCGAGGATTGTGCTCAAGAGTAGCAAGTCGGGCAAGATTTGTGTGCACAAGGCTCAGGCGGTGTATTTTGATGATGAGTAAGAGAGTACGGGGAGGCAGATTACTTGCCTCTGTGGTTCAAGGCTTTTTGTTCAAAATGGTATGGAGGAGTTAATTGGGTGTTGGGTCACGGTATACCTCTGTGCAATAATATTTCTTTACATTCCTATCTTGGCTACTGGTTTCAGAAACGGATTGTCTGGGTTGATCATGACAAAGTATGACCCTCGTGATTCTGGTTGACATCTTTCTGCGTGTCAGTTGACTAGTTTGTTCCCTTTCCATGTTGCGCCGCATTCATCTCCTCCGCTCCATCGAGTCTGACAGACTATATTACGCAGATGCTCTAGTCAATCCACCAAGTGATATTCTTGCCCTCGCAATTCATGGTGCCCGTAGCTGCAACGTGGCCGCTATTGCCGAATCGTCCAACGGCACCGTCAATGAGGCCGAGAATATCCTCATTGGCAAGAGAGAATTTGAGCGGATCGCCTTGGCCAGGACCTCGACCCAGCGAAAAGTGGCACGGGTAGCCATTGATCAAGCCGCGCTTCTCGCCGACGGCGGCGCCAGTCAGGTTGACGAACCAGCTCTCGGGGTCTTGGGATACGACTGGGCATAGTTGCTGGCACTCGTCAATAGTCGGGGCGCCGGTTTGGTTCTTTTGCGCCTCCCATGTGAGCTGCTTGCAGTAGCCTGCCGGGCCTTTGGCGAGGCATGTCTGGCTTGCTGCCGTTGTCAGGGCTGCAAGATGCCCAAGGGCAAGAATGGTGTGCTTTATCATGATGAAATAGGTGATGATGCGGTGGCTGAGTAGGCTCTGTATAGCGTAATGATCTTTGAGCAGGTTGCCGTGCGTCCAAGATGTGAGGGGTACAAAGTGAGGATTTCCTGTTCGAAGAAAAAAAATCTTTTTATATCAGCCAAGAGAGGCTGATTCACTTTCTGATTCTGGTATTCACTGACATGTTTGCAAGTCATGATGAGTGGAAAGATTTGCACGAAGATGGAATCAGATGGTAAATACAAAGTCCATCGCGTAGTCTAGCAGTCACTTTTTTGGGTCATGGTTGTTTAAATTTGTGAATTATGTGTATAGCAGGAAATGGTGTTCATCAAGTGTAAAGGCTCGTTTCCTAAGCTTCGCAACTACTCTATCCGCGCTTTAATGGTCAACGCTCAGAGCGGATAATGGACTGCAGAGTGCTCGCTCATTCCACCCAATATGCAAAATCCTTGCCATCACACTTCATGTCGAACTTTACTCCATCAATCCCAAGCTTATCAAGAGGGGAAGCCCAATTGACGGCACTTTGCACCATGAGCAGGACGTCCTGCTTGGCGAGAACAATGTTCAGGGGATCGCTGGCCTTGCCCGTGAGCCGGCTCAGCGACAACTGGCACAGGCCGTTTTCGACGAGAGTTCGCTTTTCGCCAACGGCCGCACCTGTCAAGTTGAGTTGCCAGTCGCCTACATTGTTGGACACCAGTGGGCAGAGCGTCGCACAGCTGTTAAGAGACTTCCAAGGGACACTCAAGAAGACGTGATCCATAAAGTCGCCGAAAGGGTGTGGCTGACAACGGTCAGTGAACTTGTCGCCTCCACAGGACTGGGCAAGGGTGTGAGTGGCAAGGAATCCGAGAGTGAGGATCGTGTATCTCATGGTGATCGCGTAGGTAGTGATATGTGGGCTGGAAGGATGACTTGGGCGTACTTGTCTGTAGAGTGGTGGATGAAGAGGCAGTGTATAGATATTAAGTCAAGATTCCAAATGAAGACAGAACCGAAATGGCTTTTATAATACAAAGCTCAGAAGAGGAAAAATTAATTCACAGATTTATTGTACTATCGTCATGACGTTCGGAAATATATTAAGTGAATCATACCGGTAGAAGAAGCAATTCAGTTAACGCAAGTTGTTTCCATCGCTTCATCCGACAATCACTTTGCAGCATCACAACTAGTGTCACCACATGAAATACGATTGTGACAGGAGAGAGAGTCTATTGAGTATGACATCCTGGATTCTACAGGCTGTACAATTACGTGTTTTGCGGCTTCCGTCTTTCATCCACCCACTCCTAATCACGCCAGTGCGGCGGACGAGCATGTCACCAAAAGTCGCCCATTTATTCCACCCAGTAGGTAAATCGCTTGCCATCACAAGTCATTGTTCCAAACGCGCCTACGCTGCCGTCGGGGTACATGATGGACACGTTGACGGCTTCAGCCAGCATCCAGAGGAGGTTCTGCTTGACAATGACCAGGTTGTGATCGGGTTGGGGGTGGCGTGACTCTTCGGCGCTAATCGATACGCGACAGCGGCCGTCGTCAATGAGGGTGCGCCTTTCGTAACGGTTAATACCAGTCATATTTGTTTCCCAGTAGAGATCTTGTCCGTTGGCCACAGTCTCGCAAAGATGCTCGCAGTAGGTGGTGTTTCTATTCGGGGCTCCGTCGAACCTGCCCTCTGTGAGGGGTGGTGGAAGCTCGAGAATGCAATGGGGGCTAAAACCCTCGTTGCCGCAAGCATTGGCGGTGGCTCCGGTGGCAAGATAACCCAGTGTGAGGATCACGCACTTCATGATGACCGACTGGAGTTGGAGTTGGAGTCGATCGAGTGGTGATATCTCGGTTGAATTTACTTGGCCAAGGGTAATGAATTGAATGGTCTCGTCCGTTTTAGTATCTCGGTGTGAGTACTGGAGGTTGACTTTCTGGTAGATCCGTGTATCGCTTCTTCCTGATCAGTAACTCTTTGCCGGAGAGTTGTGGAGTGTTCAAGGCCGAGATTACAAAAGCATAGCAGTGATTGTTGCTCAAATAGTAGCTGAGGCTGATTGATATCCCATCGGCGCTATGACCGTGATATACACTTGAGTGAATCACAGCAACCGCAATGAAGTGATCAGATTGCAAAAGTCGACTGAATCACTTGGTTTATACTTGCGCTTCGGTACGAGATGCAGGCACGTGATGGGATGAATTGCTTATGCAATCGTTGTACATAGTCTATTGGGGAAAAGGGAGGTCTATTGTTCCCCAATGAGCTGTGCTGCCTCGAAATCATCATTGCCATTTTCCTGCAACAGTGCCTCTGCAAATGAATGATACGTCTCGATGCGCCACTTATGCCACCCACCAACTGACATCCTTTCCATCGCAAGTCATATTACCCTTTAAGAACACCCAGTCGACTCCTTCCGCTTCCGCAAAGATAATGGCACCATCCACCAGATCCAAAATGTCCTGTTTAGCAACGCGAAACTCGGGCAGGTCGTCCTGGTCCATGCTCCAGGCAAGTTTGAGACGGCAGTGATTGATATTAATGAGAGTGACATTGTTAGATGTGCCCGTAAGGTCGACGTGCCAGTCTCCGTCATGGTCGGCTATGTTTTCGCATAGCCGCTCGCAATCTGCAATCGTGCGCGTGATGTCGGCGTCGTCGATGGTTTCTACGCTTGTGATTTGGCAATAACCTTGATCGTATTTATCGCCTGCGCATATCGAGTCGGCGATTGCAATGGCGGCAAGGCACCCGATGGTGAGACTCGTGAACTTCATGGTCCTCGAATGGAATTAAACTGGTCGGAACTGGTGGTGCAAGGGCTCAAGGCCAGAAAAGAGTTTTATTCGGAATTTGGGCCTCAACAATAATAGAAACTGGCCGTTCAAGTAAAGGTATGTGCTTTTTAGTCAGTAAAATCGCCGTCAAGAGTAATTGAGAATTCGAGTCAGCCTTCTTCAAATGCGTCAGCGATCACTACTTGTAGGATATCAGGAATGATTCAGATGCATTTTTCACTTGGCTTCCACGCAGATTAAATGCATCAGATATCGCAAGGGCGATATTGAAAGCATCAAATCACTCGGGCGACGACATGGACAGTGACGGAATTTCAAACCAGGAAACTGCCCGTCGGCTTTCCTTGCAGTTGTATCACATACTCGGACACGCATTAAAACCCAGCCACCTCTTACCAAAACTGTTTGAATCATTAGAGGCGATAGCACTCTGGCACTGGACCAAAGAAAATGGTGGTCCGGCTGAACTATAAATCCCCCACATCGGAGCAGGAATCTACAACACATCACCTCCTCAATACCTGCCACAGTCTTCACTGATTTCTGTGATGAATGTCATCTAACCAAGACGACTTCTTTAAGTTGCCCATATTCAAGACAGTCGGCCAACATAAACACCAGTGATTGCATCTCCCATCCGACGTCTACAAAATGTCCAACCACGAAGGCTCTAGCCAGAGCGATGGCTGCGACAGCCATCACGGGGACTGTACGGAAGTAGAATTTGACGGAGAGTATTTCAACAGCTCCCGGTACAGCTGGGAGCACCGAGGGGACAACATTCCGTGGTGTCCGCGCGACGTCATTGAGCATCCGGGCGGGACACCCACCACGTCCTCCAAAGGCAAGGCGGATACCGAGCACAAGAAGGATGTGGCAAAGGGAAGCAGGAGCCGACAAGGAAGGAAGGACACGGCTTCAAAGTCATGAGGGAATTGAGATGAAGTCAAGCTGAGGCACATATCTCTGAGAAGAGAGCCCTTCCGGATGTTTTTCAGTCAAGCTATTCCTGAGAGACTGATGGAATTTACACTTTACGCTTGGTAAAGTTTATTCATTGCTACTGATTGTGACATGCTAGATTGTTATTCTGTGCTGTCAGAAAGCAATAGATCTCATACCTTTATTTCAATGAGCCCGAGTTGAGCATTGATGCCTTCAAATGAAGTCCATCATAATGGTCCCACGAATATGGCTTCTCCAGTTTTTCTCGGCTATGGTGCTGTGCGGTATGCTGGTGGCAAGGAGTCATTGAGTGCCAGCTTAATCTTACGAGTAAGAGTTCGGGCATGTCAAAGTCAACCAACACACACCTAAATCGTTGATGAGATGGAGAGCTACATGATATTGTAATCCTTAGCGGTACAGTTCTGGTGGTGATGATTCTGTGAAAGTGCCAGGTAGAGAATGGAGCACTTATTCCGAGAACGCGTCGGCAAATGGAATCTCGTGAATCTAGTCTGTCTGGCTGATGGCGTATATGCTGTACAGCAGGCATTTAAGCATCGACATTGGCAAAGCATCATTCTCTAATCGGCCGCGAAAGGCAGACCGAGTCGCTTTTCGTGATCTAAATTTATTATTGACCACTTTCATGATTGAACTAAGTTGATTAAATGATACCAAGTAAAGTTTGTGAGTTGTTGGATTCTTGCTAATTTCGCAGCAATTTGGATGTATACTCTGGGCCTGTAAATTAGTGGGTATCTGCCGGTATGTATGTAGGCTACAGTGCTGCATGTCAGTAGTAACAACGCTCTCGGAATATGCAACCAGATAGTCGATGAAATAATACATTGTATTCTTGATACATATTGACGAAGAGCGGGTCGCACATGGAAAAGCATGTATAAATGTGGCCCAATCTAGGAACGAAACGTCAGCATACGGAGACGGGCTGTCAGAGGTCGGGAGAGAGCAGCTCCTTTGCCGTGTGCCGACAAAGACGATTTGCTCCGTAGACATGAGCGCATCGATTATGTATGCCGATAGATCCGAAGATCCGTAGCGTTCATCTATACATATGATCAGAATGATGCAAGATCTGGATGCTTTAATAACAAGATGAATGACAGAACGCGTGAAACTGCTGGGTGGATTCGCGTTACGATGTGTCTGTTCTCTAGGATCCATATTTGGCACCAGCAATTCGATTCGGGACGACCAGAGCTTAGCAAAGCCAACCCCCACTAGCCAAGGCCCGTGCACTTCAGCTCTTTAGCAGAGGTGCCCGCTGAAATTTTCTCCTTCTGCATTGATGAATTTTTAGCATTCACCCTCATCACAAACGCAAAGCGCGTGCGACAAATCCATCGAAGAATGATGGTGATGACATGGTTTGATGTCGCGTCAACGGTAAGTGATCACCTAGGCAGTGGTCAATCGTATTGTTTCCTTTCACTGGATTCTCTCTCTCCCTCTCTATGTAGAACGCAGTAACTTGACTCCGGCTACTCGTTTTCTCCCACGAGTCCTTTTCGAAGGGTCTTGGATCAGCTTCACGTCTTGTGTCGCGGTGACAAGTTGGTTCGGTGATGGCTGCTGGCGGTGCTCTTTTGCGCTGCCAGTCGAAAGGCTGCAAAAGCAAACCATTATATCTGGGCCATCATAGTCCATGCTCATAATTCTTTATTTTAACCCACATGAGCGTGGCTCCCAGCGCTCCAACATTTCAATGTTTTTTGGACGGCTTTTTCGAAGTTTTAGTAATCATGCCCATTCCTTAGATTAGGGCCTCGCATGGATAGACCACATCTAGGTAGTCGATGCGGCTCTTTCGTCGTTCTTACTTCTATTGCCGTATTGTTGTCGTCTTACCACCATGGTGACTGTGACCGTATACCTTCAATGGACTTTTTCTTTAGCCAAGCTTGTTGCTCAGTCATCTGCAGCACCACAATCTTTCAGGCTCAAAAGCTTGTTTTGTTCTTTCTGGCCCATTCTTGATCCCGATCATGTCCGCGCAGGTCACCCGAACAGCACCACCCGCTTGCCCCCCACTTTGCTCCTCTATTCAATCGGTCCATTTGCTCCTTGGTGCCGTGCTGTTTGGGCAACGACGACGTCACACCACATGTCACAATCCAAGGTCTAGATCCCTAAACATGAAAGCTTCTGGGTGCGGATTACTAGCCAACAAACGTTGCAATTAGCTGCCAAGAACATTTTCTTTTTACTCAACACTCGTCGTATCTTAGACATAGAAATATTTATAGTTTTATTGATCAAAAGGGTATTACTCAGTTCATTCTGCGCAAAACACATACTCAACACCAAAGTTTCATGCATCTGATAGCTCGTCGTTTGTTCACGCGTTCCACCCCATCATTCCTATCTTGCGCCCGATTCTACAGCTCTGCCAACATGCCTGAGCAGTCCAAGTCGAAATGGTCTCATCTTCCGCTGAGCACCAGCGGCCCCATTGACTGCGCCGTGAGCGGAAGTGTACTTCTCAACACGCCCTACTTCAACCATGGCTCGGCACACTCTCAGCAGGAGAGGCGGGACTTCGACCTGACTGGTCTGCTCCCAGCCGGCATTCAGACGTTGGAGCAGCAGGCCAAGAGAGCATACCAACAGTACTCGTCGCGACAAGATGATTTGGCAAAGAACACATTCTTGACTTCGTTAAAGGAGCAGAACCTTGTTTTATACTACAGAGTATGTCTTTCAATGCCCACCTGCAGAACTGGGCATGGTACTGACCTCTGCCTAGCTATTGGCGGACCACCTAGATGAAATGTTCAGCATTGTATACACGCCGACAGAAGGAGATGCTATAGAGAACTTTTCGCGGCTATTTCGAAGATCCGAGGGATGCTTCCTGAACATTAATGATCTAGACCGGGTTGAACACGATCTGTCGCAATGGGGCACCGCTGATGATATTGATTATATCGTCGTGTCAGGTAAGCTTACGCGGCGCCCGCCACTCCCGGTTGGCTATCCCCCACTAAACATTTTGCAGACGGTGAAGAGATTCTCGGGATCGGAGACCAGGGCGTCGGCGGCATCCTCATCTCGAGCGCCAAACTGACGCTCACCACACTCTGCGCCGGTATCCACCCCGACCGTGCATTGCCCGTGGTACTCGACTGTGGTACGGACAATGAAAAGCTCCTCGATGATGACCTGTATCTGGGAATTAGGCAAAAGAGGGTTCGCGGTGAAAAGTACGACAAGTTTGTCGACAACTTTGTCAAGGCTGCCCGAAAGTTGTACCCAAAGGCGTATATCCATTTTGAGGACTTCGGTCTGGCAAACGGCAAGTCATGACATCACCAATCACTTGTACGAGTTGTGCTAACATCGGATCAGCTCGCCGCATTCTGGAAAACTACAGACCAGAGATTCCGTGCTTCAACGACGATGTCCAGGGCACTGGTTGCGTGACGCTTGCGGCCATCATGGCTGGTCTCCACGTCAGCAAGCAGAAGCTGGAGGATCTCAACATGATTGTCTTTGGAGCCGGAACCGCAGGTGTCGGCATTGCTGACCAGGTCAGGGACGCCATTGTTGCCTACAAGAACTGCAGCAAGGAGGATGCGGCCAAACATATCTGGTGAGTTTCCATTGATGATGTTCCGCTTTGATTGCCCATTGCTGACATCAAAAAATTACAGGCTGGTCGACAAGCCCGGCTTGCTAACCACGCAGACGGACAACCTCTCCCACGCGCAAAAGATCTACGCCAAGGACGACCCCGGATTCAGCGGCAAGGGCAACGACCTGCTCGAGGCCGTCAAGCACGTCAAGCCCAATGTACTCATTGGCACCTCGACCAAACCCAAGGCCTTCACCGAGGAGATTATCAAGGAAATGGCCAAGCACACGGACCGCCCCATAATCCTGCCGCTTTCCAACCCCACGAGACTGCACGAGGCCGTGCCCGAGGATTTGCTCAAGTGGACCGACGGCAAGGCCCTGGTCGCCACCGGCTCGCCCTTCAAACCCGTGCGCGGGCCCTGGGGCGAGGGCGGCAAGGAGATCGAGATCGAGGCCGCCGAGTGCAACAACTCGGTCGTGTTCCCCGGCATCGGCCTGGGCTCGGTGTTGTGCCGCGCCAACCGCGTCACGGACAAGATGCTCGTCGCCGCCGTCACGGGCGTCTCGGACATGAGCCCCGCGCTCGAGGATCCCAACGCGCCGCTGGTACCCGGCGTGGACAATGTTCGCGCCGTCAGCGTGCGCATCGCGCGCGAGGTCATCAAGGCTGCGGTGGACGAGGGCGTTGCTACGGAAAAGGAGATTCCGACTGACGACAAGGAATTGGATGAGTGGATCAAGGAGCAGATGTGGGATCCCGTGTATCGGCCACTGAGGCGCATCGAGCCCAAGGGCGCGAGTCGCCAGGCCAAGGCCGAGCTAAAGGTTGTAGGTAGCTTGGGCAAGGTTGAGTAGAGGGACAGGTGTTGGAAGCATATTATATTCACACGGGACTTATTATTAGTTTTAATATCTCATTGATTCGTTATCTTGTGCTGACATTAGGCTGTTGTGTATCTCTTTGTTTGTGGTTTTCTTCCCCGCTCTTCTTCCCAAGTCTCCTTTGAGACTTTCTTCCCTTCTCTCTTCTCTTTGGCTTATCGCCCATGCCTTGTGAATTTGTGAATAAGCATCCCTTGTGAATAATCATGCCTTGTGTTGTCGCTAGAATCCTCTAAACGACGATATTGTAAGAGGAGGAGGAGGAGTCCTCCATCTCCTCCAGTGCGCTGGCTCACTCCTCGACGCCAGAAACATCCATGCTGAGCATAGCCATCTTTGCCTCGACGCTGGTTCGTGCTTCGGCTAGGAAAAGCTCCATTTTTAGGACGTCCAACTTTTGCTCAAGGCTCTTGCGGGCGGCCTCGTCTTGGTGCAAAAGTTCATGGAGATTGGATGGGTCTTGTTCAGTCTCGTCGTCGTCGTCGTCGTTCTCGCCATCGTCGATGCAAGGTCGCACAATCTGCCTCTTGCCAAAGAACAAATTTCCATATTGTTGGAGCATGGCATCTACGGCGCGTACGAGCAGGCGTACGGTATTGCGATGACCGCGGATCTGGGCGTGATAGGGATCTTCCTCGCCGATAGTATCGAGGAAGTCATCAATCATGGGGATAAAGGTGTCAACCATGTAGTCTTTGCGGCTACTAGTGTCGCTGAAGAGATTGATGATGTAGTCCAAGTGGTGGTTAAAGTAGACCTCATGCGACTCGTCTTGCAATTCACATCTCTTTGAAGCCTGGTCATACATTCTTCGGATAAGAGCTCTGTGGTCTTCTCGCAGCTCGGGGACTTTCTTGATGATGTCGATGGTCACGAAAACCTGTGTCTCAAGTCCCTGGAAGGCGTTGCGACTTTTCTGAAAGGTGTGGCGGAACATCTCGTTGGCGACCTTCGTCTTGCTGATCGTTTTGTCTGTTCTTTCCACCATCAGAATCATGCGAGTCTGGATGTAGTTGTCCAGGTAACGTGCAAAGTTGACTGGCACTTCTGGTATGTCGTCAATGTCGAAGTTGTCGCTTCGAACATTTCTGAGGCACGGCATCGTCGCAGCACTCGTTGGTTAGTAGATGGTAATTGAATGTGAATGTGAAGAAGTCGTGGTGTGTGGAAAGTATCAAACAGTCGGCGTTTGCTACAGGTTTGATATTTATTGGGGGGAAGAAGGGAATTTGGAGTTGTGGTGTGGTGAGTGGAAAGTATCAAATAGTCGGCGCTTGCAATCCATTGGTGTTTAATGGAAAGAAGAAATTTTCTTGAGCACTGCGCAAGGAATGAACGTGAATCGAGTTGGGCGGTGGTTTTCTCGTTTTATTGTTCTTTCCTTGCAGCCGTGGTGTGTCTGGGAGGTTTATGACAATAACGATTGGCTACTACTAGGTAGCTCGGAATGAATGATTTCAATTGGTTCCCTGTTAACATCTATCTTGATTATTCCACATTCATAGCTTGGGATTGGTCTGAAAGTGACATTGTTTGTTGGACATCAGTATGTCTTGTACAAGTTAGTGTTTGCAAAAGTTCAGCGGCGAATCTTGACAATGTAGATACTCACAGTTGTGTGCATTGTTCATGGTTCGATACAGGACACTCCCAATTCTGTCGTTCAGCATCTGTTGCGAATGTTTTCTCCTACTCTATAACCACAATCTCCCGCGCTCATTCTTCGTCGACCAGATACATCCACGCCCACACGCGCTTAGCAATATCAAGAGGGGCAGTGATCCCGATCCTGAATTCCGTTGCGTCCTCAAAAGTACCAAGCATGTCAATCTGCCTCTCGAGTTCGTTTCCACTTAATACAGGCAGGAGAAGATTGGTTTTGTATATGCAGGAGCGTCGATTATGTGTGATGCTGATATTGATGGTCGTGACGCCATCTAATTGAGCAACCAGGTGGCAAGCCCCCTCATAAGTCTCTGTAGTGACTTCAAAGCCGACCACGGGCATATGAAAAGGATCTACGCAACAAGGAGCCCGATTTGGAACGACCATGGGGATCTTGTTGTGGCGCTGCATGATGAAATTCTGCAATGTGAAAATGTTTATAGTCAGAATCGATCGGGTATAGTATAGCAATCACAATGATTTGAATACAGAGAGGAGATTAGCGGAATAGAAGAATTTTTCTTGTAAAAGATCATTGAAAAGAAGAATGAAAGGCAGAAGCCGGCGGACATTGTTCAGAGACGGCAATTTCGTTCATCAGTGTTGATCAGTCGCAGTAGGCGCGGAATGCAAATCAACATTGCATCACTGCACTTGAGGATAGTAGGGGAGGTGCTCTGTTGGAAATGATACACGGTATTACTCCTTGATCAGAAGGGGCTACCTAGTGTCAAGTATGTATTTCCCCAATTCCGTCTCTTTTCTGGTTCTCTGGTTCCTTCCTGTTCTCTAGAGATTCTGTACCGTAGCTCAAGATCACTGAAAAGGGCCACAGCCTTTGCGAAAACCTGCACTGTTGTACCTGGGTTAGATTTGAAGGCATCTAGATCCATGGAATAAGGCCGCTTACATTTGTCTCGATTTTCGTGATGAGATGATTGCAATGCTTATAGCCCCTAGGCGTTAATGCCGTTCTCCACAATCATTCTTCTTGTAGGCTGTCTCTGTCAGATCCCGCGGCCAGATCGACGCTTCTTCTGCTTCTTTGTGTGGCTTCTCGTGCGTGGTCGATGTCGCGGTTCAGGTGTTGGAGTGCCTTGTTGCAAGTATTGCTCGTCTCTGAAGGAACGTTGGTTGTAAAGGAGACGACGAACTTTGACGGGATTGTTGTTCTCAATCTCCACGTCCACAGGATTAATAGCAATCCAGCCTTTGCGGATGACTTTGCCACTTCCGGAGATGGTCAAGCGATAGGAATCTCCATGCTTGAATTGGTTCAAAATACAAAGCATACGGGCGGCAGACAGTGCAGTAAAATTGAGAGACTCGCCAGTAAGCCAGGACTTCGAGTCAATGATGAACTTCTCTGCGCGGGAAAAAGCGTCAATGACGGCTATGCAGGCATGAACATCACGTGTAGTAACAGTGGTCTCTACATCGCCAACGAAGTCGTCGGCCCAAAGTTCAACTTTCCCAAAGTACTTTCGCGCGGTTTCCAGTAATGCAGGGGCTTCTGCGTGCTTGGGGCGAATTGGGTTGAATATGTTGGGCGTGCCGTATCGCGAAGGTGAACGTAGTTGGGAACGGAGTGATGATCTTCGCTTGCGGGGCATCTTCAAACTGTCAACTGGAAGATGTGAGAAGTGATGTCTGTTAGATTGGATGAATGGCAACAAACAGAATAATTAGTAGCTCGTGGGGAAAATTGTTGGTTGCACAGATCAAAAAGTACTGAGGTCCATAGTCTTTGGAGAACACACAAGGGAAGGAGGGGCAGGAAGGGCTGGTTCTCTCTTATATCAACGTTTTACAATGCTCAGCGAACATCTGTCAGTGACTGCATCTGAAGTCCCATCCTCTCTCTCTTTTCTGGATCTATCTTCAAGTCTCAAAAGTGGCCTAGAATTGCCTATTGCATCTAGAGGCTTCTTGTATCCGTTCTCCCCAACCATTCCCCTTGAATATTCCCTGTTGTAGAGTCTCATCTCTGGCTTAGCAATCGCTTTTGGAATGCTGACCATCTCGTTAATGTCTGGTATCGTAGCTTGAGTCGGGGTGGTTGGTTCGGGAAGTCGGCCTTGATTCGCTTGCTGTTTGTCAGGCTCAAGACTCTGAGGTGTCACTGTCCTCTCCACCAGTGTCCTCAGACTCCTCCTTCTTTGTAGTGAGCTTGATCATATCCCAGCCCTTGGAAACGACATCGTGACTGCCGGAAGTGGTCAATGATGCTGAGCATGCGATCAGAATATCTTGCTTGAACATTGAGGCTATCAACTATTCCAAGACCTTCGAAAACATTCGAATAGATCGAGAAACTCTCGGCGCCAGCAAAGGCACGAACGACAGCGGCACAAGCATCGGGATTGGTTGTGATAATGGTTGTCTCTGCAGTTCCCACGAAGTCGTCAACCGACAGGCCGTCATCATCGGAGTGCTTTCGCTTAGTGCCCGGCATTGTAGAGTTTTGTATGGGTTGATAACGGTGAGTCGAGTGAGTGTTGAGAAATGGTGTTGATCAAAGTTGGTGGGAAGAGAGTGATGTACTTTGATGCTGGCAGTCTGAAGGGGAAGCCGAAGACGAGTCACTCGTGGCGTTGAAGGCAAAAGTAACAAGCAGAATTGCTTGGGCGTAGGAATATCTTGAGGCAGAAGTCAAAGATAATCGGCTTAGATTGATGATCTGGGTAAGAAGGCAAGAGCAGCTGCGGATTTTCTTTTTTCAATATGGTGAGATTTCACAATGATCAACGACTAAGAAAGAATCAATGCGTCTGCTAGCCCTCTCTATTCTCCAGGCCTATTTTCAAGTCTCAAAACTGGCCCGGGAATTGGCTGCTGCATATCGAGGTTTCTTGTATCCCTTCTTACTAACAATTTCTTCATCACTGCTTGAACCCTCTTGTGTATTGGTGTTGTCTACAGCCTTGTTTTCACCATCTCCTCCACAGGCGCCATCATGAACCTAGGCTCTGTTGTTCTTTGTGTTCTCGCCTTGTCCAAAGGCAGGGATTGAGTATAGGTCGGGACTCTCGAACCCGCCGTCGTCTGCTTTAACCCTCGTTTCATCGGATATGGAGAGAATGTCATTGCCCATGACTTCGTTCGAGCCGTCCAGAGTCTCGCTGCCATGTGCCTCATTCGAGCCGCCTTGAGTCTTGCCTAGAAGTCTCTCGACGTTGTCCTGATCGGAACACCCGAGGAAATTCCAACCCCTTCTCATTCTGTTATCCCTGCCAATGATATTCAATTCGAATTTGGCTGCGTGAGGGCAGCTGCCGACCATCCGAAGAGTGTCGAAGGGTGAAGTCAGACGAATGTGTATAGACTGTTTACCATCATGCCTGCCGTCCCGATCGAAGACATAGACTTGGACGTCAAAGATGTCGGCATCGGAAAAGGCGCGCATAGCGTCTGCGCAAGTTTGGCCATCTTCTAGGTTCATGGTCACTTTCACCTGGCCTGGCCTTTGCGTCAGGGTGGGCAGCATCGTGAGTCTGTCTTGTGGATAAAAATCGATATAATTATCAATGGGTGATCAATGTGGAGATATTTGGTAGTACTGGTGCAATTGAATAGCCAAATGATTCATGTGAAGGTGGAAGAAGTATCTTTTGTGACGAGAGACAAATTCTAGTTGGACAGGCGGCACATGGCAAAGATGTAAACAACTGCAATGCTTCAAGGCGTGCGGGTGTTTTGATTCATGAGGGAAAGAGCACTCCTTGTTTGGAGCTGAGTTACCGAAAGGCTTGGTGATCAGAAGTAACTAGCGACAACTGGCCATTTACTCCTTCTTGGGCGCTCTGACTCTTTTCTGGTGTTTCTCCACGTCGCAGCCCGGTATTTCTGATGATGGCAGTGACATTCGTGATTTTCTGGACGAAGTTGCGCCTCGGTACATTTCTCCTCCGGTGATCAATCATTCTTCTTAGTGACTATTCCACCTCCCTTTTGATACCCGGTCGATCTTCGCGCTTGACTGTATTCTCACGAACGCCCTTGACTCGCTTTCTGCGATGCTCCTCGGATCCTTCATTTGTGACACTGTTTCCATCGCGATTGGTACCCTCTTCCACTTTGGTCTTACTGCTAGCGACACTGTCCTCGTCTATGTTGTCTTTGGCGCTGTCTCCGACAGAACACATCGCAACCCAGCCTCGTCGAATGGCATCGTGGCTGCCGTAGATTGTCAATTTGTACTCATCAGCCCCACGAAAGTTTTTCAAAATGTTGACCATGCTGCTGGCAGTCGTCGCAAAGCGGTCGAGCACGTCGATTGGGAGGAGCACGCCATGATCTCGTACGGCGTAAACTTGGTAACCAGTAGCGTCGGAGAAGGCGCGGATGACTTTGGCCGTGACTTTGGAAGTACACGCGACAATGGTGGTCTCAGCCTCGGTGTCAACGTCTTGGATTGACGAGTCATTCGTACGCTTTCTCTTCTGTCCCGGCATGATGAGATACAGGTGATAGTAGATAAGAAAGGAAAGTTGATGGATAGTAGAGATGGGCTGAGTGTGTGAAATTAAGGCAGGCCAGGTAGGTATCTCTGCTCTGGTCAGCATCAGAGAGCCAAAATAGTTACTTGACGTGGGAAATTTACGATTTTCACGAAGGGTCTGATTCTGGACGAAGTGGACTTGACAAAGAAGTCACTTGTTTACTGCAGCTTTGGAAGGAGTGTCATCATCTTAGGTGGGGTAGAAAGAAGAATTGCTCTTTTGAAAAGTTTCGTTGAAGATCTCCACTACCTGCAGCAACTGGCAAGAACCATTTCTCTGTCTTCTACTGTTTCTTGCCGAGTGTTCTAGGTTTCCGCCTCTTGCATCGGAATCGCTATTGAAGGCAATCGTTTCCTTAGGAAACTACATTATGTCACGGGTCAGTCTCGTCTTGATTGGAACGAATGAGATGTGAATTCTTACTCTTGCCTGATTTGTCCGCTCCTTGAAGTCTCTGGATCGAGATCTGGGTTGGGTTTGTCTCTTTCTTCTCTTGCCGATAAGAATCATGACTTGCCCTTCTCGGCCACGTTCTTCTCCTATTCAATGGTGCGCTGACCCGAAAAGTCGGCAGTTTCGAGTGTGATCCGGTTTTCAACGTCTATCTCGTCCTCAAGCTCTTTGAGAGCGCGGTCGCAGAGATACTTGGGCGCAGCAATGGCGAGGTAAAAGAATTCGCCGCCATTTCGGTAGCAGTCGAATCCCAAGACCTTGATCAAGGCGTCGGCGCCGCGTGAGTGCATGCTGAGAGCATCGGCGATATTAGGGCGACCATCCCGATCGCAGCGCCAGATATCCATGTTGAAGTGACTGGCGTTGGAAAAGGCTTTAATGACCGTGAGGCAGGTGTCGGGGTCGTGGAAGACCATTTTTGCAAACATGGGGCGATAGACTTCTGTAAAGCGAAAGCGGTCGTGGCCTTGCTCCTCCATGCCTGCCATTTCAAGGTCTTTGCAGATGCAATTGGCATAAAAAGCTGGAATGCGTTAAGTTGAAAAATGTGAAATGATTGGCAACGAGGTAGCGGACTTAAATAGGACTGGACTTGCGAACGGTCAAATAAAAATTGGAAATGGGTTGTCCGTGAAATGGGGAAACCGCAGAAACGAGTCGGCCAGCGCAGGCATTCAAGTCGGGATATCTGATCTGGAGCTAAAAGGTCTGTAGTATTTGAAAAAAGAGAAAAGGAAAATTGCTTTCCACACCAGGCCCGGGAAGCGAAAAGATAAATAAACATTAAATGACTTTTCTTACCAAATATCCTCAAGAATTAAGAATAGTTCACTGGTGGTTACATAGTGATAGGATGCTACGCAAAAATAAAGAACCATATGTCTTTAACAAAAGCATCTATTCTCTTGGGGAGAAAAAAAGAGCAACTGAACCAGACCTTCTGGGTCGTCAGGAGAACTTGGATTTCTTTACTTACAGGTTTTGTTTTGTTTGTTTTGCTTTTTTTTTTTGGTCCCCTTTAATTGTGTAAGATCAGAGTTCCTTTAAATCGCCATATATCGTAAGTCCATGTGTTAGTAGGATGTGATAGCATAGCTGTTATTTTGTTCAAATCTCAGTCCTGGGAGTAGGTTAGCAATCTGTCGTGCAAGTCTGAGGGAGCTTCGCGCTCTCCTGACTGAGCCATCAGGTCTGAATTCTGTTGCTTTCTGGTTGGAAAACAAGCCGATTATCGCCGTTCATGTGGCCTCTGTTTCGCCCTCAATTCGCACAAAGAACTGGGCGTTTGTATCGCTGCACGGTGGCCAATGTCTGGAAGAATTTCCTCGCACCAGTTGAACCGTGACTTTGGATCCTCTGGACAGGGCAGTCGATGTGGTTGGTACCGAGAACACTGTGATGTGCCCATGCCTTTAATGATGGGTTGATTTCATTAATTCATTTATAAATGTTACCTTTGGACATTCTCCAGGTTTGTCATTTCTGGACATACGAGCAAGACTTGTTAGGAGGCCATTCACAAGGTTAGATGTCCTTGGGGCCGGAAGTGTACCCAGCAATCCTTTGATTTCTTTGTATTAGTCTACAGACTTATTAGAGTAGTCTGAAGGTGAATTAAATCCTAAACCAAGATCCAGACATGTTGCAATGTCTTTATAGCCCGAGCAATGGGTGGATTTCCTAGATCATTCACATAGACAAACGTGTTCAGGTATGACTGGGATGGATAGATTGCACGTCAATCACCTTGACCAGTCCAAAAACACCTCTAGTTGTGACGGTCAACATGGTACAGCAAAATGAGTCACCAGCCCTGACAGGAAAACAATCAATCAAGTCATGTTATGGTTACAATCAAATGTACTGCTTGACACGTTGATAATCTAAATTGTGGCCGTGACCGGAACCCTCTCAGCACACATGGATGATGTACAACATCGAAAAGAACTACCAGAGTACTACTAAGAAACGAGCCAATTCAAGCCGGTCAACTCCTATAACTCCGTGTTCAAGCGACTGGCATGTCTTGACGGGAAAAGGAGGGGCATCAGACTTCTTATCTCACACATAATTAATCGCAATCATATATCAGCCAGACTTGGACATCACGAAAGCTTAGATGAGACCAGCTCTAGCAGCCTCGCCACCACCCTCGTTGACAACAGCGTCAATCTTCTGCTTGCCCTTGCCCAGACCACCTTCTCCAACACCCATTCTGCGGGCCACATATCGTTGTGCAACAACACCGGCGCTCAGGGTCAACGACTCTTCGACCCATTCTGCCACCCATTCTCTAGGATCAACGCCGCCGCTCTCGACGATCTCACGAATCTCATCAGGGACGTGTGCGAGCTCGTTGTCGTGCTGGTGCTCAGACTCGCTACTAGCGGGAGTCAGGGGACTGGGCGCATCAAGCCAACGGATCCACTTGGCAGGAATGGCCTGCGAAACGGTGCTGTATGTGATTTCGTGGACAGGATCGAGGACATAGATAGCAAAGCAGACTTGCGTATCAGTATTGTCCTCGGCAACTAGGCTCTCTTCCTTCTCTTTCTCGCCAGCAGTGCTGCCAGCAAACAAGGCAGTGTCAGCGTCGACGGTGATGGCCTGGACTGCGAGGAAGATGTCGCTTGTTCTGACAGGGTTGTCATCACTAAGGGGCTCCACTGCTCGCTTCTGCGCCTCTGTGATGCCACCGGTGGCTTCAAAGTAGTCATGAGCATAGCTTTCAGCACTCACGCGGCAGAGCTTCGTGCCCTCGACGAGGCCCTTGACGGTACCCAGGTCTCTAGGTATATCAGTCTGACGCCACCATGGTCCGTCGCGCCAGCCAGCAGACGAGGAGGATCCGGTGTAGAAGGCGGCATCCGAAGCACGGCGCGCGGTACTCTCATGACCACGTTGGATGACCAGCAAGTCACCTCCCTCGACTTGTGACATGACACGGCTGAAGACACCATAAATAAGAGGGTCCAGAGAAGGATAGCCGGCGAGATCGTGGGTAATATGGATCAGAAGACGTTCGTGGGAGGCAATCGGTGGTGCTAGGGTATGCAGAATATCGGCAAATGTTGGCAGAGCACGGTGCCGCAGTTCGTCGCCTTCAGTCAATTTGTCAGTATGGGATATCATAGAATCTAGAAAAACAAGCGTCGAAAGGACAGCCAAGGATATTCAATGGGCAAGCTGGGCGAAAGAGTAGCCTTCAGGGTACTGGTGCAAGCCAGATTGTACGCCCAACCCGAGGAGAGGATCTCGGACAGACTGGCATCTGGTCCGGACGTAGTCTCTCTGGGTTTCGGCACTCCTGCAGAGCGCAACTGATGCGACGAAAGTCTGCGGCTCATATTGAAAAGTCCTGTCTGGAAAGTGGACTTACCGTAGCTTCTAATGTAGCCGACATTGCCCTTGACCTGATCCAGGTACTTCTTTGCATCTTCGCTCTGCTGAATCTGAGTATATGCCGTCTCTGCCTGCTTGATAGCGGCTGAAGCTGTAGCAGAAGCAGTCGCAAAGATGCCTCCCCACCAGCCACCTCCGCCACTGGCAGCAGCGACAGCAGCAGCAGGTGCTGGGGCGGTCTGCTCAACGGGGCCCTTCTTCTCGTTCTCTTGGAACTCGGAGCTCGTTGCGCTGGGGGTGAAGCTCGCGTGGTACGATCGAGTGCTTTCACCCGACTTGCGTGGCAGATTGGGCTTGTCTTCAGACAGTCGGCTTGCGGCTGGAGGAGGCGTCGAGGTGCTGGATCGCTTGGTCACGTCTTTGACCCGAGGGGTGTGAGGGCGGACCGGTTGGTCACCCAGATTCTCGAGCTCGGCTAGGAGATCATCGTCGGCCTTGTCGCCAGCACGAGCTTTGGAAGTAGCTGTCTTGGTCTTGACGGGCTTCTTGGAGCCGCCCTCGTCGCCAAGACCCTCGAAGAGCTCGCCAAGTTCATCGTCAATGGGCTTCTTAGACGCCATGGTTGAAGAGGTGGGGTTCGTCGACGGGGAAGTCTGAGGAACAGACACGGAATGTTTTCAATGGTAGCAGCGAGGATCTGAAAGCAACAAGTCCCACCACTCGCTGGGACAGAGGAGAGGGGAGACGTGAATAGATGGGACGTAGCACAAGTATGGCAGCAAGTGGTATGTTGTCGTCGGTATGTACGTAGGTATGCAGTTGTGGACAAGCGGGCCGATGCGACACAATTACTAGTAGCTTGACCCCAGTGTTGCGTCTTCCGGGACCCTTATTGCAGTTTCGTGGTACCACTTGAATCAAGGCCTGTAGAGAAGCAAATAACTGAATAAACAGATAATTTTATTGTATACATAATTCGATACCGTCTAGTTCATCCGAAAAGACAAATCCAAGCCAAAATAGATATTTGACCACATTGTGAGCATATATAAACACGTCAACTGTCTTGTAGAATCCCTTTCTTTTGGTACCAAACTGGAGCTTGTCGTCACAGGATGGAGCTTAGGCGTTGCTATCGTCCCGCAAGGAGAGTCCCAGGCGCTAGACCTCAAGCGGAACAAAGCGGTCGACGGCCAAAAGCTGCTACTTGATTGGCTCTGGCCGGTTCCCAAATTCGCATAGACAGCCGCTCGAGGATCCACCCACAACCCCCTGTTCGAGACCTGCACCCGGGAGAAGACTGCAGTCTGGTCTGTCTGCTGCGCTGTGGCTGGTGCGTAGGTAATGCGCTTGGAACCTCCAAAATTTGGCAACGCAGCCCAGCAACAAGGCAAAAAAGAAAGAGAGACAGACACGCAGAGAGAGCGACCGGTGATTTGTGACGACGGCAAAAAATACTATTGCTCCTCTATATTGTTCTTCATTTTTGATTGTTGCCTATCATCGACTGAACGACGCGATTGTTCTCCTCGTCAGTGAGAGTTGTCGCAACAATCCCCTTCGATTATCCTTCCCCCAGGCTGGCCACTAATAATTCGGACATCTGAGCCCACCACGTATGTAAAACAAATAACCTTGCCTTCATCACCATTGCCCCCAAGACACAAGACCAAAACCCGACCTTGACCCATCTGACTCTTGTCCATTAGATCTTCTCGCAAAGCATCATCTGCTACTTGAGATTCTCTTCTTTCTGTTTGATCAGACTTTTTCGCAGTCTCTTCGCCCCCATCTCACTTACTTGACCATTCGCATTCCTTCGCCCTTTTACAAGGCGCGGCCCATTCTCACACACGCATCTTCTCCTTTCTAACTCATACAACGTACTTGCTCGCCAACACAAAAACCCCATCTCTGGTCCCTGAAAATACCGTTGCGGATTTTTCAGAGGTCTCCTTTGGTAAGTCCACTTATTCTTTTTTCGTCCCGAACAGTCAGCAATATTCGTGGCCGCCGGTGAGGCCGGGTGCCTTACACCTGAAATCCGATTTTTCCTCAGCATCATCAGCACCCCAATCGCTTTCATCACTGCACGCGCCGTCTAATATGCCTATTAACACGAAAAAGCGAAAAGACAGACATTGTCACTACTCGTCGTCACTTCAGCGTGTCATTTGACCATTTGTCCATTTTTGGCAGTTTGTCATTTACACCGACTGGCTGGACGAGCTACTTGTTTTCCGCGCCCAGCAATTTGGGTTTGACTGTCAGCTGGAACCGGTTTTTGGCATAGGCCTATCCGCTTTCACATCTAATCAATCCACCTTCTGCTCTTCACTTTCACCCCCAATACTCACTTACATTTGCGTGACCAACGCGCTCCTATACCCATTGCGCTCGTCGCGATTGTTCGCTGTCCCCTAGTCCGGGTCCTGAATAATCGAGGTAGGCATTTTCGCTCCCCCACTTACAGCATCAGCTAATCTCCGGCAGCTTTATTTGGACTGTGGCCTGTCTACATACTACTTACTACACACAAAGTACACCCACATCACCACTATGGAATCGCCCAATAGTGGTCGTGGCAGAGGACGTTTTTCATCAAGAAAGCGCAGCACTGTCATTTCAGCCAGTTCATCTGCACAGCAACGCTCGGAACTGCTAGACATGGCCCCGTCGTCTACTCCAGCCGTGCCAGTCGCACCGGCCTCAACTCTCACATTCGAGACTCCCAGTCCTTCTAACACCAGAGGCACCAGAATGCGCACAAGAAATCTAGACGGCGTAAACGCTTCGCCAGAAGACCCCACAAGTAAAGGCGGTCGTTCTCTACGGAAGCGTACCCGGGTTGATTATTCGTTTGACCAGGCTGATGAAGAAGAGCAAAACGCTGAGCCCAAAGCCACACCTACTACTACGCGTTCGTATAAGAAGCGCAGAACTGATGCCCTTCTCCCGGACCAAGACTTTGAGGATGACGTGGAGCCTGACGAGAAGCAACGTTCATTGGAGCTACCCTCGAAGCCCATTGGAAGACGCAGTATCGGCAGAAGATCCACTATGGAGTCTCAGCCTCTTCCCACAGATCGACCTGACGATGATTCACTTGTGCAGGATACTATCGAAGTTGGAGGACAGCAATCTCCCGAACCTCTCAATGGCTCATCGCACCGACGTAGCTCGAATGCTTCGCATAAGGAGTCTGCTCTCTCACAACTAAGTCTTTCGCAGAGCTCGGCTATCGAGCCACTTGCACCTACAGCTTCAGCCGTCGACACAGCAGTCACTACTGAAGAGGAGCCTGCACCTCAAATCAAGACCGAAGTAGCACCAGATATTCCCATCCCCAACATCGAGGTCAATGAGGCTCAACCTCTTGTCAGCCAATCAATTCGCGCTAGTGCACGTGAGCCTTCGCCTACTTCAAGTACAGCACCCGCGGATGCTCAGCCCACTTCCAAATCGCTGGTGGACGAGAGTTCCGACGATCCATATGCCCACATTACGCCGTATATTGACGGAGTCACTGCTTTCTATCCTGCACAGCAAGGCACGGCTCTGGCGCCGTCTACTGAACCAGATGTTGTCGCTGAAGAAACACCACAGGACACGCCACCTGATGACGGGCTAGAAGACATCAATGAAGTTCCAGATGACAGCACCCCAGCTGGATCGCCGGCTCCGATGGAAGACACGGCCATGAATTCACCAGCACCAGATGTTGGCACACCAGATGTGCCCGTGATCACTCCCAAGAAGCAGTATCCCTACAAAAAGCTGCGCTCTGCCCAAGAATTTATCGATTTCATTGCTAGTTACGAGACGATGCCCTTGGACGAACTGTATACACGATTGGAGCATCTCACTGGTGTCCTGGATTCGATTCAGCAGGAGCACAATGGTTGCCGGAAAATCATTGATGACGAAGAGAATGCTGCCAAGTATCAGCAAGAAGAACAATTGTTCCAGCATCGCGTCAAGTTGGCCCGTAGCAAAGACCCGAACGCGGACCCCGTTCGCAAGGACTTTGTCGTCAAGGGCATCAGAGCACCCAAAGCAGACATGATGACCGAGTATGCTCGGCAACAAGATCGTGTCTTGGCTCAGGCTTATGGCTTCGAGTACGACGAGCGCGAATCAAAGATTGGCCAGCAAGATCCCATTGGCCAGAGGGGTGGCATCGGAAAAGGTCGACTCCGTGACAGACCGAAGCAGACAGCCAAGGCTGCTGAGGCTGATGACAGCACCGTCGTTCATGGTAAAAGGTCTAGGAAGGCACCCAACCTGTTTGGCGACTTTGAACCTGCAAGCAGAGGCTCAACTCCGGTGCCCGTATTGCCAAGAAAGCGGCGCGGTCGCCAGCCACATGAGGACATTGAAGCACCTGTCCTGCCCATTGCAGTTGGACAAACACTTCTGGAGGAAACGCCCAAGAAGCGGGGAAGAGGCGGCCGCCCTCGCAAGCATCCATTACCAACATCTGTACCAGAGGATACCCCAGCTCCCGAGCTTGACTTGGAGGAAGAGGTCCAAGACGAGGGCCGTCCTGGTCGTAAGCGTAAGAGAAGGAACCTCGACGACGACGAATTTCCTCCAAACGGAGTCACCGGCATGAGCACCAGGCGGCGCAACTCGAGACTTGGTGAAATCCCTTCCAACTCATTCTACAGCGCTGGCTCGACCCAGCCCAACGATGAGTCCCGCCCAAATACTGCTTCCTCAACTGGCACAGTATCTACAACCACCTCCGCATACGGCTTGCGTGAAAAGCGACAAAAGAGATTCGCGGCCGAAGATGAAGATGACGACTTTGTTGAGGACGAAGAACAGCCCAAGCCAAAGAGAATTCGGCGCGTCCCCAAGAAGGTCCAGGAGCAAGATTTTGCGAATATTCCAGCCAGCAACATTCCTGACACGGAGCCCAACATGACTCCAGCTGCCAAAACCCCGAGAATCAGACTGAAGAACGCCACTCCGGCCACCGCCAACCCCAACGTCTCTCCCGACAATAGTGTGTCGGGTCTGTCTGGTGGTACCATTATGCACGGCCAGATCATGAATGGAGACGGAAACGGAGCTCTCTCCGAGGACAATAAGGACTATGGCCAGATGACCAAGTCCGAAAAGATGTCTGCTAGTATGAAGGGTAAGTGTATTGCTACAGCCTAGTTGCTGTTTCCCCTCAGACACCAATACGATACTGATGCTAATATGATGAATAGCTCGATGGGCATCTGGCTCCATGTCAAATGCAGTCGCGAAAAGGCGAGCGACACTCGCTGCAAAGAAGGCAGCAACCCAGACACCAGTGCCAGAGGGCACTCCAGAGATCGGAGTCGAGCAGCAGGAACTCCAGCAGTAACTGGCGGCTGATCTCAGTACATCATTTCGCGTATAATACATACAACCCACCTATATCTCAACACGAAGGCCGGCCTTGCCACCATACCCGGCATGGTTTGGCTAACCAACACATACTCTACCAATCACTGGCATAACAGCCATGAAAGAACACCAAGTATACCAACACCAATAAATGACAGACTGATTTCAAGTCTGACAATCATCCGTTCTCCATTCCAACATTTGTATACACCATTCGCATCAGCATTTACACGGCATTGAAAAGAAAAATTTGCATTATCGGTATCATTCAGGCAAGGGAAGCTTGGAAATGACTACATGCTAGTCTTTATGGTACACGGGAGGAATGAACAAAATGGCAATCCAATGTACTGAGACTGCCCTCGCCAGTTTGTGTTCTTGTTTTGTTTTCCATCACTCATAATTGTTTTCAGGCGCACAAGGCGTTGTTTGGCATAGGGCAAAAAGACGATTTGCCCTGATAGAGAGGGATATGAAAGCACCCGGGGATTTGTACTTGTTGCGCCAGTGTCACTTCGTGTCTATAGGACAGCATGGGAAGGGGTCTGCAAGATTCTGTACTAAGCCAGGAGGCATTTGACAAGATACAAGGTCTAATAGACGAGACGGAATGAGTTACATTTCGATAGAAAACCAGCCGTGTTCCCAGAACCTGACGATTGTCTAGTTTTGATTTGCGAAACGTAAATAACCTTGTCCAAATTTGAATATCTGACTGCATCAAGCCCAGGCGGTGTATACATTCTCCACTGACCAATCAAACTTGATTGTTTATATGTACATAGCCCATAGTATCAACAAATGGCAAGATCTAATGATTCAAGACTTGACAAGAAGCAATTATCGGGCATACACTATTTGTCTCTCGCTCATGACCAGTATATGCTGTGAATCGTGTACTCCATAAAAAAAACGAATATAATAATATATATATTAAAAGGCTCCATTCCACTAACTGCCTACAACTCACACTCTGCACCATAGACTGATAGGTCACATATAAATCGTCTCGACGGCTGCTCCTGGCTCACATGCTCAGGTTCTACAGGTCATGTTGGATGTCTGAACGACTCAATGGCCCTTGAATGCTATCGCGCAAACTGTTGCTTGACCGGAATAACCACAAGCGTATCAAACTTGTTGATGCTGCTGGTTACTTACACATCTGACCCCGAAGCACCTGGAAACCCTACCAAAGATATCAAACTTTGCAGGATACACAAGTTGATCAGGGGACACTTTGCTCTGGGCTCTTGGCTGATCACAAAGATTGGATATTCCTTTCCAACAGATGGCGATTTTCACACAATTAATGCGGCATGGTACTTGCCTACATATGTACTTGGCATTGGCTATCTCGGCCCCCTTGGCCAAGCCATGGGGTATGGTCTTGACTTGTCTGTGAAGCCATACTTGAATAGGCCTGGTGCTGAAGATTATTCCAAGTGATCACGCATCCAGGATATTGCAGGCTCAGAAGAAAGCTCAAACAAAACATTCGGAACTGAACTTTCTCATTTTCATCCAGCATGCTATGTGGTATGTATTGTCTCCTTTACGCCCCATACCGAAATGCAAAGTGACCGTTTTTTACCATCAAGACACCATCAACAGCAGCCAGCCTTTTTTTCTCCCTTTCATTTTTGCTTTCCCTGTTTCCCTATTTCCTTTTGCCTCCCTCCATGTCCCCCGGGGATCCATTTCAAGAAATCGCCTAACAAGAAAATGCGCGGGGTTCAAAAGAAACAGAGAAGGAAAGCATCAGACTGGCTGTGTGATCGATGTCGCCCATAAAATTCGTGAGATGATCCTTTTCGTCATGGTCAAGGACGTTGTGGATGCTTAGATGGTTTCCTCGACTTCCCTAGCACTGCTCGCACGCAAAAAGATGCCTTCCAACGCTCGACAACCAATTTACATGACGACACCAGAGTTGGAGGCAATACGCTGTGAAGAAAAGGTCAGTTTGAAAATTTGTCAAGCCGTTGTTGAGACGGGAGTAACTCACCGGCCAGAGCTCAGCAGCCTCCTTTCCGACGGGACCGGTGATGGCCGAACCCTTCATCTCACCCTTGGGGTTGACGATGACGCCAGCGTTGTCCTCAAAGTACAGGAAGACACCGTCGGTGCGCTTCCAGGGCTTGGACTGTCTGATGATGACGGCGGGGTGGACCTTCTTGCGGAGCTCGGGCTTTCCCTTCTTGACGGTGGCCATGACCATGTCGCCAACACCGCCGGCGGGCAGTCTGTTCAGGCGGGCACCGATACCCTTGACGGAGATGATGTACAGGTTACGGGCACCAGAGTTGTCGGCGCAGTTCATGATGGCACCACTGTAGTGGAAATTCTTGTTAGTCCATGACCTCCTCAATCAGAATGTCGCGTTTGGGTGTGTCGTCGGAATCGGGTGTTTCGGTAATTGGTGTCAAGCCATTGCTTTCTGGAGAGGTAGAAACATACACGGGAAGACCGAGGGTCATCTTGAGCTTGCCACCGGGGGCACCACGCCTGAGAGAAACATGTTAGTCAGGAAGCTCCCAGTTGCACATTTTCGAAAGCTCCAATTGCTGCTCTGCTCTGCCCCGCGCGAGAAAATGTCTTTTCGGTAATGATCGAGTCGTAGTAGAGAATCTTGCTTGGGCGACAGGAATTGGACACAAAGATATCATCGCTATCGTTGCTGTTCGGAACCCTCCTCTTTCTTGGACCCTCCCGTCCATGCAAAAATTTCGCTTTTGTTGACGCCCCGCGATCGATCGCAGTTTCTGTTTCCACCAAGAGTCCTCCCACTGAGCCGGGACAGAGCAGTCGTAAAATCGAGAGAACCGTAAGAAAGGAACTTACGAGAGCTTGGCCATTGCTGCTGATTAGTATGCGACGGAGATACGGGTGGTGATGGTGTCGTTGGGTGGTTGTCGCGGAAGGTTGTCGTGATGGTCTGGGGGGAGTCGATCACGAATTCGGGTTAACCTCGAGAAATTTGGTTTCTGTGGGAAGCCCTATCTTCTTGCCAAGTGAATTTTCGGGGAGGACCCATTGCACGTGCGATAAGATAAGAAGCTTGGGCGGTACGTACTCTTTTTGGATGAGGGAGCACTGAGAAATCTTGGCACCGTCTAGTCTCCAAAAAACTTTGCCTTACTAATTGAGCCAGTGCCAGCTGCTGTCGGTCGCACCGCCACAAGTCATCAGCCACGGTTCGTTAGTCGAAGCGAACGGCTTTTGACAAGTTCATATTGGCCAAAGCAACGGGGCATATCCAAAGTCTATTCGTGTGGAGAAAACTTATATCATATGCATCCCTTTGCTACAAAGTAGTGTTTTATGGTTATTCACGAAAACGTGACGCATAACACTCTTTTATGAAACCGAAAATTGATATTTTTCAGTTGTCAAATGGCCTAGCTTCCTGCTGGCCATATTTATCCAAACATTGCGAGTCCCCAAATATATCTCCTTTTGCGGTTCATTGCTAAACACCACCATACTCGTCACTCGCGCCCACCTGCGGCTACTAACAAACTAGCCATTCCATGTCCATGTCAGTCATAAAAAGGCGTCCGTGTCAATGCAGCTCGAGATACTCAGGATCATAAACTCGTCAGGTCACAATTCGACAAAATAGCATTAGACTTCATTTGCCATGAAAATAACAGGAAACTATTTACAGCCGAGAAATAACACAATAATGGTCGTGATGATTTGTAGCGAGTTTTCAACTCTACAACAGAACAACTATACCTAACGCAATCGCTCGAAGCTGCCGCTTTCGTTTAAACAAACCAATGACCATGCTGAAAATTCTAGCTTTTTTCCATGAGCTAGGTCCGTAACGCCTTTCCTGCAGTCATGACTTCACTACAATACAGACAAAACCAATTATACTTCCTACATAGGGTTGGACTCGGTCGAGTAGACTGGCTATTGAGGTTTACTCGGTCGCCTTATCCTTTTCCTCATCGCCTGTCTTCTCTTTGCTCTCGTCTGCAGGCTTGGAGCTGGGTTCCTCAGGCTCGGCAGGCTTGGGCGCTTCATTGTCCTCGGCAGGCTTTACCTCGGTCTTTGGCTCGTCGACATCCATTGCGTCCTCTGGTGCCTCCGGAGCCTTGGCTTCCTGAGCATCGCTTGCAGGCTCGGCGGGCTTGTCCTCTGTGGCTGGCTCGGTAGGCTCCTTTTCAGTAGTTGTCGTTTCAGCAGTCATGGCCGCCTCGGGGGCCTTTGATTCGGCGGCCTTGGGGCTTTCAGCAGGCGCATCAGGCTTTGGCGAGCCAGCCTCCTCTTCCTTAACGTCGGTTTTCTCTGGGGCCTTGGGGGCTTCCTCGGTTTCCATATCAACGTCGCCATCTCCATCGGCATTGCTCGCGGCGACTTGAGCATTCTTCAACTGTTCCTCCTGGGCTGCAATGCCTTCCGGCTCGGCCTCTTTTTCAGGCTGGGCATCCTCCATAACCTCATCGAGCTCCTTGGACTTGATGACAGTGTCGGCAGTGTTGCCGTTTGTCGGAGTCGGGGCAGCGCTTTCGTCGTCCAGGTCGGATTTTTGATAGTCGGTGAATTGTCGCTTTTGTCCGGCAGCGCTTCCGTTCTGGGGATGCACGCCATTGGCTCTGTCGAGCTCCTCATTATCACTCTCTTCATACTCGTTCTCACGCTCCCTCTGATTCTCCCATTGCCGCTGTGTCATGCGGACATCCTTGTTCTCGTCTTCGTCAAGATCTTCCAACTCAGCTTCCTCCTCTTCTGTCATGGTCTGAGGAAAGTCAGGGGGCACATCCTGCATCTGCACAGAAGGCACATGAGCTGTTCTCTTCAGATTCTCAATGAGCTGGTTCTTGATTTTTTCGAGGTATTCAGGGCTGTTGGCATTTTCCATGTTGGATGCACGGACTGCCAGTTCGTAATCCGGTCCATAGTACTAGGCAATATTAATATCAGAAGAAACCACATGCAGAAAGGGAAGAGGGACAGTTACTTACCTCGTAATATTCATTAAAGGGTAGAGTCTTGGGCATGTTGGCATCGACTAACAATCCGGTCTCGAAGGCCCAAGTGCGGGCAACGTTGCGCATCGTGTAGCCACCTCCTCCGAGGACCAGGGTGGGAAGGTTGAAGCTCTTGACAAACTTGACGCAGTTTGCGTGACCCTCCATACTCAGGTTGAAGCAGCCGAGACGGTCTCCAGACAAGCTGTCACCGCCGCATTGCAGGACCACGGCGTCAGGCGAGTAGAATTCCATGACAGAAGCAATGACGGGCTCAAAGACAGACTTGTATGTGGAGTCATCGATGCCGTCTCGAAGGGGGAAATTGACAGCATAGTATTTGCCTTGGCCGATACCAATGTCGCGCAGTTCACCGGTTCCAGGAAAGTACTCGCCGTACTTGTGGAAAGAAACGGTCATGACTCGATCGGTCGTGTAAAAGGCCTCCTCCACACCGTCTCCATGGTGGACGTCGATGTCGATGTATAGGACGCGCTTGTTGAAACGCAGGAGTTCAAGAATACCCAGCACAATGTCTGGCGCCGAAGGGTTAGCATGATCGTGACATGGGATGCGACAAGGATTGCGTTGTGTATTGTACGTACCATTCACGTAGCAGAAACCACTAGCCTCGCTCTTCTTGGCGTGATGAAGACCTCCTGCCCAGTTGACAGCAATGTCACACTTTTGGCGGTTGAGTCGGGCTGCGCCCTCCATGCTGCCTCCTGCACTGATGCCGCAAAACTCAAAGAGGCCATCGAAAACGGGACAATCGTCTCCGACGTTGAACTTTGACTGCTCGCGTTGATAACTCTCCATGTTCTCGGGGCTGACCTTTTGCAGGAAATCAATGTATTCGTCCGTGTGGAACTGGGTCATTTCGAGCCGTGTGGCAGGCTTGGCTCGGTAGATTTCCATCTTCTTGTAGACGCCATAGTTCATGATCAAACTGTGGGCGAGACGTATTCTGTGTGGCTTCATGGGATGACCGGCAACGTAGGCGAAATTTCCAATGTCCGAGTCGTAAAAGTAGGCAACCTTCTTGGGCGAAGCGCTGCCGAGCGCGATACCATTGCCATTGGCAATGTCGACGGGGGCGGCTTGCGCCATGATGGCTCTCGCGATGATCGACAGACGCAAGTAGGTAGGGGGATTGCTGATGGGGCACAAATGAATTCAAGAATTTGCTTTCGACGAGTAGGTTTTTTTCAAGAGACGCGTGGCGACAACGCGTGAAAAGCCAGAGCCTTCTCGTGATGGTGCGCAAACAGAGGCGACTCGTCGAAGATTGTAGAAATGGGTAAAAGACGAAGCTTCAATCGGCTGGCCCTGGAGCTTGCATGGCAGGGAAAGGCGACGCCGGGGCCCCACACCGTTCTCATATGTTGCCGCTGATTGGCTTCCCAATTGAGCCAGGCCGTGGGCCCATAGACGGACTGTTTTGTCCAATAGATAAGTCATGATATGCCCCTCTGAGTTGAATTGTCCAACTTGGGGTTTTGTAAGCAAGCAACTAGGTTGAGAACTGAACCTTGTAATTGCTGTGAACTCGAAGTAAAGCCTCGAGAACTTCTCGATTCGGAGGAGCAAGAATGCAGGTCATTATCTAGTGCAGAGCCGGCAAGTGCTATTCTCACTCTGGCATTGCAGACACATTGCTAAACCATGCATTTGTTCACATTAGATGTTATGGTTTCCTTACTTCCGCTAAGCAACATGACAAATTTCGTGGCAGCATCGAATTACCTACCTGTTCTGTAGTGGCATGAAGTTTAAATATATATATATAATATGCAGATTCGAGCTTATTGTCACAAATGCCGAAGATTTGGACAACGCAACATGATAACCTATACAGCTCACGACTACACTACCGACGCTAGGCGGGTATGATAGGCAATGTTGAAGCTGAAAGATTGTATTTTATTGTACTGGTTCGACCAACTGGTAACGATGCTGAGGAATATGCCCCACTATTGTCCGCCATATACCACCTAGCACTCGGCCAATCCCCTACCAATCCGAGACGATCCGAGGGTTGTGATAATGCTGTAGGAATCTATTTTAACCTCAACCTTACACCTCACCCATTGCCTCACCCATTGCCTCCTCCCAAATACTTTTTGTACCCTCTATTGACCTGCCGCCACCAGCTCGTCTGGCTTGACCCGGTGCAACCTGTGGTGATTTATAGGGGTTCTGGTATTTTGGTGGTCTTGTCTTAGTGCTATTGATTTTCTTCTTAAGCATCGTCGGTTTCGAACGTGTGGCCTTAAGGAAACGGCGGCTGGCGTTTTTGTTATATCCCACTCTTATCACCATAAAAGATTGTATTTAGCTGCTGCTTCTGCCAACTGGTGATTGATGCTTAGGAACATGCCCCACAATTGTCCGCCATGTACCACCTTACAAAGCCCATAATAAAAGCATCTTGCATCTGATCTTTTACTGGATCCACATTACATCATCTATACTTTGTCAATGTCTACAGCGGTTTCAATCCCGAGCACAAATCCCAATAAGAACAGTCATGTCAGTTGGTAATTTTCCGTTCTGTAAAAGGAGATTGTTATCTGCTCCTACCCTTTTGGTATCGACCTCGGGAGTGTCGCGAGATCACGAACCGCAGCTACCAGTTGTACAACCCCGATAAAGTCGGCATTCATACCTACCGACTAGGTTTATAAGCGCTATGATACCCCACCTCGACAATGCGCCCTTCGTGTCACGGTGTAATCAAATGCCCGCTTACACGTAGCTGCCCTTCATCTACTTGCACATAAAACATCCCTGTGATCGCTCATGTTCGCGTGGAAATCAACTGCTCTTTTTATGCGTAATCATATGATACCACAAACTTTCCGACAGACTCCTGTAAACAACCTAAAGACGGCACAATCCGACTGATATTCCTGCTCCTGTCGCCATGTCTGCAGAAGGGACCATCATCCTCTATGACCTGCCCAGCCAGGAGCCCTGTCGAGCCTGGTCTTTGAACCCTTGGAAGAGTATAGACTCTTGAATCCATGAAATAGACCTAATCTAACTTGATTGGCAGCTCGTTTGCTCCTAGCATTCAAGGATCTTGATTACAAGACGGAATGGGTGGGTTTATTATTGGCCAAGATGATAAAGCCCGTCTAGATACTAATTCACAACAGGTTGAGTACCCAGATATCAGACCCAAGTTTGAGGAACAGTGAGTACAAATGTATTCCATTACGTTATCTAGAAGAGACAACTAACTGTGATAGCTTCCCTCTACCTGAGGGTGTGAGTCTCTACACAATCCCTACTGTCAAATTCCCCGATGGCAAGTACATTATGAACTCCAAGGACATTGCCCAGTACATTGAGGAGCAATACCCGGAACCAAGCATCCACCTCGACTCACCTTACATTCGCAAAGTCATGATCGAGATTTCAGCCCTCTTTGACCACACGCTCGGCCGCAGTCTCTACGGCGTCGTCCTGGATCGAATCCCAAGCCGCGTACTGAACCCGCGCAGCGCCGAGTACTGGATCAGAACCCGCTCCGAGATTGTCGGCAAGCCTCTCGGAGAGATGACCGCAGAAGAGCGGGGCGGCAAGGTGCTGTGGGACAATGCGGTCAAGAACATGGCCGAGCTTACCCGCCTGCTCAAGGAGAACCCAGATGGTCCTTTCTTTGAGGGCAAGACTGTAACGTATGCTGACTTTTACTGGGTCGGCTTCTTGTTGTTCTTCAGGAGACTGGGCGAGGATGTGTTCCAAAAGCTCATCAGTGTCAGCGGTGACGTGGAGGGCAGCGAGAATGTGCACTTGAAGCTGCTCGAAGCTTGCAAACAGTGGTCCGAGAGGGACGATCACTAAGCAATAGTCTGGTACGGATGTAGAAAGAGGATCTTCTCATCAATATTAAAATCACTATGCTGAAGGAAAGAATCTGTTTGACGGCCGTTCTAGTCCGAGGTGGTCTCGCAGCGTCTCTCCTTCGTAATCTTGCCTAAAGATGCCCCTCTTTTGTAATTCAGGAATCAATCGCTCGGCAACATCATCGAGTCCCTGGGGCAGATAGGGAAACACCACATTGAAACCGTCCGATCCTTCTTCCACAAGCCACTTCTCCATCTCATTGGCGACAGACTCGGCTGTGCCCACGAATGCGAGACCAGAGTAGCCACCATATCTTTGAGCGAGCTGACGCACCGTGAGACCTTCAGTAGCCGCCAACTTTAATACACCCTCTCGGCCCGACTTGCTGGCATTGGTCTCGGGGATATCCGCCGGCAGAGGCGCATCAGGCTCAAACTGGGACGCATCCGTTCCCAAGGAAATCGATAGCGAGGCAATCGAGCTCTCGTAGCTAACCAGACTATCCAACTTTAACCGCTTTGCTTGAGCCTCCTCGACCGTGTCGCCAATCACTATAAACGCCGCCGGGAGCAGCTTGATACTTTCCGGGTCCCGGCCCGCTGCCTTGGTGCGACCCTTGATATCCGCATAGAACGCCTTGCCAGCCTCGAGATCCCGAGGCGCACAAAACACCACCTCGGCCGTCTCGGCCGCGAGCTGCCTCCCGGGCTCCGACTGGCCGGCCTGGACAATGACGGGCCAGCCCTGCGGCGGCCGGGCAATGTTGAGGGGCCCGCGCACCGACAGCTCGGGCCCTTGGTGGTCGAGGACGTGCATGCGCGCCGTGTCGACAAAGACGCCGCTCTCGACGTCGCGCACAAAGGCGTCGTCGGCAAAGCTGTCCCAGAGCCCCGTGACCACGTCGTAGAACTCGCGGGCCCGGGCGTAGCGCTCCCCGTGCTCGACGTGCGCGTCGAGGCCAAAGTTGCGCGCCGCGTCCGGGTTGGCCGTCGTGACTATGTTCCAGCCGGCGCGGCCGCCCGATATATGGTCCAGACTGGCGAAGCGCCGGGCAATGTGGTACGGCTGGTCATAGGTTGTGGAAGCCGTGGCGACCAGACCGATGCGTCTCGTCAGTGCCGCCAGCGCCGAGAGCAGAGTAAAGGGCTCAAACGACGTGACCGTGTGGCTGCGTCGCAGCGCGGCGTCGGGCATGTTGAGCACGGCTAGATGGTCTGCCATGAAAAAGGCGTCGAATTTGGCCGCCTCGAGCTTTTGCGCAAACGATACCAGGTCGGCGAAGTTGAAGTTGGCGTCTGGGTGCGCCCCCGGGTATCGCCATGCTCCCGTGTGTAGACTCACGGGACGCATAAAGGCGCCGAGGTGGAGCTGCTTCTTTTTGGTTTCTGCCATATTCTCTCTTGGTACAATAGTTGCTCCCTGTAACTATTCTAGACTACTATAGATGGGTCTCGGTGTCTTTTATGGTATTATAAAGTGATTCTATCCCTTCAGTCGGAGGCTCCGGTTCCAGATGCATTATAACACGAATGGCGCGATTGGTGCGGAGAATGGCGTATAGTTCCGGATTATAAATCTGTGTGGAGATTTCACCCGGACCTGAACGGAGGTGAGTATAATCTTTTTGCACAGCTTACGGCCACATGATATGACCATGCTAACCTCTTTAGCAAAAGTCACCAAATTGACTACTGATGCACATGACCAGGCAAAAGACTTGGCTTTCTGCAAGGTAAAGAACGAAAACGACCGATTTCCATACGGACCATAATGGCTAGGACTGTATATGTTTGCTAATACAACCCCTCTCAAACAATGGGATATTCTGGACAGCCGTCATCATAGTAGTTGCCAGCAGCTAGATTTGTGCCCGTGATATTATTGTATGCCAACCGGACCAATGAATCACCTTCAGTGCTGTACTGTGGCCAACCGCTTCCGTAGGTGCTGAGTCCCTTGGCCGAGTCCTTGGCAAACGTGGCCCACGCACCGCGGAGGTACGCGGCAATGCTGGACTCTTCCGGCGTGTTGACATTTACAGACTGTGGAATAGTGTCGAACAGTGGCATGATCTGTAATCAATTGTCAGCCCCTACCATTGCGTCAGTCACTCCAGCTTGGAAATACAACTCACCTCGGAACCGTGCCAAGCGCCGCTTGATGGATTGATGGCCAGTCTCAAGTTGGACCAATCACCAAACCAGCGATATCGCCATGTCGGATTCCCGTTCAAGGCATAGTATGTAGCTCTCTCGGCAGCAGGGCAAGTGAATGACAACTCTGCCTGTTGCCAGACGGCATCGGGAAGCTTGGGCGACAGAGGTCTGTTCAACCCCGGCTCAAAGTCATTGTGTCCGACCAGCATGGCTCCAGTATTCGGCTTTCTGTCTGTGTAGTTGGCAAAGACGACCTTGTCGTCGATAGTAGGCCCGAAGCCATATTGTCCAGAAATATTGAGAAGAGTACTGGCAGACACATCAAGTTGCATACACTGATCCGGAACATCGGCAGTGTCGCAGCCGGCTGCCTTGACGGCATTGTTCCAAGATGTAAGAGCACGCTCAGGAGTCGAGGCGCTGAGACTGACTGCACTCTCGAGAATGTAGCCGGCGACAATGGGATCGTCGGAAAAGGCATAGCTGTGGTAGCCGACCGAGCCACCACCGGCAGACTGGCCAACAATAGCAATGCGCTCGGGATCACCGCCAAATTGCGCAATGTTGTCGCGTACCCATTCAATTGCCAGGCGCTGGTCCAAGAGGCCAAGATTGTAAGCTGGATATGTCTCGGAACCAGGGAATCCAAAGATGTTCAAGCGATAGCTTGTGTATAATTAGCATTGGTAGAGTAAGACCCCTAGATGACCCAGCTACTTACTTGAGAGACACAACTACAATATCCTGCTCTGCGGCAAGATTCTTACCACTGTAGAATGATACAGCAGAACTGCCGCTTGAATAGCCTCCACCGTGAATCCAAACCTGAAGCGGGTCAGTGTTTGTACAGTATTTCAGTTCCAAAAATCAGCAAAGAACATACCAGCACGGCCTTCTTTTCTTCACCGACCTGAGGCTTGGTCCACACATTCAAGGTCAAGCAATCCTCGCTGGTGGCAGGGATCCCAGCAAAGTATCCCGCAATAATGGCAAGCGCATCAGGAGTCAGCGTCCCCTCGCGCTTTTCCACTCGATCCCGGCTCTCCAAGTGCGGGATGCCGGCAAACATGTCAACCTGCACACAAACGAAACCATAGTCGGTGCCATTGATGGTCTCGGTTCCATTAAAGGCCACGGGAGGTTGGAAGCGCAGTGCGCCCACGGGAGGCTGCGCGTAGGGGATACCTAGATATTCCGATGTGCCCGTGCCATTACCAGCGGCGTGGCCCTCGACGGGACCGCTGGACGTCGATACAGTCTGGCCAATGGTCCAGTTTGCCTGGCGATCCTCGAGGTATGAGGCCTGCGCGACAAGAGCCAGACATGATGCCAGCAATGAAAACGCCCGAGACAACATGTTGACCAGCTTCTCTTCGGGTTTCACAATGTGTCTCTTAAAGGGGAGGAGGTTCTGAAGACGCTGTGCAAGGTCTCACGACAACACGACGAGTCCTGGAAACAAGGCCATCCCCCTCAAATTGCATCCGATTCATGTCTAGCCCATTATATAATAATAACTATCTTTCCACAGATCCCAACCACCATGATCAGCATTCTGCAATCGGCTTAGCTTTGGCGGGAGCCGACACTTAGTCGAGACTTGGCAGTCCAGATAGACTATATGCGGGTAGAACAAGGGACCGGACCAGCAGTTCGTTGGATGTAGTACATCGATCGGAGAGCTTCTGCAAATCGCTTATTCGCTAAGTGTCAGGGTCCTTTTACCGGCTGCGTGGTCACATTTGGTGGAGAGGCCAGGTCGTTTAGCTGGCTGTTGAGGGGGAAGAGGGGGCGTTCAGCAGCGGGGCAAAGTGTCGACAAGGAGAATGAGCTGTGATGCGAGTAGATTTCCATTTTCGGAAGGTCAGGCCCCCAAAGTGATTTATTCGCCGTAGGTAGCATAATATGCATGTGTGCAACTATACATGTGCTATCAAGTCGGCTGTCAATGCTTTGGAAGTATTATAATCTATACTTGTTTATAACAGAGTAGTGTTGATTGTAGAGATTAGCTTGATTTGTTTCGAAACTCCGGGCCCTTCTTTGATTGTACTTCTAGAAAAATGAATTTGCACCGTCAAGGTCATCGAATGACATATCAATCATAAACTCATCCCACATCTTCCAAGATTGATCCCATGGACTATTGGGTGCACAGTCCGTTGTGGGAGCTGATGTGACCTGTTCTCCAAACAACGAGGTTTCTTCTGGTGAAGGATACACTGGTCCGGACTGTTCCAATTGAGTTTCGACCATATTGAATGCTTGTAATGGCAAATTTGTAGGTATCGCTTGATTGCGATCATCATAGTCTCTTGGGTCTGTAGCGCTTCGTGGGGTATCTGCCACTAACAAGCCCTCGAGCTTCTCGCGCGTTCGACGCATGAGTTTACCCAAGGGACCTTTCAATGGCTGGCCGCTGTTTCGCATAATAAGTCTTTCGTATCTTTGGTACAGCGATTTGATGAGTGTCCACGCATGACAGACCAGAGCCTGATCAGGGCACACATAGCACTCTGCAATGGCGACGGCTAGAATGTGCCATTGTATAGAGACCATCCAGCGGTAGTTCTCGCCGCGTGAATCGGTATGCATGAGCTCCATCTTCTCCAAAGCCTTGACAGTCTGCTGCAAGACTTCCGTATTGTCCTTGGCGCGAGGCGGAGCAGGCTGCCTGGTGGCCTCGGCGCGGTAGAGTGGACGAAGGGCAGACAGGCGAGCACCCGCTACGAATAGTTGTGTACCATGCCAGACGAACCAAGCATATGACGAGGACTCGGGGTCACAGAAATGCAACAGCTTGAGGGCGCTTTGCTCAAATTCCTGAACGTGCTGTTGTGCCACTTCCCAGTCAAGTCGGATACCTACAGAAGACGATGGGGCATTATTGCTTCCATCGCCCATCCGCCGTCCAAAGACCAGCAAATGGAATTTGACCAGCGCATAACTGATGTCGGTGATACCTTCTCTGTCTGAAACAGGCCCATGTGTATTTGTACCAAAGTCAGCATCGTTGATATGCCTAATAAACGGCAAAGAAGGCGTTATTTCCTCTAGTGGAACAATTGGCTTCGATGCTTGGGCAAGGGCATTTTGAAAGTCCATCAAACATATGGTGAGCCATAAGCGTTTTCGCATTTGTTGTTCGAAAAATGATACAGATGTACTGCTCGAGAAATTCAGGTGTAAGCGAAGCCCTTGAGCGATTCTAACGGCTGTAGCCAACAAGGTCCAAACGGCTCGGGAACGTTCTCCTACGCCCCGCGCAACCTATTATTCCGCGTCAGCCAGGCTCAGAGATGATGTAGAAGATAAGCTTGGATGCTCCTTCAATGCTCCTTCATCCACTCACCAGATATAAAATGAAAGCTTGAAGGACAGTGATATCCCGAGTGGTCAAGAGCCCCGACTTTTCAAAAGCAACCTCGCACTCCCGACGGCAGTTACTCATGAGCTTCTCTTTCTCCACATTAAGCATTTCTGCACATTTGGTCTCTGCCATGCTGCTAATGGCCAAGTAGCATACTGACGCGCCGAGTGCATCCGTCGATGGATGTCTCCTAGGGTATTTCAGGTAGTCTTGCCCATGCATCATCCAATTAGCCAGTGATGATCGATGAAGTATCTTGATAATCTTTGTATCTGTTAGCGCTATTATCAGATTCACATCATTCTGATACTCACCGGGTCTACTTGGCGCAGATAAACTTCGCATAGTTTGGCAGAAGCATCCTTGTCAAGGTGCAAGGGAAGCAGTCGACCCAGTGAAGGAGTACTCGTTGCAATTCCAAGAGCCACAAGCCCACCATCCGGGTTTCGAGATTGTGTGTGATCTGAGGCTTGAGCGATTTCGTTGTCAGCTTCTCCAGGATTTAATGATACTATATCTCGCAACTGCTCCACCTGAACAGACAGTCAGCAGGTAATCCTGTCATTGCCAGCAGACGGTTCAAGTTTGCCTCCATGAACGTTCTGGGTCAAGGTGCAAAGTGCTGATTAGTCTAGGATGGGAGAACTTTGTGTAATCAATTATGAGTGACGGGCTTGTATACCTCTTGAACTAGATCTTGCCAAAACTCATCTGGCCCTTCCTGGCTCCTAGGTCCATCAGATACGGTGGGCTGTGTTGATGGTAACGTGGTACGAGATCCGCTCATGCTCTGGACCAACCTTTCCAGCCTTCGTATCCTAGCTTTGAGCTCTTCGTGCGTCTCGTCAGTATGATGAACCTCTCCGTTCCCCGGCGAGGATGCCGGCGATGGCAACGCAGCTGCATTGCGGATCCGCGCTGCGTGTCGCCCCCTGGGCAGTCGAAGGCGGTGCACGGCAACACAAGCCACGCCCGCCGTCCGGCAATGGGAACATGGCTGTTGTTTGTCGCATTTGATCTTCCGGTCGCGGCAGAGCTCGCAGCTAAGTTGCGACGGTGCTCGGTTTGAAGTCTGATTAGATGGAGCCATGCTGTTGTGGTTACTTGACAAGCATATGTCGTGAAACGCACAGCCTGTGTTGCGTTGTGTATGATCAACTGAGTCGACATGGACCTTGAGCCCAGGATCCAGACTCCAGATTAGCGGAGCAACGCTAGTATACTGACTGTGAACTCGACAGCAATATCATGACATCAAAGTCATCGCTCATCGGTCATCTCACTGTCACGTGAAGAAAGATCGGCCAAACGACGTCTGATTCGCTTTCCTCATTGCCAACGCGAGATCGAGAAAGATACTGAGGGATGCACAAGAGAATGTTGAATGAACAGCGACTGGATGCCCATGACGAACAGTGATAGGTTAGTGTCAGCTCTGACCCACCCTAAAAGCCGAGATACGTTTGTGATTGGACAGTCGGATTTTGAGCCCAAGTCTTGGCTCTTATACTCCGAGCTTGTACAAGCATATCTTGGGGCTCGGGTTATGGTTATGTCCAGTGCAAAGGATTCGCGACGATTTTCCAACAAAGTATTATGCATGCAGCTAACTATATAATAGTCGCATGAGTATATATATGTGTGCATCTCACCAAATGCTGTTTAACATATGGAGAAACAGTGTGTATCTTTTGATGTTTGCATCGTTCGTGGCAAAATTCCACCATCATGGTTCAAATAACGCCAAAGCCAGAAGGCGATAACAATAATTTTGAAGATCCTGGCTCTCGTCGCCCCCATGAGATATATACCCCATCAATCGAAGATCTTGAGGTTGGGCAGCCACCCATCTTGAATGTCGACGATGCAACAAAACCCGATCCGCATTTGGTGACTTGGAATGGTGCAGACGACCCAGAGAATCCAAAGAACTGGAGCAGAAAGGATAAATGGGTCATGACAGTACTTATTTCAACCTACAACTTCATCTCGCCGGTTTCCAGTACTATGGTGGCACCAGCTCTGGCAACACTAGGAGCAGACCTCCACATGCAAAGCGAAATTGAGATTGAAATGGCGCTGTCAATTTTCGTACTTGCCTATGCGATCGGGCCACTCTTTTTCGGACCACTATCCGAGGTATACGGGCGCTCCCGGATTGTCCAGCTGAGCAACATTTGGTTCTTGGCTTGGAATCTCGGCTGCGGATTTGCCCAGAACAGTGCCGAGTTCTTTGTGTTCAGATTCCTTGCTGGAATTGGAGGGAGTGCGCCACTGGCTATAGGAGCGGGAATACTTGGGCAAGTGTAAACACTGATCTACTCTTCGGACCAATACTGACAGTTGTTACAGTGACTGTTGGTCGCCAGCGGAGCGAGCCAAAGCCGTGGGCATCTATATGCTCACACCAATCCTTGGCCCCGTCGTTGGACCGATAGCTGGCGGTTTCATTGCACAAAAGTCGACGTGGCGCTGGGTGTTCTGGTCTGTCAGCATAGTTGCTGCCTTTGTCCAGATATGTGGTCTAGTCTGGTTGAAGGAAACACATGGGCCTACACTGCTCAAGCGAAAGAGAGAGAAGCTTGTCATGGAAACGGGTAACACGGAGCTACACGTTGGTGATGATGACAACAAGGTGCTCAGCAGCGCGTTGGGTTCTGCGCTGGCCCGTCCAGCACGAATGTTGGCAACTCAGCCTATCGTGCAGCTTGTAGCCTTGTACATGGCATACTGTTTCGGCATAACCTACCTCATCACCGTCACCTTTCCTGTTGTCTGGAGTGAAGTCTACGGCGAGAACCTGGGGATAGGTGGACTGAACTTCATCTCGATAGGTGTGGGAAGTATACTGGGCGTCTTCATCAATGTTCAGTTTATTGACCGACTTTACCGCCACCTCAAGAAAAAGAACAACGACGTCGCTCTTCCCGAGTTCCGTGTTCCCGCTATTATCATTGGTTCCGCAATGGTCCCAGTTGGGCTCTTCTGGTACGGTTGGAGCGTCCAAGGTCGCGTACATTGGATCATGCCAAATATCGGCGTTGCAATCTTGACCATTGGCACAATGATATGTCTGCAAAATATGCAAGGCTATATCATTGATGCATATACAAAGCTTGCAGCGAGTTGCACGGCTGCCATTGTGGTTCTTCGCAGTCTGGCAGGCTTTGGCTTTCCGTTGTTTGCGCCATACTTGTACGAGAGGTTGGGTTATGGCTGGGGTTCAAGCTTGTTGGCGTTCATCAGCATTGGAATTGGTATTCCAGCACCAATCTTGTTTTATATATGGGGTGCGAAGCTGAGAGCCAAATCCAAGTTTGCAACGGGTTAGAGAGGCGGGAGTATGTTAATAGGCAAATAGAGAGGGACCATATCAGCAGGTTGCACACGAGAGACACCTACTGTGAGCGTCGGTAAAATGTTCGTGGGTATCACGCAGGTAGCGCGATGGCCCACAACAGTTGGGGAGCGAGTCATGCTGGTGGTCTGAAACTGTTTATGAGAGTCGGACGAGAAGATTGAGAAAGGTACAGGCCGGACTTTATCTGAAACCATTTGTTTATAGACAAGTGAAGTGCGTCAAAAGTTGCCGTCAATATGAGATCTAGGATTAGTATGTTATATGTACAAACAATGTCCAGCCTTGATTGAGTTCGCGCTACAGCTACGATAAGCAGAGTCAGGTAAATCAGCGGCCAGTGGGTCAGGGCGCTCTGGAAGGACGGCATTCAAGTATCGTAGTCGGGATACGATAGAGCGTCAATTGGAAATCAATCTTAAGTAAAGGATAATGACGATTGGATCAAGGCTTTTACCCAACGACGACCTGAACATCGTAGAAGATTGTGCTTGGAAGTGAAAGATTGCTGCTGGCGTCTGGCTGACCAATGCTCTCGCGCCCATCACGTGGCGGGTGGCCCAAGCTTCCAGCACCTAAGCCCAAGCCGCCTACTTGCCCGCCCTTGCGCTTAGGTTGCTGGAGCTTTCCATAGCAGAGCGCAAGGCAGCTCTGGGGCGGCGTCAACACCAAACCCATCATCATCTCCAGCTAAACCCACCCCAAAACCGCCCGCCGCTGACTTTCCTTCAACCAACCTACCACTTCGTACTTTCGCCCATTTCCACGTCCATTGCACGCAATAATTGAACGCCGTTCCAATCATCACAATACCAGAGAGATAAAATCACCAATAATCACACATCATGGATCGCCTCAACAGAATGTTGGCAGGCGCTGGCGGCATGGGTGGCCTCGGAGCTGCACCGGGTGCTGTAAGCGATTGAAGCTGTCCAATGTTTTGAAGCAAGCGCGTACTGACTTTGCGCCATGACAGGACAACTCTAACCTCATTGATAACTCCGAGACCGTCTACATTTCGTCGTTAGCACTGCTCAAGATGCTGCGACACGGCCGAGCGGGTGTGCCCATGGAAGTCATGGGTCTCATGTTGGGAGAGTTTGTGGATGACTTCACCGTCCGGGTAGTTGATGTCTTTGCCATGCCACAGAGTGGTACTGGTGTCAGTGTCGAAGCCGTCGACCCGGTTTTCCAGCAGAAGATGATGGACATGTTGACACAAACGGGAAGGTAAGGAACTGACTGCATGGCTTGCCCGCCTCCAGACGCCGATAAACTAATGATTTATTCGACAGACCCGAGTCCGTCGTTGGTTGGTACCACTCGCATCCCGGTTTCGGTTGCTGGCTTTCTTCTGTCGACATAAACACTCAACAGTCGTTCGAGCAACTGACACCCCGCGCCGTCGCCGTCGTCGTCGATCCCATCCAATCAGTCAAGGGCAAGGTCGTCATTGACGCCTTTCGTCTCATCAACCCCCAGTCTCTGATGCTCGGCCAGGAGCCCAGACAGAGCACCTCGAACTTGGGACACCTGAACAAGCCCTCCATTCAGGCACTGATCCACGGCCTCAACCGGCACTACTATTCGATCGGTATTAACTATCGAAAGACCGCCCTGGAGGAGAACATGCTCATGAACCTGCACAAGCACGTGTGGACCGAGGCACTGCAGATGGAGGACTTTAGACACGAGGGCGAGCACAACAAGGAGCAGTTCCAGAGACTGGTGTCGTTGGCCGATGGCTACGAGAAGAGAGTCAAGGAGGAGACAGAGTTGACAAAGGAGCAGCTGAAGACGCGATACGTCGGAAAGCTCGACCCCAAGAAGCATTTGGAAGATGTTGGTCAGCAGCTCATCGAGGACAACATTGTGTCAGTATCACGGCAAATGATCGACAAGGAGGCCACCATGCCCAAGAAGGATACCTCGGCCAACGGCCAAGCCAACGGCGACCACATGGACGTGGAAGAGTTGTAGAGGGTTGCATATTTTGAGAATGACATGACTTGCATTTGGGGCACGTTCGGCTGTGTATCATAGGCGTTGGCAGGATTCCCGGCCTGGTATAGAGGCTCGGCAATGAAACGGCGTGTTTTCTCAGCTTGGAGTCCAAGCATACAAGATTGTGTCTGACACTCCAGAACATCCGGAGGCCCAAAAAACGGTGAATAACAATGAAATTGCCACTTGGCAGCTAACTCTTTGCTCGGAAAGCATAGTCCTTTGTCGACCGACTCGGACCGTACCAGTTCCTAGTATTTTCAAGAGTCATTGTCAATCTCTATTGTTGCAGAGTCATTGATTATTCAGACAGAGACAAAGGCCTCATTGATACATGCGTAATTCATTCGCATTCACCGCCAACATGACAAAGGTATTGTAGCAGTTCAACAAGTCGGCTTATAAAATCAGACCTGGTCCTTGACAGCATCCTCTGTGTTGTTGCGTTGCTTTTCAAAAAGTTTGCATTTGTTTGTATATTTTTGCGATAGAGCTGGACTCGACATCGGATATTACTGAGAATCGATAATCCGTTTACATCTATACACTCTTGGTTCTTTTTGGAACCATTTGGACACAATGGACACGATCATGGCCTGTCTCAGTCCTTGTTTTAAGACTCAAGAGCCCCCGGCCGAGACCTCTTCCTTTGACACCAAGCATTCTAATAAAGTCCGAGCAAGACTCGGCAAGCCACTCAAGCCGATCAATACACCAATCGAGATGGTAGCATCACCCGCTGCTGCTTTTGACCGATTCTCGCCCATGTCGCCGAGGCCAAAAGCGGCTCCATCAGTGCCGCCTGCCACGACACCGCTCACGGCCACTGAGCTTGGTGAACTATTCGATAAGGTAGACGAGACTCTGTCTGGGCCAAATATACATTACGCGATATGTGGACTTGCTGCCATGATAGCCCATGGCTTGACCGGACGCGGAGCGAATACAGTATCCATACTAGTCCCAGAAGACTCCAAAGACGTAATACGGCCGTGGGTCTTAGCCGGCGGCAACATGGTCACAAAGAAGGATTCCACACCACACGGCTTCGAAGTTCTGATGAGCAACGGTACTACTAGGGGGATCAAAATTAGGTGGATAGAAGGGGCGGCATTCGAGAAACTGGGCATAATTCGGTCCCATATGGGATCGCGCTCAGCCAGGATGCTCACCTTGGCCAGCTGTCTCGAGCAGGTGGCCAGCGCCTTTCTCAAGGAGTGCAGGGGCGGCAAGCCACCGACGCCGAGCAAGCACGTGGACACCATTGTCCAGGACATTCGTGGTGCTCTGGAGAGCGCCACCGTCCACAAGACGTCATTGGACCCGGCATATCTCGAGCTATTTCTGAGCCATCAATTCTGGTCGCCATACCACGCGTACATGGGCGACGAGCGGATTTCCGAAATCATGTTGCTCTGCACCAGGGCCCGGCTCCCCGTCGCCGAGGCCCTCGCCGAGGCTAGGCGCCACAGCGAGGTCCGACAGCACGACGCGCTGCTGAGCCAGTACGGCGTGCAGCCCATGCTCGGCGTCGTGGAACAGCAGCCGGGCGCTTTTCACAATATGCGGACTCTGGGCCGCGATACCGTGCCCAGCACGTACACCCTCAAGTCCAAGGAGTCTCGGGGCAGTAGTGATTTGCTCCCGTCGCCGACGGGACGGTCGCTCACGGCCAAGCCGCGGCCGATGCCGAGCCCGCTGGGTCGGGGGCCTTTGTCGGCTCGGGAGAGCGGGCCGTCGCATTCGCGGAGCTCTAGCTCGGTCCGCGTGCCTCAGGATAAATCAAAGATGAGGGAGAGTCTGGATCTTGTTGACGCTCGGAGTGGAAGACCGGATGGATGGATGTAGCTTATGATTAAAATTTGAAATAGCGGAATGTAGCGATATACGAACCATATATGAAAACTCTATAGAGAATGCTACTGGCCTAGTGTTGAACCTCGTTGTCTTGACGGCGTGCCCAGTCCAATTATTTTGGCATATTGACCAAGCGTTGAGTGATAGCCTAACACTTTCTGTACTGTCGGGTTGCCCCTTCTTTCTGAGGCGTAGCTGCAAATTACCATCTTGGATAACAAGGATGTCTGCAGTGTTACCTCCTTTCCCCAATCACAGCCTGTCTGTCCTGTGAGTCGCAGCTTGCGGAAGGGGGCGCAGCTGACGCCTGATGCGCTGGCCACTCGCCCGACTAAGGTGATGACCGTGGCAATGGTGCACCTAAATTTGATGAACACAGTTGAGCTATTCAATCCTGAATTACCCGTCGCGGATTAGGTTCTCCATTCATCCATACACCTGAACATGGCCGTTTCCACTTCATGAAGTTTGCTTGCAAGACAAAGCTCATCGTTGCCAATGGAGGCACTTGGTGCAGCCGCTTCCATCGCGGGACTCGTGAGTCTCGCGATCGAAATACCCAAATTAATCGACACAATTAATAGTATCAAATCAGCCCCAGGCGAGGCTCTCCAGCTTTCCAGCACGGTTGATGCTTTGATCGCGACACTGCAAAAGCTAGAGTCTTTCCTCAAGACTGACGAGGCCCGGGAAATGCACTTGGCAGATGACTGTGCGTTGAAAGTATCGATTGCAGCTTGTCAAAATCGAGTGATAGATTTGTCCAAGAAACTTCAATCGCAGATACCCACATCGAGTACCTCTTCATCCTCTCAGAGCACAACGTCAAAGGTCAAAGATACTTTGATAAGGTTTCGATGGCCTCTCGACAAGTCAGAATGTCTCAACATTGTGGCACAATTACATGCAATGCAAAGTACATTCGAGTTCTGCTTGGTCATGAAAAACTGGTTGGTTCTGTCCTTTCTCTCGATTGTGTGTGATGCGGCTTCAGCTTACCTGATCTCATGTAGCCAACAAATGGCCAAATCACATAAAGAAGTCATCTCTCACTTCAAAACACAGAGTGAAGCTCTAGCTCAGATGGCAGCTGCCTTTCCCGACCAGGCTATTCAAGCTTCGAATTTGCTCAAGAAGATCGAATCAATCTCATCGTGCGTTGAAAGCAACGCAAGGCAGCTTGATGCAGTTCATCTCGGTGTGAACAACTTGCAAGAAATGAACAAAGGTTTGTTATTCAAGTCCAATATATTCGCGACAATACATTTTCACTGACTCTTCGTTGCAGACTTTGCGGATTATTGTGACTATAAAATCCATGGTCAGGCTCTAGAATGGCTTTCTCCACTTGACCCATTCTTAAGACATGAAGAGATACAAACAAGTCGATTGCCAGGAACATGCAAATGGATATCTGAAGATAGCGACTTCATTTCATGGGCTCAGACACTACACCCTGACAAAAGCGACGACGTCTGCTGCCGGATTGGCGACCCAGGCCAGGGGAAAACATACACAATGTCGGTAGGACTCATGAATAACATTCAAATTTTGCTCTAACCCACAATTTAGGTCTTATATGATCGAGCATCTTGAAGGCCTGTACCCATCTGGTACCGGCGTTTATGTCACGTATTTGTATTGCGATTACCAGAGAACGAAAGACTTTCCCGTGCAAGCATTGATCGGCGCCATCGTTCGCTTACTTCTTTCTCAGTTTGACAGACTTCCTCACAAGATCAGGGATCTAGTCACTGACGCTACTGTGAAGTTACGCCGACCCAATGCTACAATCGATCAGATGCACCAGATTCTGTCGTGGCTCGAACCTCAGGTAGAAAGAATTTTTATCTGCATCGACGCGCTTGATGAGTACGAGAATGCGGAAGAACTTGTCAATGCTTGCCGGAGGTTGCCCCTGAGAAAGTCACTACTCTTCGTAGGACGCCATTCCATCTTCCAGTCTTTGAGGAGATCATATCCACAATCGTCTTGTCGATCCATCAATCCGCCCAGTGATGACATTGAAGCTGTTATCGCCGAGGGGCTCGCAAAAGCAGCGGCAAGAGACCCCAGCCTCATGCCTGAGACCCTGAAGGTCGAGATCCAGAAGGGTATATCTAAACTTGCCAATGGAATGTAAGTCACATCACATAAATCATCTGTAAGTATGATCTGCACAAGGTCATTACTCATACATTCCAGGTTTCTACTAGCTACCTTACACCTGGCCCTTGTCCTGAGTCGCAATACTATCTTGCAACGGCGACTAGCCCTGAGCGATCTGCCTCCTACTTTGGATGGGACCTTCAGCCAGACTCTAAAAAGAATCAAGGAACACACCCATGCCTCACAGGCGCTGAGGATACTCGCTTGGATTCACTGCATTGGCCCTTCGCCATTAGAATTGATCCGACAAGCATTGGCAGTAGAACCGTCGCACTCACGATTTGAGGAGGAAAATCTTCCCAGCCGCCTGTCCATGCTTGATTGCTGCTTTGGATTGGCCAGGATTGACACAATTGACACAATTGAAGGACTCTACCATGGGAAAGATAAAAAGGTGGCCTTGGTCCACTCGACGCTGAGTACATATTTCCAGTCTAACAAATCCATCTTGAACGATGCGATGGTCATGAATGCAGAAAGCTGCCTAGCTTTGTTATCATTCCCCCTGCCTTTGCCTGGGGACCTCTTGGGATTGGCCAGAGACTGGTGGGTATCGCTTCTGTGCGATCTCAATCCCTTGCCCACACGGTTGTCTAAAAGAGCATGTGCTACCTGTGTTCAAATCAACATTCAAATAAACGACGGAAATCTTCAAAATGTTCCGAGACACGCGAGGATGCTGCTGGCTCAAAACGCCCGGAGTAACGGGTTTCATCGATCTCAGATTGACCAGCGCCAACCACTATTGAACACAATTTGCATGCTCGGACTGGACGTACTTGACCTCGATATTCACGAGTTATTGGAAGCGGACAATCACAAAGATAGCGATCTCATTGATCCAATCGACATGTTTGGCTCAAGTCCGCTGGGCTGGGCTCTACTACCGGCGAACCATTTTAGAACAAACTGGCAATTCCCGCAGCCTGAATCGTCTTTCAAGCAATGCCTTTTGCGCGCCGGGAAACTTATCGGAAGATGCTCGATAATGCAACCAAGAAGAATGGTGCTTTGGAGCGCGGCAACTCTGGCCAAGATCAATGAAGGTGGGCATACCCACCTCGAAGGGGGCACAGGGTTGAGATATCCCAATGCGTCCCCTCTTCTCTTCTTCATTGCCAACCACTCATGTGATACAACGGCTACAGAAGGATGCCTTGAAGCAATCAAACGCAATTGGGATATCGATGTTTGGTCAATGCTTCAAGGGGGGCCTGGCGCCACGTCTGTTTGTGACAGGTGCCTTTCACTGCAGGAAACAACCAATCTTTGGAACCTTGTGGTTTGGGGCAGTGAGGAATCCGAAGTTAAGTCCTCAGATACTTACGACACCTGCTGGCCAGGAGGGAACTGGGACAAATACCAACCAAAACCCACTCCGCGGTGGGACATGGACATCATCGCTCTCTTCGAACCTGGCAAATACACACCTGTTCACAGTTTCACTTCTCAAGAGCGTTGGCACAAGAGGAGAGCATTGGAACTGTATTGCAGTGCTCGGAAAGATATATCACTTGAGACGGTATATTCTTTCCCGGCCGAGGATTATACGATTTATAAGATTTCTCTGCCTCAACAAGCAATCCTTCAATCTAGCGCCATTAGTGCTTTTTACAGCGTTTTCGTATTTGCGCTTTTGGTTCTGAAGCTGGATCCAATCGTCCCAGATCCCCAAGGAATGTTTGTATTGCAAATCTGCGCATGGGATAACCAAACAGTATACGCTAAAGCAATTCTGGACATAGCCGCCACGGCTATAAACCTTCAGGATCAACATGGAAGAACTGCTCTACATTACGCAGTCGAGATCCGATCGAGGAAGATGGTTAGCGTCTTACTAAGGAGGAAAGCCGACCCCAACATCGCAGACTTGAAACACCAGACACCTTTGCATCTGGCCATCATAGGGCGTGATCTTACCATTTTCGAGATGCTCATTTCATCCGAAACCGTGCCGAAGCTCACATCAAGCAATATGGGAAGAGCCTGGAATCTTGCCCTTGAAGCTGGCGGAAGCTTTGCCATGAGACTTCTTCGCATTGTGCATAACAACAAATCATTATGGTTGCTCGATCAAGGCGACACGACAGCGCCGTCCGCGCTCGCGCCCAGCAACGGTATACTCCAGCTGATGATAGTAGCTGATCAAAGTTTGGCTTGCACAGATAAAGACCTCGATTTCATGATACGTATGGTGACCAAAAGCCTGGTCAAAAGCCGCCCTCCTGCTACTGGGAGCACAATCATTACAGCAAGGAGCAACCAGTTTTCAAGCCCGAGCGAACTCTCCACCATCATCAGATCTGCTATTGTAAACGGGGCTGACGCAGTGGCGGCATACATTCTGCACAATTACCCAATAGATATTGGCAACATAAGCGATAAAGGAGAATCTGCCCTTCACCTTGCAGTCATTTACAACGCGCCCAAAGTTTTTCAGTTCTTATTGGACTGCGATAGCCTTAACAGCACCGCACAAGTGAATTTTGAGGGTTACACCGTCCTACACTTGACGCTCGTCCACAAGAGACTGGATATCCTGCAAATATTGCTCCATTCAAACAAAGTCAACGCAGGTCAAGTGCACAGCAGCAGCGGTGCCACGGCATTACACTTGGCGATACGGCACAGTTTTACTGATGCCGTGCCTCTGCTGCTATCCTGTCCACAAATCGACTTTGACGTGCTTGATGAATACGGCCGCGCAGCGCTGCACCACGCCGTGTTGAAGCAAGATGTTGCACTGGTCAAGCTACTGCTTGACTGTCCAATGGTGACCCCGACAGTGATTTCTGGCGATGGACGCACAGCGCTCGCGTACGCGGCTCTCTGCGCTGGTGAGGAGATGATTACGGTCTTGTTGGAGGTGGGGAGCTTTGATTTGAGCCTCAAGGATACTTATGGGAAGACTGCACTCGATTGGGCACGTCTCAACACCAGTACTGGGGTCGCTGCAATGTTGGAAGCCGCCGGGTCGGGCTCCATTAGTGCTGCATAGTATAGACTGAAAGTGTGAAATCATGACAGCGCGTACAGCGGCGTATCGTAGGAGGTTCACGGTGACATTTGTCATGATCGCATTAGTCTTGATGGTCAAGTCGTGAGAGCTATAACCCTTGATTGTGCTTGTATGCAAGCCATTTTTCAAGTTCCAAATTTTAACTGATTGGCGCGTAGCCGTACTACTTCACCAGGTTTATTCGCGATGAAACCAAAGCCTAGGAAACGATTCGGTTCTGGCATCTAATGAGTGCTAATTGATAAAAGGTATTCATCTTAGCCTCATTAATTTTTGCTTCTTTCTCCCCTCCCCCTTCACTAGAATCGGCAGAACTTGGAACGTGAGTCCTAGCCATCTAGATGAATTGGCACTATCGCCTACAGCAGCAATTCATCATCGAGTTCAGTACTACTAGGTCGACTTGAAGAACAAAGGTTGAGACAATACCAAAGATACCAAGCTCTCATATGTCTGCAGGTTGGATTTGGACCAGATCAACCAAGTTTCCCCCACTTTGCTGTGGGAAATATCAAATCTACCAAATTTTGTTGGACCAATGCCATATCTCTTCTACCCTTGGCGAGGGCCAAAATTGCAGTGAAACTCAGATCTGCCAGATCTTGCAGTGCCAAGATGCAGTCTAGATTACCCTGCATGAGGTTGGCTTACGAAACAGTCGTCTACTCACGTCTCGTTGAGAATTAACTTTGCAGTGAAAGCAGATTAGAACTAGGTGGGTAATTCAGGCTGTACATGATCATCCATGGCGGGTCGCTATATGTCCTTTGCTGGGACTCAAGTTGCAGTGAAAATGCAGTCCAAAGCAATGGAGCCAATGGTGTTGTCGTCGGCAAGAGTTGGATTCCATTTGGGACTCCCTTTGTGAGGGTTAAAATTGCAGTGAAAGTCATGCGAGGGAACTTGCTTTTTTGGTGTTACTAGCAACCCTTCCGGCGTAGCATGCACCACTGGCCAATGAATTTTGCATACCTCCCCAAACGGGGGGCTCATATGTTGTCCTCACGCTGGAACTAATATTGCTGTGAACATGCATTTCAAAGCAATGTAGCCATTGGTATTGTCGTCCACAAGAGTCAGACTGTAGTTGGTATTTCCTTTGTGAGGGTTAAAATTGCAGTGAACATGTATGGCAAGGTGGTATGCATCAACCCACTGGCCAATAAACTTTGCGTACCTCCCCGAACAGCGGGCTCATGTGTTGTCCTCTTGTTAGAACTAAGATTGCAGTGAAAATGCAATGCCAACTACCGTGTTCCGGTCGTGACTCCTTTGTGAGGGTTAAAAATGCAGTGAAAAATGGCAGCACTGACGAACTACTGGGGATGCCGAGAATTCGGCTCTGCGTACAAGGCAATGTGACATTGTGACCAACGTAGCGTCCGATTTATTGGTCACTGGTACGGCTACTAAGCATCAGCGCCTCTCCCAGTGCGGCCTTTGTCTAAGCAATGCTGGACAATAAAAGTGCCAGCGAAGCTGGTAATTTTCAGAGTCTGCTCAAAGAACAATTTCAATCACTCGAGGGGATATATCAAATGATTATGTACCCACTCGGGCTTAATTCCACAGTGGCAAGGTATATACTAATAACGTGTTACCACAGTTGCGTGATCGTAGTTTAACCCTAGAAAAGTTACAAGTCAAGCCGTTTTGGAGGGGGGAATGGCGTAATATTGCACCCGACTGTGCCATGCTTGTCAATTTTCCCAACCATGGTTCTTGTGTTGGCTTGAAACAATCAGGCTGAAGCTAGAGATATTCGATACGATGAATACGATATATACGATGGATACGAGTTTTTCGACCTGGATCTGAAGAAACGTCATTCGTCACGACGCCCGAAGCCCGAAACCCGAGTCCGCTGGTGCATCGTCCCTGGCATTATTCGGATGTTATTTGCGATAGGCAGACACTTTTTGCACAGCCCGGGGGAATATACTTGACTTTCTGCCGTATGCCCGGATCTCGCGATCCATTCTGCTTGGACACGCGTTACATTGCCGGTGCACCTCGGGCAGCCGCGCGCCCCGGGGAGGGGCGCAGCCGGCACCGTTACAGAGTTGATAAACCGCCGATACGCCGGACGCTTAGTGTTCGGAAGCGTGTGTAACCACTGAATCAGTCAAGGTAATTAAAACATCTCGACACTCTAAATACTACATATACTATCTTCCTCCAAGTACACCAACCAGTGATTTCAGCATGTCTCCAAATTCCGCGACGGGAATAACAACTGGAACTACAGGTTCGTCGCCTTCCCCACAAGACTTGGCGTCGAGTATACTATTTGTAGTGCATCGTGTCGCTAACTAACCACATCCTCCAATCAACAGCTGACCGGGTCAAGAAATGCTGCCACCTCATGGTCTCCATCTTTGGCGATGATCCAGTCTACAATTGGTTCCTGTACAGCACGCCCGAGGCCAAGCGGCTGCGGCACCTCCAGGTGCTGATTGAAGGCATCATCAAGGCGGCGGCCATAGCCGATGGCGTCTTTACCGAGATCAATGGCTGGGGGGCCAGCGCAGTGTTGATCCCGCCGGGCAGCAAGCCCGACAGTCCTCTCACGGTGCTGCGGGCGGGTCTCGTGCCAGCCGCCATTAGACTGGGGCCTCAACCTTTAAAGGTATGTCTCTGACCCTTTTTTCGCTGTCGTACAAGTCTTTTGCACTAATACATGAAACTTCCACTATTGACAGCGTTTGGTACATGATTATACCAGCGCGGCAGAAAAGACCAAAGCCAAAGGCATGACGGCCAAGGAGATCAAGCGAAGATTCCACTACTTGATCTTCATGGGGACATCGCTGGATCATCGGCGGCAGGGGCTGGCTGGAAAGCTCATTCAACACATGCAGGCGCGGATTCAGGCCGAGGATGAGCCGCGGCCGATTTGGTTGGAGGCCACGACGCCTGCGTCGAGAGACTTGTATGCAAAGCACGGCTTTGAGCTCGTGGAGGAAATTCCTCTGGGAAAAGGCGACGTGAATGCAAAGGGTCGAAGGGAGGCTGGAGGAGAGGGCGTCACCATCTGGGGTATGGTGTGGCGGCCACAAGAAGCGCCAATCTAGTGGGGTAAAGGGCGTTTCTTGAGTGATTCTAGTAGTGATGGTGATGATGACGATGGATATACCTTGGTTCGATGATGCGGGCAGTTGAGAGCAGTACTTTTATAAAATACACAGCAATATAAAGAATATGGAAGTCCAAGTGAACTCACGGTGATATGTGTAGGTAGTATAGATGCTTGTACAGTGGATTGATTATAGAGATGTCAAAGGTGCACATCAATCGAGAAGCTCCCCCACATCAGCACTGCTGCAGCGAACCTCGGTACTTATTCCCGAATGTCTACGGTAATAATTGATTGGAAGTGCGCAACTTGTACATTTTCATTCATTCCAATCCATAAATGTAATCTCTGAAATTCAAGTAAAATACACACATCGTTTGTCTCATCATGGTTGTCTGCAATCTTCACGTGGTCGCATTAAAGTCGGGCACATCCCCCGCCGCCTTTCTTGCCAAGATCCGCCAACATGACATGAAGCCCATATTCCAAGCCCAGGTCCTGCGCTGGATGATTCTACCGACGCACAATTCCGCCGGGCATCTCTTGAATCGCAATCTGCGCTGGGACCTGGTCTTGGGACTCGACGCGTCGACCTCGATCCCGTCGGCTCTGCAGCCCGTCATCGAGGCCATTTGGACCGTCTCCTGCGGGGCCTCGGCCCGGGTCCTCGCAGACTACAGCAAGCGCAACGCCGCGCTGCTCAAGCCAGAGCCCGGCTCCGTGCCCCAGGTCGAGCTGCCAGACGTGTCGCAATCGTCAAACTCGCAGAACCTTGAATTCTCCCCCGAGCTCGGCGAGTGGATCTCCACCATGCCGCCCGCCCTGCAAAACCACCCCGTTTCCATGCTGAACCTCCTCGCCTTTAACGAGGGCAAAAAGGACGACTACGTCCGGTACGGTAAAGAGTTCTCGTCGCGGGTGGGCGCGCGGTACGGCGGCAACGTCAAGATTGCGGCGCGCGTCGTGGACGGCGAGGGCCAGCGCGCCAGGGACGAGGGATGGGACGAGATTGCCTTTGTGCACTATCCCACGGTCAAGCACTTTGCCGCCATGTCGGCGAGCCGCGAGTACCAAGAGGTCAACCAACAGTACCGGCTGGGCGCGCTCAAGGATACCTTTATCTTGTGTACCGTGGAGATTGATGATCATGGCGAACTTGCTGGAGGGAGAGCCGCACTTGAGAGACTGTAGTAATCGTGTACTCATACATGAACGACAAGGGCGACTTTCACTGTGACTCTTTTCAAATTTTCTAAGTCCCAATCAAACTTCAGTTTTTATCATCGTAGCCATCTCACATTTTACATTGCAGGGTGTGCGTATTAGTTGAAGATACTCGGTGTATACCCTTCCAGATCAAGAAACTATATGATCGACTCCATGTAGTTTACAACAAGGGAGCACAGTGGGCAGAAGGGAGTATTGGTTGAAGACTGTACATAGTTATTTAGATCCATAATTTGTCAAAACACCATGGATTGGCTGGCCAAATCACTACAAAGACGGAGATGATCAATTTCAGATGATCCTGTGGTGTTCTACAATGGCCGTTATTATGATTCGTTCCAGTGCAGCCCAACTGTCATCGCCAACAACTCTTGGTCAATCGTGTGTCTTGAGATCTCGGCAGCCATAGTGTTGTAGGCTGCTTATTTCCAGGGGATTATGGAAAGACTATGAACAGCTATGCGTAGTTGACACACTGCAGATCAACACTTACGACGGCAGAAAGGATGCCAATTGAAGGTGGAGATACAGAAGCTATCTATAATCCAAAAAATGCCAAAATTTCACTACATGTGGCCCCTATGAGATCAAAGCCGTAGGTAGCTGGCTCCAGCCGACTCCGCAAGTTTCCATCATTTCTTTGTTGACTTTGAGCTTCCAGCGCCTATGCCAACACGCCCTCTCGCTGGGCAGGAGTCATCCACACAGTCTGTCTGGCCTGGTGCGGGAAATGTGTCCAAAGATTCCGGTGTACCAGTATCATCTGCTGCTGGGTGAGACTGATTGGAGGCAAAGTCTTGCCCCTGGTGCCGGAATTGTCTTTGGATGGTGCGAAGCAACGGGCCGTTCTGGGCCCGAGCCTTAGGCTTCAAGAGGTGGTAAAACGGGAAAAAGACGAAGTTCCTGTGATGGTCTATAGGAGTGCGAAGCGACGAGTCGTTCTGGACTCGAACATTAGACTTCAAGAAGTGGTAGAATGGGAAGAAAACAAAGTCCCCTTTGTTGGTCCCGGGCGTCAGGAGCCTCAGCTTCAAGCTCCTCCTCAGTATCGAGTTGATCATCATCGTCGACATAATTGATTATTACAGGCTGGACCTTTGATGCAGCATAGGTCATGGAACTCGTCAGGCGTGAGCCTATAGCTTTTGGCAATTTGCCGACACCAGTTGTACAATCGCAAGCACTCCGAGACTGAAGGACTATCGCGCATAGGCCGGTGAGCTTGCTGGAAATCGATATCGAAATAATTGCGGATTCGAAAAAAGGGCCATCAATCCGTCAAGGTACGGCGACCTATCTGCCGTGCGAAACGTCTGAAGAAAGGCTTCGGCTTCTTCCCGCGAGAGTTCTACCCCACGTTTATGTCGACGGCTATGGATATCCGTATTGCCAGTAATAGTGCTAATTGTTCCAATATTTGTTAAGGTATTGAAACATAGCTCTAAATCCTCCTGCTGCTAGATAATATCTTCGGAGTTGGTCGTGGCCCGCAGAATACGTCCGGCCCATAACATACCACAGATTAGTGTATTCGCACCGGAAGCCAAAGCCTTCCTCTACGCTATCGTCGTCTCTCATTGGGGTGAGGAAGCTTCGGACGCGTGTACGTATCTCTTCGGTGAAGTTGGCGCGTTCCTGGCTGTTGGGCGCAAATCTGTGGTAGTTTTGATCGCTTATAACGATATTATGAATAGGCTCTTGCATCCACTTCATGATATCATCTTTCGTGCCTGAGAGCACATAGTGCTTATGAACATCTTCCTCTCGGATCTTCCGATAAGGGGGCGTCTGCGTCCTTCTCAGGGTTTCTTGATGTTTCGTGGTCGCTGTGCTTCGGGCGACCACTTATGGTGAACCGGGCTTCATCATGGAGGGCCACAACGTCATGTGGCCATAGTCCCAGGGCCTCGATGATACACCCCTGCAGAAGACATCAAGATTAGAGACGGTTTCAATCAACGATGCGGAAAGCTCCAACTTACTCGAATCGGCTTTCATAGTCTGCGCCCTTGTCCACATGATGAGGATCCTTGACCTCGCGATAGTCCCGCTCGTGTGATTTCTGCACAGTCTCGAAGAATGAGTTGGCGGCAGGGTCCTGGATCATCAGATCGACAAGAGACAATCGTGTTTCTCCAGCACGGTCGTGCTTGGGTGTACTACTGCTCGATTTTCGATGGCAACTGGGCAAGTGATATCCTCCAACGCATCATTTGTATCCTCATGGAGAGTCCAGATGGCATCCGCGACGTAGAGTGGGTAGAAGAGGCATCAAGCTTGGTCGAATGTGCCCCTCCCGTCAAAGTGTTAGCGGGCGACTTTTGCGCCTCCGACTTGAAAGTATTACAGACAGGAGGTGATGGATTCGAATAATTGCTGTTGCTGGTCGTCTTCTGCTTCTTCTTCAGGTGTTTGTCGGGCGGTGTTGCTAGCCGCTTTGAGCAGTTGGCCTCATGCCTGTCGCGTACCGGGACAATTTTTGAAGGGTCCTCGCTCAGGTTTTCGTATGTGGAGAAGCCCTCCGGACGAGCCCGGATTTCAGGAATGATCTTGTCGAATAACTCAGCCATTTGGTTCTCGATTCCAGAAAAGCCGGCATTGTCCTCTTCCCTTGGCTTCGTCTGGGGTCCCGCACTAATGGCCCGACCGTCCACTGCAGTCACTTGTGTCTTGGATAAATAATTAGATCTCGAAATAGTACCGAAGTAGGGCAATAGCTTACACCACACTCTAAAGGGCCCACAGACAGAGAAGGCAAGTTTCGCCGCAGTAGAGGCGACTCGTTTGGTCGTTCGGGACTACGAGTATTCCGATATTGTAGTCACAAGGTCTCGATGGAAGCGGCAGCAGTGCAGATACCAGGTCTTGAGAAAAAGCAAGACACCCTGATCACGTAGCTGGGAATCGGCTCCTGGAATAGTATGCCTCCATCCCAGTGCTGTCTGGCGCCGGGACTCGCTGGGCCCATGAGGATGCCTGGGGAGGCGACATCAATGATGGCGACGGGACGGTCGGTGATGAGTATCCGATCTGGGATCTCCTGAATAACTTGAGTTAACATGAGCCACTGTTGGTTCGAGACAAGAACACCACTACTTACCCAATGGGGTTTATCGGTGCTGACTGCTGCGCCTGACTGCCTTGAGAGCTCTCCACCGACCTCACGATTCCGTGTCGGGTTGCTCTACATTGAACCCACAATCTAGTGGGCCTGGGAGAAGATGATCAGCAAATAAGTAACAAATCAGATGAACAGTACTTACACTGGGGGGCGAGGTTCTCAACGTTACTTTAGACAATGTGACAAGTGGGGATCTTTGCGAGGTAGCTGCGGATGAGTTTAGCTTGGGCATCGTAGGGGTGTACTGCAAAATCTGACCAGTGCCACTTACGAAGACAAGTTCAGTCGAATTTTTATTGCGGCTGCAGTGCCAATGCTGCTGGCAGTGGTGCCAAGGCTCTGGCAATGATTGCAAGATACCGTCCCGGTGTTGTTTTCTGACATGATGGAGGATGACGATAACGATGAAGATGACGGCGCCGACGATGACGAGAACCTCCGAGATGTGTCAACCAGGGGTATCATGAATATTGAATAGACTGCGCCATGCTTATCGTACTCCTGCTGAACCCTGGTAATTCCCCTGGTGTCTGTAGGGTTCACCAGAAGTCAACTGATCGTGCTGTTAGTATACTTCCAGAAGCTCAGTAGGCTTTTCTGCTACCATCTTACGGCACCCGGTGCTCACCAAGCCGTGGTTCTGTGATCCGAATATCTAGCCACCAAGGACGCCCGTAAGTATTTCGTAGGGAGTATGGAGTAGGTCATAGCTACCATCGTGATCATGCACAAGAGGAGAATACTGTTGCCGACGTTGAGGTCTTCCAAAACGTGCATAGTCAGGCTATATCAGAAGAGTCGTTCTGGACTCTGGCCGTGCTGCCATTTCGTTTGCCAAGGCGCGCAAGGGTGCAATGAAGTCCCAGTGTCACTGAGGATTAAGATGGAAAAGTTGATGAGGAATGGGGAAAGTCTTCCGCCAAGGTAGAGGGCTCATAGTCATGAGGAAAGGCAAAGTGAGATGAAGAGATGAAAAATTTCGATACAGGTAAGGTCGTGCTGTCTAGGTATATATACAAGTTGAGAAGAGGACAATTTCAGCTTTGCTTAATCAGCCAGTCCGTTTACCATTCGGCAATTTCACCAGCCTTAGGCTTCCTTGTCCTGATGACCTTGTCTGGGTTGAGTAGACACAGAGGGTCCAGAGCCTGCTTGAGCTGTTTGTGTTGTTTGTTGTCAGCAGAAGATCAAACAGACATTGGATTGAGATGGAGAACAGTAAAAGTGGCAAGCTGCATTGAAAATCTCGTGTTTTTTTGCAATGCCTGAAACAAGGCGACCAGCATTGCGGCTAGGTGCCGGATGGTGACATACCTTTCTCATGGTGTCCACGGTGCTTTCACCAAGCTCATGCGGCAAGTAGTCTCTCTTGACCAATCCCACACCGTGCTCTCCCTGTTGCAAACGAGTCGTCAGCTTCATTACGACAAAATGGATCACATGCAGTTTGGATGCCTGCAAGTCACAAACTTACCGTAGTTGTACCCTCCATTTCCACAGCCCGTTTGACCATACTATGCATCAACTCCTCGGCTTCAAGTCTCTGGTTGTCGTTTGAAAGCAGAATGACGTGGAAGTTTCCATCACCTACATGGCCCACAATGGTTGCATACAGACCGCTCTTCTTGATGTCGTTCTTTGTCAGCTCAATGAGGTCAGGCAGCCTGCTGATAGGGACTGCGACATCACCAGTCCAAACGTTGTCGCCCTCCTTTGCCACTGCTTGTGTGCTCCACAATGCTTCTTTCCGTGCACTCCACAATTCGGTCTTCTCCTCCTCGCTTTTGGCAAACTCAAAGCTTTTGGAGCCCGTGCTGCGAGCCATGTTCTTGACAATCTGGATCTGTTCCTGGACTCCGCGCTCTGTGCCACTGAATTTGAAGAAGAGGGTAGGTGCCTCTTTCCATTCCTTGGACGTCATGCCTGCTTTGTTGATGCATTTCATTTGCTCCTCATCCAGAATCTCCACAGCGGCTACCGGAACGCCTTGGCCGACCACCTTGCCAACGCAGTCTGCGGCCTGGCGGATGGTGTCAAAGGCGCAAACGGCGACGCTGGTGCTTTGTGGCTTCACCGTCAGCTTGAGTGTCGCTTCTGTGACCAATCCCAATGTCCCCTCGTTGCCAATGAAGAGCTTGGTCAGATCGTAGCCTGCTGAAGACTTTCTTGGGCGCTGTCTTGTCTTGATGACAGTTCCATCAGCGAGAACAACAGTCAGAGAAATGACCCATTCTCGCATGGTGCCGTAACGATACGCATTTGTGCCACTGCATCCGGTACCAATCATACCACCGATCATGGCACCTGGGCCTGGGTCGGGAGGGAAGAACAAGTTGTCTTTGGCCAACTCCTCATTAAGAAGCTCCCATCCAACTGCAGGTTGAACTACAACGTCTAGATCGTCCTTGTGCAACTTGAGAATCTTGTTCATGCGCCTAAAGTCAATACTGATGCCTCCTGATGTGGGTGTGAAATGTCCCTCCAAGCTTGTACCTCCGCTGTAGCCAACAACTGGTATCCTCCTCGAGTGACAAATCTTCATGATCTCGGAAACCTCTTCAGTGGAGCCGGGGAATACAACACAAAATGGCTTCTCATCCTTTTGGGCACGGTACGAAGACCAGCCCGAGGTCGAGTGTGTGTCCAAGTCGGCATCCAGCGTGCTGACATTCTCCTTGCCAACTACAGCAGCAAAGTCTGTCCAAGCGGCTTCGAGGTTGGCCTTGCCAAGGTTGTGTCGTGGAGGGTGAGATTGGGAAAGCGGAACGGTCGAGTTCGGGTCGAGTTCACGAGGACTTAATGTTCCAAGGTAGTAAGATCCTAGAGCACCAGCAACGAACACTGAGAAAATAAAACCATGTCAGCTTGTTTTCTCTCACTCGCATTCTCCTTCTAATGTCACCAAACTTGGACTTGAACATACTGAATGTGATACCCCAAGCCCGAGAGCCTGCCGTGGTTTGTCTCTCCGCGGCGAACTTGGCGCGCTCCTGCTTTTCGCGGGCAATGCGCGACTGGACAGACTCGAGCATTTGACCCTTGAAAGACGACCCATCCTGCTTGTCAGTGGCGTAGCATCGGGCGGCAGTGTGTCGTGAGCTCAGAACTCCGGCTCTTGTTGTGGCGTAAGCTGTCGGTGCGGAGACGCTGCTGTGCAAACCGCCATTGAGGCTGCGCAGGGTGACCTGGCCCTTCCGTGTAAGTAGGCGCGACATGATTTCTGCAAAATGATCTTCAAAGCTAGGAGGAGATCCGTGGTAAGAAAAATTACAGGCGCGGGGATCCTCTCGTCATCCTCTGGTCCCGAGCGGAGGAGGGATTGGGTTGGTATACGACGAGATGGAGGCCCAGTACCATAGAAGCCGTCAGATTTTATGGCATGCAATCAATGGGCTTTGCGCGCGCCCGGGACGGCGGTTGCCAAAAAAAGGCACTGAAAGTTTACTGAGCTTCGGAGCAAGAGCTCTCCACTTTTCGCCGGCCCGCAGCGGGGAGGAGCCAATCGCCATAGTGGATCTTCATTGCGCCTTTCACAACTTTGGTATTACTGACCGCGGAGTTCAGTCCGATTTGATGTTTCTTATCTTTCTCTCACAGCAGTGATACTGCTCAATGTTTTTGGACATGTCGCGTGGGCCATGGATGATACAGCTTTGCATATGTCCAAGGGATACCTTATTTCATTGGTTGAGACTCGGCGAGCAGGGTGGGTGGCCACTCTCCAAATTTGAGCACTACATACGTATACTAACTAGTACTGCATTTTTCAAGATACCTACCTAGGGAAGCACCTGCATGTAGTATACCTAGGTAAATATGGTTCCACTCAAAAGCATCAAGCCTTGCATGTCATAATGTAATTCTAGTGCAGTTTCCTTGGAGGTCCCTAGGAAGGTCATATTGTAGGTACACTTCAGTCCTCTTGACTGTTAGGAAGGTACCTAAGTCTTCCATTCGGCCGGGAGAAGTTGCACTACAAAACAGGGCGGTCCAGACATTGAGCTTCGGTTTCTTCCCTCAAATACCATCAGGTAAGCCGTCAGCTCGTCGTCCCTGCTCACCTCGATGGTCATCTCTCGGTCCAAGACGCCCTCGACACGACCGCAAACAGTACCAGCAAAGTCTTTGCAAGCCACCTGGCGCAACTCATTCAATGTCCGAGTCGTCAATGTGGTAATCCAAATTGGCGGTGCTATTGTGATTGGTGATGACGGGTGCAGTCGCAGGTACACGGCCACTGGCGGACTTGGGTTTGGATGAGGTAGATAACTGCTCTGCACATATGTGTGCGAAGTGCTGCCAAGCGTTGGGGCGAGGTCCTGGGTGAGAGGGAAGGTAGGTTGTGATTGTTGAGTACCCAAATTTTGGCTGTGGTCGTTGATAAGCATGGGAAGAGTGCTGCTGAGATGTGGATCTATGGGAAGACCTCCACTTAGCAAAGTGTCTGGCAACAATGAGGAATGATGCTGTGACGGCCCGGGTGCCAAGACTGAGTTTTGCGGCAAGGCAGGATGGAGACTTTGGTGGTGTTGAAGGCCTAGGCGTGTATCCCGCGCGTGACTCTGCCCTGTGACATGACGGGCGTCATGACCCATGCGAATATCTGCGGTGTTGGGCGAATGGAGTATTGTCGGCGTCGAGGACCGAGGATATTGGATTGGAGAAGCCGGAATAAAGTCATGATCCATCTCGTGAACTTCTTCTGTGGCGTCCTCATTTGACGAGTCAGGCGTATGCGCATCCGCTTCATCGCCACCCAACATGACTCCAGTGCTGACCTGCGGGATAGCTTTTGGACGAGTCTTTGTAGAGACATTCTTGCCTTGGCCATCCCGTAAGCGCTTCATCACATCCCGTGCCACTACATCGATCGCTCGCAATCTATCCTGGTCCATGACGCCAGTAGCCAGTATCTCTTGCACAACGTTGGAGTTGAGCCGCCACTGTTCTTTGAGTTCTTCCCAGTGCTGGGGCCCCGCCTCAGTCTTGCTTGTGGCGTGATCGTCCTTAAGAAGGCCGGCAAAGTCCTGGCGCATGGTTCTGTACTGTTGTGGGTTAATGCCCAGTATACTCTTTGCATCAGCGATGGTCAGCTTGTGCTCCATGCTGCGCATACGCTTCGTGACATCAGTACATATCACGTCAAGAGCCAATTTTCTACTCTCGAGATCATCGTGATCAACCCACAAGGCTGATTGTAGGTGTGGCATCTCCTCAATCAGACGGCTTTTTGTAGCTTCCCATTTCTCAGGGCCGGCTACCGTCTTCCTGCTGACGCCGTCTTGTTCACATAGTTTGGAAAATCGAGAGCGCACTTGCTGATACATCTTCATGTCAAGGCCAAGTATTATTCGACTCTGGTCGATGGTTGTCTCTGATGGGAATCGAGGCTGTCCAGGGGAAACCGCAGCTGACCCAGAACGAACGCGAATGCGCCGCCTTCCCTTACGAGCCTCCCAATGCACCATTGACTCTTTGCTGAGTCCATATTCATTTTCTTTCTGTTTTGCAGACCTTTCAGCACTTGCATTGGGTTCAGGTGCTTCTTCTTCGTCTTCTACTTCTTCATCCTCTGGGTCTGATTCTGATAGAAGGTTGTTCGAGTTCGGATCTGGCGCAGCGTCGGACATCAAGGTTCTGTGAGGGTTCGGTGTACGGAGTAGCCAGCGGTTGCGGGCGCGCACGCGCATCAATTCTCGATGCTTAATTTCGAAGCCATCCTCGTCGTTCAGTATGCGCAGTATTTCCTTTTGCGACAGGTTCCTTTCCCAAAGTTCCTTGACTCGCGCAACAAGCCGGCCATCTTTGTGGGCTGGATTTTGCTTTGATGGAAAGTTCCAACGTCGGAACTGGGTCTGATAGGCTCGCTTGCTGCCATGGACATGGGCTGTCAGCGTTGAGACATGATAGCAGGCGGTGAATGGGACAATTGCATGAAGCAATCCAGAATGGCAAGACGATGATCAATGCTCCAACAAGATGACGGCGGCTGGACGAATGCAAGCATGAGAGGACATGTCGGTAGGTACAGGTAGACGGGTAGGGATGAATAGTAGTGCGGAATAAAAAGTAGCAAGTGGGTACAATGGTTACGGCGGTCGACAAAGCCCACCTTGGGGCTCTTTGACAGAGGTCTCGACTCTCGACTCGGCCCATTCTCATGTATAATGACGGAGTACGGCGAGGCAAGCATACCTTGGGGTGAAGTTGTCCTCGATGCGCATTATGTCCATGATCTCCTCGAGGGACTTCTTTTCATCGATGTACAAGCGATAGCATTTTGGCTCATGCGCGTCCCAGTTGTAGACCATGGCTTCCTTTGGTGGTGCGCCCCGGTAGTGATAGCAAAGAATAGATTCATAATGTGGTTCTCTTTTTGGGTATGACTTGGGTAGAAAATGAAAGTCCAAGATTGCGCCAGGGCCCCAATTGCCCTACAAAAAGAGGCCCAGGAAGTGTTTTTGCGCAGGTGGTCAGATCGGATCTCCAGCCAACCAGACCAGCAGCTAGGGGACCAGCGAATAATGTAAGCAACTTTGTCAGGCCCCAGGGGCGGCTTGGCGCGGGTGGCCCTGGCGTTCGTTGTCCCGCACCCGCACCCTGATTGACTGGCCCTGCCTAAGGGTAATGTATGCTTCTTCCTTAGCAGGGGGGCGACTCATAAAACGACCTCAAGCGATGCCCTCACCAAGCACGACGCCAAAGCCGCCAGAGGCGCGAGTGGAGTGGTTCTCGGCAGTAGCCATTGCTGTGCCAAAACTTACAGCAATGACTGCCGGACGGGGTCTTTCTTGTTCTTGAAGGAGAGGGGTGCTCTTTTCCCCTGTTATACTGCGGAATATCTAAGACGTCACCCAGGACAATAACTCAGTTCATGTCCGGAAGTATGTAAGCCTCTCTAAGCACCTCTAAACTCATTTCGCCACTCCGATCACGACACTCGTAGGAAAAACAATCTCCACTATGCTATGTATGCTTCTGGACTTCGGCTAACCTCTGGATAGTGGATCATGGGCAAGGCTTCACATCGCCCAAAGGGGAGAAGAAAAAAAATACCCCAGAGCTTTCACGGCCAGCTGCTAGTAGTCCAAGATGGGCAATTACTTACGATATTACTGGTTTCATCAAAAAGAAGCATGTCAGTCTTCTTAACGCAGATGTCGGTATAAATCAACTGAGACACCACGTGTGCCTTGCGCATTCGTCCTTTTTCAACTACTTCCCGCGCCTAAACACTTCTTTTCTTCCATCCTGGTTCTGGGATCGGCGCCGTGACAGCCCCAAGAGCCCGGCTTTGGCAGCAAGAGTGCCAGCATTCGATTATCAGTGACCTCCGCAGACTTGGCCCATTATCCGGGCACATGAACTCAACACTAACGATGCACTCACAAGCATGCCAACCATACAGACTTGCTTCCGCGGTCATTGTATAAGCATCGATAAAGGTCACACGAGAACTTTGTTCATCAAGCGAGTACGCAATCGTATGTAGGTAGGTCACATGTTCTCTCCTGCGGCTGGAGACGACAGTTTATACCCAGTTCCGGGGCTGAAATATTCCGCGATATACGAGAGAGTGACTCGTGTTGTGCGATTGTTTGATAGCCACTATACTCGTCGTCTCTCGCCCAGTGGCTGTTTGCCATATGAGCGTAGCTTGTCCTAGTTGTTTTCATACTGTCCTGTATGATTGAATTCACCATTGTTATCATCCTGTCGGGCCAAACGGCGGTTTGTGTTTCGTTTGTTCCACTGCCAGGCCGGAGAGAGATTTCATTCAATCCAGGCAGGCAACCAGGCTGCCAGGGTATGAAAATCAATTACTGAAAAGAATTGTTCAGTTGCACGCTAGATGAACTATATTTACCTGTTGTTTTTCTTTTCTTTTCTTTTTACGGTGCTGAAATGGCGAATTGAAGGTCAAAGTGGCCACTGTCTGACTGAGAGTTCCGCTCTTGGTGCTTCCCCAGCGCGGGTTCTCTCCTCTCCTCTGTTCTCCTCCCGGTGACGAGGATCAAACGTCATTCTTGCCGAATCATGTACTTCATGCCCAGCCTTGACTTCCACCAAGCTGTACACATTTCACCGCCCGCCCGTCTTCATTGCCTGCCGCGATCCCTTCTTTAATGTTTTTGTTTTACTGTCAACCCCCACCGGCTGGGCTCCTCGCATTGCATTCATATTGTCTCTTGCCGCATCACTCACATACTGTACTACTGTCGAGCCTCACCCTTGCCACCCCGGTGTTCTAGATCGTTCACGGATCACACTCTCCAGGGTTGACGGCCAATCGTCAAAAACAGACCCTGACTATGGACCATGTCCGATATCTTCTTAGCATCACGAGATACTATACATTTTGAATGCAGTAGAACCTCGCCTTCTCCCTTTTATGGTTCATTGTTCCTGGCGTGCAGCTTCGTTTGTCACGTTGCAGAAATACTCGGTACTTTTTCTGGGTTCGCTGACGCAATATAAATTACAAGACTAATGAGTTCCTGAGGGGGCGATTGATAATACTCCATACTGGAGCAGTTCGCCACTAAAAGAAAGAGTAAAACTGGCAAGCCGAGCGCTTCGCTAAAATTACGGCTCGCCTATATACAACCGGGCGGCCATAAGTGCCGTCGATGTGCCGTGCTTGGTTGTGTTTGTGTTGCCTTTGTACCTTGGGCTTGTGGTTCTTCGATTGGCCGTTACGTACATCCAGAGTAGTATACTAGGCAAATTGTTAGAACCGACTTCTTCTTGGGGGTTGTGGTTCGAAATTGCTGGCCAACATGTCTAATCCAGGCCCAAATCCCAACAATGTCTACAAGCCCGAGATGGGACCAACCCCTGGCCATGGCGATCCTTTTGGCTTTACTTCAGCTCCATATGCTTCTTCCTCGTCTCTCTCCTCTGGCGTGACCGACCGGAGACCTCTGCCAAACTTCGACGTTCATAAAGGTGTGCCAGCTACCCCGGTTCCTTCCAACATTCAATCCGCAGCACAGCGCCGCGAGAGCGCCAAAGCCAGGAGACGAGTTCCCACATCGCAAAGGAAGCGCACTAAACTGAGCTGCGACGCCTGTAAGGCCAAGAGGTGCAAGTGTCTCCGTACTGGCCCCACGCCCGACTCTGATGACACGCAAGACGACAGTCATCTGGCACCTTGCAAGAATTGTGTAGATGCTGGCATCGAATGCGTGACAACCTTGCCCCGAAAACAAAGAATCTATGGCAGTGTCGAGCAGCTGGACCGCAGATATCGCGCATTGGACGCCCTCGTCTCCGGCCTCTTTCCGGACCTGCCTTCTGATGCCACGCCTGAAGAGCTCGTTGAATATGGCCGCCAGCGCGGTGTCGCCATGCCGGACCTTGGCACCGAATCCGATGCCCCAAAATCTCCAACGACATCCTCGCTACATATCACATCTCCGAGTTCTCCCCCGAACGCTGGCAGGCGCATTGGAGACGACAGTCCCGAGTTGGGCCACAACAATGCCCATTTCATCAGGGACGCCAGTGGCCGTACATACTATATTGGACCTTGGGGAAGCCTGGGTAGTTTTGCCAGAGTGCGAAATCTGATCGCCAGGCGACTCAACGCCTCAACCGACCCGGATGCGAGCCGCCGCGGCCAACGTCTCTCATCAAAGTCTGTAACGGATGCCATTGCTCGCTCCTTTGGCGAGACATCGGCAGATATAGTATCGCCAGCTCCCCAGGCATCACACCTTACTCAGTCGTCTCTTGTCAATGTTCAAGCGCCCCTCGATGATTCGATCAGCACGGGCGACTCTCGATTCTGGGTAGCGACATCCAAGATCAAGCTGCCCGATAAGAAACTGGCAGACATTTGCGTAAACGCCTTTTTCGACAATGTCCACCCCGACTTTATGCTGTTTCACCGACCCACCTTCCAACAAAATTACGAAGATCTTTGGAACCAGTCGGGACGCCGTCCAAGTGTGCCACACCTCGCGGCGGGTAGATACGTATCGGTTGGGTGGCTATGTTGTTTGTACCTGGTCTTCATCCTGGGATCGCGCTCATTGCCGCAGGACCCTAGAGCATTGAGATTTCAGCGGACTTGGTACGAATCTGTAAAGGAGCTGCCGCCGCTCCTCATCATGTCAACCCTCCCCAACGTCTGCGCATTGATGCTGCTTGCCCTGTACTACCAGAGCACAAATGATCGCACCAAATCTTGGGTCTACCTTGGTGCGGCCTCTCGCCTGTCAGTCACCCTGGGAATGCACCGCGAATGTGCAAACGAAGGGACGGGCCCAATCATCACCGAGATCCGAAAGCGTGTATGGTGGACTCTATATGATTATGAGCAACATCTATGTTGTTCGCTCGGCCGGCCCAGCTCCATTGAAGACACTGAGGTCAACGTCGACGTGCCGGATGAGGGAATACTGCAGTGCGTCCCAGCTCTACCCCGTGCACAGCTAGGGGCGTGGGTTCAACTCATTCGGATGCAAGCTGCCATTCGGAGGGAGATACACGTACCGAATCTCTCGGCCACAAATGTCATTCCGCAGGCCGTTCGGCTTCTTCGTCAACTCGGTTCATGGAGGCGCGATCTGCCATCAGCGTTGCTTCCGCCCTCCCGCGACCTGGTTCATGCGGATCCCCAAAGATATAGGCGCATTATGCTCCTCCATGTTCAGTATCAAAAAATCATCAATCTGCTCACGCGAAGATTCTTGCTACACGAGGTCGAAGCTGTCGATCAGGGAGAGAGCCTAGGCCAGGACGCATTCGTCATTGTCAGTCTCGGCAAAGTCTGTGTCACCTCGGCCATGCGCTGTGCCCAACTTCTAGTCGAACTCTGGCGCGCAGGCAAGTTCAACGGTGTCACGGCGCTCGACACGTATTATGCCTATCTGTGTAGTATCCAGATATGTCTGCGACTGCTTGAGCCGAGCCGTACAACGCCTGTTGAAGACCCTCAAGGCGCAAGGTCGAGCGAAGACTGGAAATTTCAAGCTCACAAACCTCAAGTCGAACCCAGTGAGCTGCAGCTTCGGAGCGATTTAGACTTTGAAGTAGAGACGCTCATTACACAGATGAACTTTGCCGAACAATACAGTGCTGCCGAGTTGACCGAGGTCATCCGCCAAATTCACGATGTGCTCAAGACGATTCCCATGTCGGGGTTCAGCGCAAAGTGCGAGGCCATTGCGTCCGAGTTTGCAAAGGCACTGGGTGCCGTTGACGGGAAACCTGAGTCGACCCTGTTTGGAGGACGCATGGGTCAAGATATGCACAACGTAGCGCAGAGAATGAGTGAAGCCCCGCATCTTTCGCAAAGCATTTCGCTCTCCAATGCTCCCCTTTTCAGTAACCCGATGCCTCCGGCCGCCATGGAGGCCATGGGGAAGCCACAGCAGCCATTCCAGCAGATCCCAACGGCCATAGGCGCCAATAGCAATGCCATGGACCATGTATACTCGGGCATCCTGGCTCCGAGCACCACAGGAGGCACGCAGGCGGCACATGAGCCACAGATCCAATGGGATATGATTCAGCCGCCAGAAGAGTGGTCAGATAGGAACCGTATGTTTACGGATATGGCGGCAGACTCCTTGTCCTGGCCCTTTCAGGAAGACTACCAATACAACCCTATGAATCAGCCTCCGTAGTAGTCTAGGCAAAGGTTTGCATAACATGTAGTGTGTGCGCACTTTGATCAATACAGGTACGAGATCAGGATCAGAGGTATTTAATACACATCATCTAGCATCTAGAAGTCTTGCTGTAGAGCCGGATCTTGTTACAAGCAATTCAAATAGTGACATGACAATACATTACGTACTCCTGAATAACTTTTTTCGTGCTATGTCCAAACTATTATTGGATAAATTTCATGAAATTTGTCCAAAGTGATGAAATCAGATGTCACCTTGATACTAGTAGGTGGCATAAAGGACATATGATACAATTCACAGGGGTCAAGTTACTCGCAAGTTCGTTTTAAACCACGTTATATGTGATATAGCCCTTAAATATAGTGTTTTACTATTGCAAAAAGACAATGCTACAGCCGTAGCAAGTGGCTTATTTCATCATTTACCACGACTGGTGTCATTCCGAATTGATTCTGGAAAACGTACTTGAACTCTCTGTACTCGAAGCATTTATGATTACGATCCTTCAAGTGATATCATAGCTGGATCATTAAACGACAGTATTAGAAGAGATAAGGGAAAACAATAATCCAATACTACTGGGAAATTCTATATGCTTGCCTATACTCAACCTTGTGCGTGATGCTTGGGGTATCTCTATATCTCATGGATTGACATATACCACTCTACGATGCCAGGTTTATCACACGGCCTGGAATCAGGAGTAGCTGCCCAGGAACTTCTTCATGTGGCCTAGGCAAGATCTAATAGTATGAATACCAGTCACTGAATCGGGAAATGGACAGTCAACATCTAAGTTACCTCTTTTGGAAAAGATTTCTATATAACCCGGTATCTACTCAAATGGGAAAACGCATTTTCGTTCCCTGTGTATTTCAATATAGTGACATGTGGTTACAAATCCTTGAATGTCAGTGGTACATGATTGTAATTTTTTGTCCCAAAGTAGTAAGCAATCTAGTATAAATAAATCAAACCAGCCACACAAACCCATGTTTTTCCCATTCAAAAAGCCCGTTCAGCTTTTTCTGTGATGCGAATCCAGCGGCTTGCATAATCAGCTTTTCATCATCACTTCATCACCATCATCATGATCCGAATTTGTTTCTTCGTCATGGTCCCGTCTTGTTTCCGACCTGTCACGGTTCGAGACACTGACCAAAAGGTCAAAGATCCCGGCTCCCCAAAAATAAATCAGCACTTGGCGTGATATATAATCCTTGGACCACGCCTTCTGATTCGCGAGTTCAGCTCAAGCCACTCAGCAAGCCTCAAAGATATTCTTTTTCACCCCCCTTCCCTTCTGGTCTGGGTCACCCATCGGCACCCGCCTGCAGCTCCTTTAGTCAGTCTTGTTTTCCAGCCTTACTGCCCACCCCTTCAGAATTGCCGTTCTGCGGCTCAGCTCGTATTTGCTTTTCTTTTTTTTTTCCCCTTCACCCTCCCACCCCAATATCATCCCGGCATTCCCGCCGGAATAGACAGATGATCGATCATCTGTCTTCCACGTGCCGTGCACACCCCATCAGATTGCTCTGTCTGTCAATGTCACCCCCTGCGACGAATGTAGCGGGTTGGGAAAGGCAAAAATCCACGAACACTCGATTTTACCCGGCCCGGATCATATGCATCTCTCTCGGTTTGGATCATAAGACATTTGTAAAAATTCACCGATCACGTTTTGCCACAGCTAACATGAAACCAGCCATTTTACCAGCTTCCACAAGAAAGGCAGCATCCTGATTCGTACACGGGCAGATTGCGTAGACTCTCTCAGACATGTGCCGTTTTGCTTGCAGTACAGGACGGCGGAATCTGCACATCACGCGGTAGCTGGAATTGAAGGCAAAGCGCTCGATTTGGCACTCCTGGCATGTGTGCCACACCGAGTCCGAGGAGTCGGGACCATGGTGATTGATCTCTTACAAAGACATACAGGACGGGCTGTCTGTCATGTTTTGTTTCTTGACGTCTGTATTGTTTGGCCCTGAGACGACATGATGTTGCTGCGCAGCGGCATCTCATGAGTCCAATCGGACTCGAGCCATTACCTTTTTGTGCATTTCAATTCGGAGTAACCCGGCCCATACTACCACACGCCTTGAAACACACGCAGAGGTACATGTGGATAAGTTTTGGATACTTTCTGGGAACATTGAGAAACCCCACCCAACGGACCGTCTTGACGCAGAGCCTCGGTCTCTCTCTGTCTCTCTCTCTCTCTCTTCTTTTTTTTTTCTTCCCTATTCTGAAAATTTCTGTTGGCGTAGGGCTGTTCCAGTTAGAATGGGATTCTGCTTATGGATACTAACCTTAGTGGTTATGGGACGGGCGCCCGTTTTGGGTTACTCAATTCTATCGGGCTGAGGGCTCCATCCAGCAGGGCGTGGGGAGGCTCTATGAGGGGGTTTTCGTGCCCTCGTCGGTGGCTCTTTTTGACATCAAAGGTACTGTAGTAGTATCGCCTATTTGATCCAGCCATGCATGCTGGCTACATACGTAATCCTGCTTTGGCTATGTTCTAAGCATGCACATGCACGGAGATAGATAAGCAGTCAAATAAGAAGCTTGTCTGGGCTGTTCCAAGCGACAGATGGAACTTTTTGGTCGAAAAATTTTTCTGATGCAGCAAAATGGATATCTTTTGACTCGGTTTGAATCCCTTGCATCCATTCGGTGTTTGTAATGGTGAATATTACAAAAGACTAGCCTCTCAGGGCGCATGGTGTGCAAGTGTGAGTGTGAGTGTGTGTATCATCAGCATACACACTACATGATGCAAGAAATACTTGCATACAAACGGATGCAAAGACGAGTCAATGGGGTACGTCGCGCCGAGGAAGTCTTGGTAGCCGTGCTTGTCTGTGCAACCCACATTCATGGACAGGCTTGCGGGAAAGAGAAGGAATACTGGGTGGTGGTTTGTACACCAAAAGAATGTGAGAGGTTTCTGTTGTGTAACCCGTGGGCCGATGACATGATTCATGGGGGCGTCCTTTTTGGGGTCCAATAGCCCGTACCCACTTCACTTCTTTCGGCGACTTGCGTTAGGCTGTCGATCCATTGTAGGTCGACGTCCGATGCCGTAGCGGCAGTTCGCGATCCATTATGTGGCTGCTCGTCTGGGGTTGTGGGCTTTTTGCAGTTGCTCGCTCGTCATGGGGGGGAAGCTGCTCTAGAGTCGTCGTCTGGACAGCGACTTCTCTCACTCTAGCCATTCGTATGATAAGAGAAGGACGCGAGGTATGGTCGTAACATGCGACGCTGAGAGGATATGCTGCAGCACACTTGAAGATCGAAGAAGGAAGGAGTTGCGAGTAGATTTGAGCCTAGGCTAAGCACCTTTCATGGTGTCGGTCCGGATGGTCTGCAACCTCTAAACCATCGGGCCCCCGTCCGTGTGAAGCGCCGGTGCCGTGGCCCCGATGGTGGTGGCAAAGAGCTGTCCCGGCTACCTCTTGTGAATATCCGGACAGAAAGAGAGAAATGAGAAGTGTGTGCTCCTCTGGTATGATCGACATGCCAGGATTAGTAGTATGTGGGCTCTGGTATAGATAAACTCGAGTATATGCATTGTCATCATCCCCAAGGCAGATGACGACAGTCAGTCCATACAAGGCTCGAGCAGAATAGAAATGCCGAAGGTAAAGATGCGTCCTATCACGGAGTCGAGTCAGAACCCCCGTTTCTACGGGTTCGCTGTCACCTGCCAACATTGTGCCATGGGGCGTCCACTCTGGGTTGTTGTCGACCGGGTTTTCGGCGTAGTGTAAGGTTCTTCTGCAAGGCGTCATCGAATTATGACGGTGCTAGAGGGCGGGTTGAGCCCTTGTTGCAGACAGGACGGACGGCATCATGGTGATTTGGCGCAGATACGACTAGCAGGGCTTGGTTTATGGGTCCGCGACCAGTTCTGGCCTCGCAGTACTAATTATCCTGGCGAGCAAGCACCAGACTTTGTGGACTCTAGCGAGCTTCACTTCCTGGCCTGAGCTCCGCAGCGAGTGGTCATGGTTCGATCTCTGGATTTTCTTCGCAATGGCCCCTCTTGATAGGGCTCGGTTCGGGTCATATTATCTAATGGGATGCCATGTTTCAATCCATTTTCACGACCAGTCACTATATGCGTATCTCATTAGCCCCGACACCATCAGCCCTTTGTCGTGAGCACTGGCCATTCGGATAGACACACAGACCACAGCCAGATCAAAGTCATGGAAATGGTAATTCCCGAACCCATGGGGAAACCTGGCCCTATCCAGGACTTGCCTAATGCAGCAAAAATGTCGGAAGCTCGGTCCAACGAGGCTTGCCGTGTCGACGGTTATTCGCGAGCGAGCTCGAATCAGCATCCCTGAGGGCCTATTTCTGATCCTTGCGCTACAGAGCTGCAGACACCACACAAAGATATGCCCTGGTCGAAAAATGTCAAGCTGGCTGGTCCTTGCGAGACAGCTGCAACTTCATCCATGTTGAGAAAAACGGGCATAAGAGCACATTGCAGTTTCCTTGTAGTACATAGATGTGTCCTCCAGCAGCGAGCGCAGGCAATATGCGCTCAATAATCTTTTAGTCATTGATAGTTGTGCGCCGCAATATCCTCATCACATTTCCGGACCCGTAATTACAGTGGGAAGTCATTGCTCCGCAACCCCACCATTTCGGCCCCTTACGCTGTTGCTCCGGCAGCATCTTGTACACAGTAGTCTTGTTGTGCGCATGTACCGATACTGCGCGTGTGCATACCTCACTCAATTTCACAGTAGCTTTCTTTGCGCTGTTGTGCATGGCCAGAGAAGGGCGGGCCGCTCTTTTGACGTATTGGTCAACTTCTCCAAGAGCGACCAATTACCATGGCATTGGTGAATGTAAACCGGTGCATGCGTTGCAGATGAATGGCTGCTACATCATGGGCACCATTTCGCATTCATGAGTTTCCAAAACTGAGAGACGAGTGTTCCAAGACTTGGCCAATCAGTGTGTACTAATGTTCGCTTCTGGGGCACTCTGGGTCATCCGCAAGCGTTACATCGAGTCGATAGAGTATGCGGGTGTGCAACCGTTAGGTCCATTCCGGGTCCTCCCTTGAGTAGTACCTGGAGGGCATATCAGAATAGTTTTGGTGCTCGTTGCGAAGCCTGCAGTATATTCCAAATTGGCTCGCCAGGTATTCCGTTGACCCAGGTGAAGAACGTGACCTTGTCGTCATGCGAGCAAGCACCAACTGCTGCTGGGTAGTTGTTGGAAATTATTTCCAGTGCCAATGTGCAGAGCATGCCATGCCAGATAAGGGACAAACAAAAGGCAGGGTCCTGGTGTGTCAGCATCTCCGGACTCATCTAGACCATCCTAGCATCAGTTCCATATCGTCATCAACACGAACGACCCGGGAATGCAGGCTTTGGTGTGCCGCCGCCACAGAAGAAGGGGTCTCGTCTTGCCCTGCACCGGCATCTGTCACCCAACTTTGCAATGAGCTTTGGAAGACAACCACCACCCCGCGACAACGCTCATTGGTGGCTCCGGGCAACGACGACATATCGTCGGACAGGTGTGGGTGCCGAAGACGACAAGGAAAGTAAGCAAGAGTGTGCACACTACTGGAATGTGAGAGAATAATCACTTGGCTCGCTAGCAGCATCCAAATCTAGCAGACGCAGGTCCAAGAGGATGTGGTTAAGCGCGTGCTGCGAGCTGCGAGGCTGGGAGGTGTTCGAGTTTGTCGCGTTGCAACCCTCGACAACGACAAGACTCCAAAAAAGATACCTCAGGTGAAAACCGCGCGCGCTTGTCCAGAAGCGTGGGATGAGGCTCCACACACACACACGCACACACACAAGAAGGCATTGGCGATGTGAACCAGGTTCCCCATACCAAGCACCCCAGTACCCTACTTGTCGATGGAGCTTGCAGAGAGGAAAAAAGATGGTGTGTTGTCTGTCTTGGTCGAGGGAGGGAAGGGGGGGCATCCTGCCATGGGTATGGGTCTGCGGGTGTGCTCGACTATCGGGAAGTCTCTCGTTAGAGAAGAGATCGTGAGACTAGCGCGGCCGTTTAAAATGGTGTCGAGTAACTATGTAGAGATGGTGTCGATCACGTTTATTTTAGACATGCCCAAACGGATGGCCTCCTCTGATAGGTGGGATCGCGACGAGCTCGTGAACAAGCAGCCTCCATAGCCTACGGAATAGGTAGAATAAGTGAGCACGCGATCTCTGTTAGTCGGCATAATAAGCCATCGACGTGTGAATTAATAAAAAGATCCAGGAAACCTCGGGTCCGGCACCAGGCTGGTTGGCTGGCTGGGCTTGGAGCTGAGCCGAGCGGCTTGTTGGGTTACGTGTAAGTGAGTTTGTGTGTGTAGGTATGTTTAGGCAGGTAGGTCACAGCAACGTAGGTAGTCAGCATGCATCACCGACCGAGATATGTAAGGGAGACAGCAAGGAGGAATAGTAGAGGACATCTCGGCAGCAAGAAGCAAGGCCTAGCCGCGGGACAGGACAGAATAGGATGGAACAAAATGTGTGTAGAAACTGCACATGGGCGGCACTGCCGTGCTGAGTCAGAGAGATGTATGTGTGCCATGTAGAATACATTACTCAGTTGTATGTATGCATGTATGTATGTAGATTGAGGGTTTGAGGCTTTTCTGCAGCAGAAGAAGAAGAACAAGCAGGAGAGTGATGGGGAGGGGGCCGTTGATTGGAAGGGTGTTGCGAGAAAGATGATGTCGCCCGCATTCAGTTGCGCCTGCCTGGCCTTGTGAGGGGTAAAATCAACCGCAAGTCAGAACCCAGCATTTGATGTTTACTCATACATTCCTACAGGCGAACCAAAGCGTGTAGCTCACCTAGAAACCTACCCTAAGATACTACTACCATAAACGGGATGAGCAGGCGGGCGGGTTACTGACCATTGATGAATCCCACACTTGAGGTACATGCAACGAACTTGATTTACAGTAGGTACCTACATTTTTCAAACTTGACCGCGGCCCGTCAATCAACATCCAAGGCAGAGGGACCGTCCTACCTACGTACATACCTAACCTAGATACCTAATAAGCATGCTAGGTTAGTGACTACCTACTGCTACTTTTCCATACATCAATCAAGGGAAGCTAGTGGAATAATTAGCGGTTTCCTCTTGGGCGCCGAGTCCACACCATCTTCATGCGAGTAATTCTGCTTTTCCTTGTGCGCACCTAGGTCATGTAGTGTACAAACATGGCCATGCCCAGGTAAATAAAGAGCGTCATAGGTCATAGGTCATACCTGGGTATCGTGGGTGTGAGTGGGAATACTACTTACGCCCGTTCCGGATGTGCCGTTTCTTTGTGCCCACAGCGCCAGGACGAATGAATACGCAATGCGATGATGTGCATGATCGACTACATGGGGAGCTGGTAGTTTTGCTAAGTGGTGGCTGTAGGATGTTTGTTGTGTAGACTGGAACGGTAATTGGGTAGCTTGGTGGCACACAAGTAAGAATCAGCTCCGTAACCTAAGGATCGATAATGCGAATCAGCTTGGGGATCTTGGCAGGTGTCCCAAGGGCTAGTGCAAGATCCTAAGGTTTGGTAGGTTAGCGGGAAGGCAGCACGGTGTAGGCAAAGCAAGCGAATACCAGACACTCAACCCAACTCTTTTTTGACGTGCTACAAGATCGAACGGCTTGCTAAGTACTTCCAAGGTACACAGCCCCAAGTGGTATGGCACCAGAGATAATGTAGTGTAGGCTGGATCATAAGCCTATGTACTGCATGCACCAGAGAGTCATCATCAACCAATTGATCGCTGAACCCGAGGCACCCGTCGTAAACTTGGTAGTTAGCCATAAGCCATAGACGAGACATTCTCAAAGACAATATCAGAGGTAACTTGTTTTGTTGAAGGAAAGTGTGAGGGATAGGGAGAAAGGGAGGGGGGCACGCACACACGGGCACGTTGAGAGAGAAAGAGAAAGAGAGAGAGACAAAGAGACAGAGAGGCAGGTATCGAGGACGAGAGCGACACTGCCTCGTGGTGGATCACAGGGTCTTGTTGAAAGTTTAGAGGCGCCGGCGTACTTTTTTAGCCATCATATCATGTAGGTAAAATGCTCCATATATTCAAAGCTAGGTAGCTTGTACTTACCTTGCTAACTGCCCAGTTTTCAATGTTTTCTTCAATCGGGGGCCACTGAAATGGAGCCCTCTTTACCCTCCTCCAGCATCGAGATAGAGGTAGACTGATCAGGCTCGCATTGAGGAAAAAAAAGAGGGAGAGAAAACGAACCATGTGCTTCGGTCCGTCTCCATACAAACGCGTCGGGGAAGACTGCACTTGACTTGCACGTTGGGGACGAAATGCACCGGATGTCCAGAACGCCCTCAGACGCGAGGCACCACGTCGATCATCTTTTCTGGCAAGGCTTTTTTGTGGTGTCTTTTCCTCCTCTTCTCCAGATTCAACCCAGTTCTCTGCCTATCAGGTCACGCCCACAGAGCCTCGTCATGGTCCCATCAAAGCCTTACAGGGGTCATGCTGGACGGCCATCTTGGGGGTTTGTACGAATTGACGAATGGCGAGGTGGCCTATTGTTTTTTGCTGCTCCGCTTCGAGCTAATAAATTTCCGTCAGATAATCATGGGATCCTGCTGTGCTACCCACCTCAAGCCTCGCACCCCAGTCTGATGCCGAATATGCTCGGTGGTATTGATCCCGGATAACGACCCGCGGCTTCCATATATGTGATGTTGACTATTGTACGTACTGTAATATTCAAGTGCTTTTGGTTGGCGAGTATACCTACACACAAAACACATGATCCCCATTGCTGCCAAGAGCGTTTCAATACATGAAGAAAACTATTCATGGTCCAGAACGTAGTGAATATTTTATAAATATTAAACCTTTCAAGCGAAGCCGCCCGTCTCCATGTATAGATCAGTCTCATCTAATTATGTAGACACAAAAAACAGAGCGTAGAAGACGACAAAAAATGCGTCTTCCTCCATCCTCATCCTTATTCCCACTCCCAAGTGATGAGTCCTGTGCCCCCCTTTTGTTTTAGAAGCCAATAGAATAAGGAGAATGCAAATGCTGCACGCCAGGGCATATACACATATATGCCATGCAATGAAAGCAATGCGGGCAAAAGATCAGACAGCCGGCCCTCCCAAATACACCATATAACCATGTGGTGCTAGGTCTTCCATTCTTTTTTGTTTTTCCCCCCATCCAGATTAATCTACCCTTTCTTCCGTGATAAAACTTTTTGGGCCGTAATTAGTAGGAAATCCGTCGCCACTAGAGTTTGAAGGAAATCGAGCTCTGAAAATTAGGATCTCGTGCATCGTCGACCGGATAATGTCGATTTTAAATTACCCAACGAAGAAGAAAGAAGGCACAAAGACAGGAGGCCGAATGCTTTCGACCTCTGCCTCTAGGCCAACGCTTGAAAGGTCTGGTGTAAAAGTCTTCATAAATCGTGAGATCATTGCAAATATATGGAACCCTCCGGCGTGCACTACGATTCGGAGGGTTGTTGTACGAAATGTGAGCCATTTGGAAAGCTTGCAACAGCGGCTATCGGTGGGTAGTCGTGATGGTACGCGGCGGCATACAAGGCCTTCTCTGCCATGGCACGAGGAGTCTTTACGCGACGGTATAAATGCTCGAAGTCGTCGGCGCGTGCTGCGGGTGTAATGAGGCTCTCGTTTGGCGTCGGACGAGGCGACATACGCAGAGCATCGTTGAGATCACCATCTGGTCGGCTACCCCATGAAGTCTTGACTTGAGTTAGCGTATTGTCCTCGGATCGATGGTGTCTCAGATACTGACCTGGTTCAATGTAAAAAGGGCGTACAACTTGATCAGACCATGATAGTATCCGAAGATAATGGACACCGGAAGGAAGACGAGGTCTTTGGGGTGGCGTCTGAACAAACCCAGAAGCTTGACCCATTTGGTGAAGCCAAACATCCACACCAGCTGCGAGACCAAAATGGCAACGCGCGTGTCGTGTTCCCACCCCTCGCTGCCCCACCACATGGCAAGAGGGATCAGCACATCAAAGACGAACGCCAGGGAGGTAAAGGTCGCAATGTGCAGGGCGTAAGTGCACCACGGTTGTTGCCTATTTCAAAGAGTCAGGTTAGATTTGCATGTTCCAAAAAACGATTATTGTAACTAGATGGGGAGGTTTGCTCACCAGATGACGTAGCACTCCTTGAACAGGCTGGTATAGTTGCTTCTCCAGTTGCTGCGTGCCCATCGGGAGCACTGGTAGAGAAACTTCATGCCAGTCTCCAAAGTGGTCTCAATCTCACACTCGTCTTCGTACTGAATCCAGGTTTTCCACTGGTGGCTCACGAGCCATCGGGTCACAAAGTTGTCATCATCGGCGTTAAGGGTGTACTTTTGCCATCTTTCGTTCTTGAATCCATCCAAGAATGCTTGGCTCTGTAGAATCTCGGCTCTGTAGGCGCCAGTGCGGCCAGACATGCAAGAGGTTCCTCCATCCATTTTGTGGGTGGCCGAGATTTCAAAATTGCGTCGCTCAATGTAAGCTGCACCAAGCCAGTTCCAGCTTTGCTGGATCCACGAGCCGTCGCGTTCTCTGCGGACACGTTGGCAAGTACCAACGCCACCAATCTTTTCATCTTCAAAGGGAGCCAGGATCCAAGGCATCAAAGTCGAGGGCCAGGTAACATCGTCATCTGCCATGATAATGAGGCGAGTCTTGACCTGAGGAAGGGCTTCGCATACTTGCAGGCGCTTGTTGGCGATGCTGCTGCACAAGACACGGATATTGCGCGTTGACAGGGTTCTGACTAGCTTCTCCAAGCTATCTTGCTTGTCGAAGGTCGTTACCAAAATGAGCTCGTGGGGCTTGCAGGCAAGAATGCTTTCCAGAGAGGGTTTCAATTCTTCAAAGCAATTGTGGATAGTGGGGATGACCACGGTCACATCCTCGGCTGTGTACGACGGCTTCTCAGGAATTGGTTTCGATTTGTACGTCCAATGGCTGAAGCAATGAACAATGAGTCGAATATAGCGATGGAGCCTTTGAGCAACAATTAGCTTTTTGCAATTCCTTTTTGTTTTGTTTTTTTTCCCTCCCTCTCTCTTGATAAAAAATTTAAAGCGACCAATAGGATGCAAGAGAATTGGCATTCTTGGGGGTGTTGGAGTCGGCAGGTTTGGGGTCAAAAAATTTCAGGCTGGTGGAGGGGCATTCTCTGGCGTGCACATTTTGAGGGGAGGGGTGGGAACATACCATAGGATGATAGCGGTCCAAAACCAGAAAGTCGGCGACTGCACCAGATACCGCATACAGTCAGACACGGCCTGCCACATGGTGTCGAGCAGGGATGACATTGGGTTTTCCATCTTGGTTTTTTTCTTTTCTTCTCTTTCTCTTGTTTGTCTCTTTTTTTATTGCCTCTTGTATTTCAAATGAGTGCAATTGAGATGCCCTGGGTCTCCAATTTAAAAGACCGGAGAGTAGGCGTGTGGGTCGGACCGTTTTTCCACAGTCTAATGGCCCAGATTATGTTGTGAGGTGAGGTGAGAAGATGGGGTGGCCAAGACAGATTCTGTCATCGGATTGTGAGAACTGTGTTCTGTGGATGCCAGCTTTGGAGGTTTTTCTTCAACTGCTCGATCGAGACACAAGACGAGGAGAACCACGGGTCTGTTGTTCCCTATCTGTTCTTTCTTTCTTGGCTGTTCTTGGATTCGTGACCAATGAAGAACGGGCGAGGGTAGATCACCGAGATTAGCACAATCTTCCCGAGTTGTTGCTTCACGTTTTGATTATGCTGTAATCCAGATCGTGGTATTCCTTTTCAGGTGTATATACCGTCGAGATGAAGAATTACACATGCAAAGACCAAAAACGAATGGTGTTCACTGCCGCCAGGAGATGCGCAGATGTTTGCTCGAGAGGAGAGAGATGATTCGTCGAGAGAGATAGGCCCAACAACCGCAGTAACCCAAATACTGTACAGAGGACAGGAAGACAGACAGAATTCGTAGTTTTTAAAGGAAATAGTCCATTGCCCAGTGGACCTTTATTTTGAAAAAAGACAAGAAACGAGAGAGAAGGGGTTTCTAAGAAGATAGGCAAGATCGAGGGGAGGAGATGGATCAGAACTGGATACCGGAGGAAAGCATCAGGATATATAGGCCAATGCAGCGCGATATGGAACCACCTTTTTCGAGCAACGGTCAATAACGTAAACGATGGGTTAAAACGCAAGGAAACGGATACGGCCTGCTTAGTGTCTAGACTGGATTGACGAAAAGAGACCAGAGCACATTCGGCTGTCGATGGCAGCAAGCAAGAAAGTACTTGGGAGAAATGTGAACAAGACGTGCATAGTAGTAGTACTACTACTTGCTCCTCCTACTACATAATGACTAGGTGCCATTCATTACTTAGCTAGGAATGTCTGGCTGAGAGTAAAAGGTATTTTTTTTTATTTCTATTTTTTTTTTCCCTCTTCGATTGGGAGGAGGATGGGGAAGGGGGGGTCAGAGGTAAGGCAGGGTACAGTAGGTAGGTAGTAGTCTGGTCGCCAGGAAGAAAAATAAGTAGTGGTTGTCGTGGGTAGGTACTTACCTAGTTTAGTGGGTATCGGCCCACGGACGACGGGCTACATGCCTCCAACCATAGCGTATTTTTTTACGCCTACCTACCTTACCTACCGGCCTATCTTTCTTAGTAGTGTGAGCAAAGTAGCCACCAGACAGCCCAGCGACTTACCTAGGCCGCCCGACTTGACCCAGCGCTCAATCGAGTAAGTACAAGTCCCCTCAGCAATGCAACGGCTGACCAAAAGGACCACCTCCGACTAGTAGTAGTAGTATACCCATGACGAGGAGGAGGTTCGCCGGCCCGGGACTAGGGTTGAGAGTGTGAGTCTTTTAAGCAGGGAGTTGGGCTGGTCCGGCCACGCCCAAGGACACATCTCGTACCTAGGCATCTGCGCCCGCGGTTTTCTGTTGCTGTTGCTGCATCCTGATCGACTGCTCGGAAACCCTCGTTCGAGATTCATGAACAAATTTGGCCTGTAGTAGTTGAATCGGTGGCCCCTGCTGCCCCTCCCTCGCAGTAGACTGCAGAGGACCCTGGGTCATGCTGCATCACCCTGGCCAGAGGGGGTGTGGTGGGGTTGGCCTGCGCCTACAAGGGCCCTGCTAAATGAAGCGGCGTAAAGTGGACAGACAGGGAACGGGAGGGGGGGCAACAGAGAGGACCGGAGGGCAAGTAATTAGAACGGGGCCAGAAATAATAATTAATTGTTAATATTATTAGAATTGGGAAAGAGACAAAAGAGAGGCGTCAAGAAACGATGATTGTATCGAGATCACAGGTATCGAATAGCACAAGTAATAATAAGATTGTATAAGATCCAGGGGTTCACAAAAAGCAAAGACGAAAAATTAAGAATAAACCACAAAGTCGCGCCGCTGCATCTGCTGCCGCATCTGTCAACGCTCTCGGCCCTCACAGGCGAAAAAAAAAGCTGCACAGTACAGGCGTGGAGCGGCTTGGGGAACGATGCAGTACATCCGCGGTACATTGAATCTGTATACCCTGCAGTCCTCTAGAATCAATCAATGCCAGCAGCGCCTCCTCAGCCGAACTTCTTACTCGGCCGTTAAGCTTGTATCCTGTCTCGTTTCTTGCTGCCCGGGCAGGGTCTTGGGAGAGAAAGGGATCCCGTCATTCAAATGCTTGACAATGAGTAGCCGTGCATAATTGCACTTATGTCATTGGGCTTGCGGTTTGAGGTGGGAGGCGAATGAGAGTTCCTATATGCTGCTGCTATTGCACAGGCCCTTGAACTAGACGATTCGGTTGGCTGGAATGAGAGACAACTTGCGTCCCGCCCACGCAACGAGGAGACCCGGGTATGTCATCACATATGAATGTATATATATGTACGAGTGTGTGTGTATATATATGCGGAATAAGTCTACATGATATCCGTGTGAAATGATACAACTTGAGAGAGTCGCATCAAGCCGTATGCGTTGATGTATATCTTGGGGAAATGGTGGATTTATGGATGCACCAAGAGCAGGTAATATAAGCGCTATGTATTAATGTACGCATAGGTAGGTGGTGCAGATAAGTATGTAGGTATTGATGTATACTACTTACTTGGCTATTTAAACTAACCATGTATGTCACTTCGCTCAAGCAACAGCGCCGCCGCTTGTGACATGGGCACAATACTGACTTAGCTGTACCTACCTCCTCAAACATATGCACGGAGTAACTTAACAATAGGCGAAGATGCCGGAGGACTCCAAGGTTCTCGAATGCGGTAAAAGCGCCCTTTCGTCACGCAATCTATTCCTGAGCAGGGTCCTCTCGGATATCGAGATCTGAACTCGCAAGGTCGAACAAAGCCAACAGTATAGGCGCATGTGTTTGAATGTGAGTTTGTTTCATCAGTACGTCTGGGGAGGCAAACCCCGAGGGCAACGAGGGAGACAAGAAGAAGGAGACAACATGGAGGAATGAATGATTGTAGCATCCATGGATATGGATTTGTGAGCTTGTGGATGGGGCCAGAAAGCGCAATCGGATGATAACGGTTGGTTAGCCAAATTCGAGCTAGCTAGTTGTTTACCATGCTAGCCTACGCCGCCAGCCAGTTGTCCGACGGCTCTTTTTTTGCTCTCTGCTCTTCTTTCGCCTTTCCCCATATCAAAATGGATTGCACCATACAGATGCCTTACATAACTCACTGGTCTTTCTCCATACAAGACTATGGCATACACTAATGTACTGACCTGATGCTGGCCACCTACCTAGCTAGTAAGCGCGTACAGCAAGTTAGTGACTTGGTACAAGCAAGGTAGAGATAGGCAAGATAGTAGGTACTTTGAGCTGAGCACCATGGTGGATACAACAAACAAGTGTTGTCTCCCTCTCTGGTTGCGAAATAGCCCAGCTCCAGGTGCTCCATGAATGCTCCATCCCAACAATGGAGCCAGCCCGGTCTTCAATCTCAGAGATCCATCCCGCCCCAGGCCAAGCTCTGCGAAGCGCCGCGTCTGATCTCGCAGGGCCCATCTACGGCAGCGGGCGGGCAATAACGGGCCATCGTGACCCTCGAGTCGCCGCCTGGTCATAGCTACTCGTCTGGCTGTCTAGCGCCGATCTAGGGAGCCTCACCCAATGGCCGTGCGACGCTCAACGAACCGAGCAGTACTACCTATGTACCTACCTGGCATCCTGGGGGTCTGGGACACGAAGCCCTCACTTACTGGATGGATGGTCCGATATTCGTTTGTCTGGCCGAAGGCTGGGACCCCGGTACGACGGGATGTGGAAGCAACGAGGCCGTTGATTTGTCGTATACTGGCTCGCCGAGTTGGTCGTAAAGAACGACGAAAGTCCTGGGGACGGAGGACCAAAAAAAAAAATCCATCAAAGTACGTACGTAGCTCTCCTCGCCAGTTTCCCAATTTCCATGTCGTGATTGTAAATTAGATGGAGCCACTTTTATTTATTTTTTCTTCCTCCATATCGCCAAGGTCCCGTTCAAACATTGCCGAACGGCTTGCTGATGAAAATATCCCATGGCCGAAGAACTGCCTCATGGGTATTGATTGCTCCGGGCCAGATCCCGTAGCCGGCTCGTGTGCATACAATGAATGATTCACCTTGACCTCACCGAACCCACTCGTGGCCCTCCAGAGCTTACCGTCATCGATGCAAGGCACAAAAAGGTGATGAGCGCAATGAGTCGACTGCTATTTTCAGACTGTCCAAGAACGCGCAATGCACATTGTAATCAAGCCACACGCAGCTTCTGGGGAAACAGGAATATCACGGCCCAGAGTGGTAGGTAGGTAAGTATCAAGGTGAGCATTGACAATATCCACGGGCAAAGAGTCTGACCGAGCAGCATCAAATACCTGTCAAGAAATTGACCTGCTCCAGCAAGACGACAGACATGAGCCAGGGCCCGGGATTTGATACGTAGCCAGGGAGAGATCAATGGCGTCTTGAGAGAATTATCTACAGATCCGGGCTTCACGTCTGTCGCCTTCCAGGTCCAGAAACCCAAGTACAGGTTGCAGGCCATTCGTTGTTGCTTACTTGCCTGGTGTGTTGTATATTCTCTATAGGGATGAATAAAGTACAAGCAAGACACGAGCGTGCACATTCCCTTGTGCACTATGAAACATTTCCGAATCTGAGCACCGAACAAGCATTCGGATCAGGCAAGGCAGGAAGGACCTCGGGGTGTTCCTTGACGGCTCATTCCGCGGCATGCTTGTTTCCCTCGTTCGCTCCCTCGCTCGTACGACACGACCCTACACAAAGCCAGAGCCGCATTTGCATTTGGCGTTGTCGCCTCGTG